TCTTAGCCAAACAACTTTCCTTTATTTTATTGTTGCAATTATTTCCTATTCCAATCACATTAACCGCCTTTAGAGGTGCAGTGTTCAGTGATAACCTTTGTGTAAGCGACTTTGTTATAAACGAAGACTGACTACCACAATCAAGCAGAGCACGCACTCTTTCTATCGCACCACTATCCGGATTGATGACGTCCAACAAAGCCGTGGAAAGAAGCGCACAATTCGAATCACCATTATATAAGGTTACAACCGAATTAGGTTCACTACCTCCATCAACATGTTCAGAGGTAGAACAGCCGACAACAACGCCAGGATCGTGCAACAAAGTATTATGCCGTTGATTGCATTGTCGACAAGGCCCCATACGACATTCATTAAGAGGATGCCCTTGACGTAAACAGTTTTGACATAACTTATATTTAGCAACTAGTGAATATTTTTCCTTTAAACTCTTTGATTTGAAAACTGGGCAATCATAAATTCTGTGATTATTATTACAGATTACGCACAAGAATGTAGAATTGTTTTGGTTTGATTTTACGGATGTAAAGGTATTCGTATTTTTGCCATCATTGTTACTATTAACTTTACTATTGCTCGAATTGTAATTAGGAAACGAACGAGAATGAAATTTCATATTTGAATTTGACGTGACCTTGAAGTTGTTGCCGACAGTCGGCTTGTTTAGATGTTTATTGCGATTCAAGGATTCGAGTACATCGGCACGGTCAACCAAAAACTTCTTAAATTGTTCTAAAGAAGGAATGTCATCCAAAGTATTTCGAAATTCCTCCCATTTGACATTCGTTTCACTATCCAATTTTGACGAAAGAATGAAAATTACAAGAACGTCCCAATGTTGGGTTGGAAGACCAAGGCTAGTAAGTGCCCGAAGATTTTTAGTGACATGATCAACAAGGAAACGCAATGATCTTTCCGATTCTCGATTTATGGGATGAATTTTAAATAATGAATCTAAATGATGATTAATGAGAAGCCTCTTATTGTCGTAACGATCACAAAGAAGCTGCCAGGCTTCCTTGTAATTAGTAGAAGATACTTCCAAATTGGTAATGATACGCGCTGCATCCCCTTCAAGATACGATATTAAGTAATGAAATTTATGTATATCTGTTATGTTGGTTTTTTTGTGAATTAAATTCGTAAAAGTGTCACGGAACTCAAGCCAGCGGAAGTAGGATCCGTCAAATTTTGAAATTTGAATTTGTGGCAACCTTATACCCAATTCTATGTCAGGGCACTCATGGATAGACTTGTTTATCGAGCCATCATTTTGTTTTATTATAGCTTTAGCCTTTGCAATGCATTGAATAAACAAATCCTCAATGAGCTCCCTTTCATCAACCTCACATGATAAATTATCTGAATTTATATCTTCTATCTCAGTCTGCAAATCGTCGAATCTGGCTGACAAGCTTTCAAATTTATTTAATTTTAAATTTAATTCTGCAATTTCTAAATCAGTTTTTTCCTCTATGTTCTCACTTATCTTTTCTATATAATTTTTAAACTTAGTTATTTGTCCCTTTATAGAACTGCGTTTTGTATAAAGAGATTTTAAATTTGTTGTTGTAGCAATTAAATTAGAAACAGCTGGATTAGGTGATAATGCAGTAGCCATTTTGACACCAAATTAATTGGAAAATTACGAAAATGCTTATTCAATCAACAAAATTCGACGGCAAAAGAGGAAATATTGAACTTGTTTGCAAAAAAAAAAAAAAAAATAGGAATAATTGAACAGGCTTATCTGACGCTCCCAATTTGCCGGAATGTCTCGGTGGGTGTCCTCCGGTAACGCAAGCGATCGAACTCCAAACGCTCTGTCACCTTTCCGCACCACAAATGATTTGCCTGGAAAATGCCCGTTAAATCGGATGAGAAAACAGCCAAATAACACTTTTGTGACACTAAAATGCTCTATTTGTTAACTAACAACTGATATTGATTTTAAATAATTTAAACTTTTTCCTTTTTTGTTATATAATAAAACCAATTAATAAACCTACACTGTTTTGAAGAATTCTTTTATTTTATATTAAATCCCAACACACATAAAATTACACCCCTAGAAATCCTACCCCGTGGAGCCCTGGAACCTTACTCACCGACAGAAACACAACACCACCAAAAGGTAATGTTATTTCACTGCGGTATTCTGTAAGGTGGAGGTTACTTCCCCAGACGGGCGCTCCAATTCGAGCGGCGAATCCGCTATGCCCTACCTCTCTTTGGAGAAAATGGATTGAGCTAATTGTGGGTAATAAATAGTGTCACAAAAAAAAAAAAATCCTTTTCAAATCAATTTGGAAGTTATTAGTATGAAATTAATTGAATTTAGGAAAGTTATTATTATTGAGTAGAGGGAAATACAATGAATTATACAATTAAACCTTGATTTAAGCAGATTTTTTTATAAAAATTATGTAGGTAGGTAGGTACTTACGGTTTTGTAGTTGATTATTTGCCGAAAAATGCACTAAAATTATGTAATATCAGTAGAAACAATTTATAAATTTATTAATATTTATGGTAATGAATTGATAGGAATGGATTTTGTGGATTTTAGGAACAAAGGATGGCACTTAACTTTGAACTCGAAGTATTTGTAGTTTGCTCAGCACGATTCTTTCGATGATTCGTTGGACCTCGCAAGCCACACGACGACTTATTAAGTTTCCTGTTTTGCTTTGCTTCCTTTGTCCTTTTTCGTAGTGTAATCCTTAAGGTTTTAGGTTTCCTTCTTCATGGACGCCGGTCACGGGCAACGGAAAAAATATTTTCTTATCTGAAGATTATAATTCGAGTCCTGTCACGGTCGCCAAAAATTTTTTATGTTTGGGCATAAAAGTGGAGTCTTCTTCAATAAAAACTCGGTGTTTTTAGTAATTTCGCTTTATGTTATAATAAAATCAATTTAGCAGTAACAGTTTTCTTGACAGAATGAATTTAACAATTTTAACAAGTCATGACATTATGGTCGGTAAAACCAGCCGAACACACGAACGCGGGCGACATCTGCTATCTGCCGGCGACAACCAATGACGCTTGGGCTAAGAGCGCTCCGGTGTCCCATTCAATAGATGGCGCCATCCGTTATATAAATGCAAGTTTTCGCTATGATTTGTAATATTCCTTTTCTTTTATATGTATGTATATGTGGGGTTTATAGGGGCGCGAACATTATCGATATTATCGATATTCTGATATATCGTTGCAACCCTAAGTACATTATTATTTTGGTTTAAAGCCACGCAGTGGCATAGGTTAGCAGGTTTGCGAGATCTAAAGCGTTGTGAAAAACTTAATCATTGTTCCGACAAATCCAACGGGTCGATGTGAAGTTCTCTTATTATAAACCATGATATACTGTTCCAAGTAACTGTGAGAATCGTAATGCGGAATTTTCTAGATAAGTTACTATGGCTTAGTTGCTACTGACTGAGCAAATATTGAGATCGCGCTTATCGTCAGATCTTTTCTCTTCATGTGTTATTTTCACTTTTGATAGTATCGAAGGGAAACTAAATTATAGGTGCACAAATTATAGGTAAAAGATCGCACCATAAAATTCCTTTAACATAAAATTGTGTTCTCTCTACTTATAACATCATCATCATCATACCAGCGTATTAATGTCCCCACTGCTGAGATCCCTACGGATGGAATGGAATAGGGAGATTAGTTCATCACCCACCACGCGGGGCCAGTGCAGATTGGTGGGTGCTAACGACTGCAGGTACAGGAGGGACCAACGGCTTTACGTGCCTACCGAAGCACGAAGGAGTTTAAGATAATAAGATTTGATCACCCATCCAATAACCGACCATTGCGAAAGTTGCTTTACTTCCACGATCGCTGGCCGAATACGCTATCCACCATCGCGAGCATCGAGTTCCTCTACTGATATGAACGCTAGCTAATGATTCTTGGGTGTCGGATGAGCGACTCTGAAACAAAATCAAAGTAAGCATTATATTAAGTTAACTTCAATGAGAAATAATTCAATAAGTACGAGTATGTAAATAAAAGTTTTCGAATTCCCACAATAACCGATTACTAGAATTAAGGCCGAAGCACTTCTCGCATTCAATGTTTAGTTTGCGTGCCGAGCTTTATGGTAGGTAACCGATTAGCATACAAAGGCCAATCAAATTACCATTTGTGATTTTATAATTTTACATTCACAACACTTCATCCAATAATTTTCATTAGCTAGGTATTATTACTTAATCAGCATGAGAATCGTTACGCCTAGTTAAAATAAAAGCATCTTTGCATGTTTTTACAAACACGAAGAGACATTATATATTATGAAGATTTGAATAATGAATGCAAGCTATAAGAATAATATTTTGATAAACCTGAGCGAAAGAAAGACAGTAAACGATAGCTACTAACTTTTTATTGGACAGAATACATAGTTTCGATAATTAAGTTACCTTACAAATTTGATTCTGTATAATGATTTATTATATGGTCTTGATAATCATTATCTTTATATAACGTGAGATAATGTATCTTGGAAGTGTAGTGAGCAAAGGTCATGGATGTTTAATATGTTTTTCTATATAAATATACTTATATAAAATATGTCCAGTATATGTATTATATCCGTTACCCTAGTATGCCATAACACAAGCCTTATAGTGCTTACTTTGAGGCTAGGCTAACTGGTGTGAGTGTTGTAAATATATATCATTTATTTATTTATTAAAGGTCTTCCGGTGAAAACACCAATTGTAATACTTTGACTAAATAATTATAACTAAATGAAATGTTCCAGCAACCAGATTCCATGTGAATACTGTGTGGTATTAATAAGGGTTGGATATACGAAAAAGGTGTACTGGGTTGTAGCAAGTAAAGATCTATTGTCTTTTTAGCTCTCCGTTAATTGAAAGTTTTCTAATACGACCACATTTTTACAATTATTGTTCTCGTTTCATAACTGGGTTGTTATGATTGCCTTGTTACAGCTGCACAACCAGGGCACGTTTGCTACAGTAACGAGCACTGCCGGTTATGGGATAAAGAAAGTCACTGCGAATTTGTCATACCAAATCTCTTCGGACGATGTGCCTGCAATTCATTCTTTAGACAAGTTGGCGAAAAATGTTTATCTCAAAAATCACCGTCCTACATTACTGAAGCTGTAATTGCTGAGCAAGATGTCTTCACTACAGATACACGTAATGGCTCAGTACCTCAGGACTCGGCTTTAAAATTTCCAAAACCAACAATGCAATTGACATCTGGATCAGAAGATCCGTTTGCATCACAAAATTCAGTTATTGATACTGACGATGTCCAACCAAGCAAATTACCCTTGTATGCCAACAAAAACGGAATAAGTACACAAGAAGATAGCCCACTGATGCAAGCTGTACTGAAAGTACCAACAGCAGAACCTCTGAAGCGTTTTCCGGTATCAAAGAGAAAAGACGGAGAACCAAATGAGACTATAAGTGTGAACGAATTAACGGCTAATTTACACGCAAATGATCAGCCCATATACAGAGTAGTCACACAACCGTCCGTAGAAAAAAAGGAGAACAAGAAAAGTGGCAACTCAAAAGAACAAACTGGCAGTAAACAACAGAAGACTGGACATCATAAAAAGATTTCTTCATTAAAAGGTAAAAGTGGTTTAATATTTGATTTTCACGCACACCAATCATTTAATAAAACACTTTGTGACAGGGTGTAATATAAAGCCGACGTTTCTGATCATTCACAGGCTTCGTGGTCCAAGACAAAGTCTTGAATTGAATGAAATGTTTATAAATAGCACTTTTTACCCGTTCATAAAATATTTCATTAAAGTGTTTTTATAAACTGCACATCTAAGCCTCACAAAGCGCTTAGTTTTTCCTTCTTTTTATCTATTTCTACTTTCAGATAAACATCGTATACGCACAGACGCTACATCTGTGATAGACCTCGGTCCAGCGTCGCTCGGCATGCCATGCTTAACGGATTCTCAATGCCACTCCGTGGACCCATACACCAGGTGTTTGAACAAAAGATGTGACTGCTCTTACAGAACTAATTCTACTGGCTCTTGTTCTGCGCGCAATAGGGGATGTTTACCGGGGACGTTCCAGGTATATTTCTCTTATGTTTTATTTAGCTCTAACAGTTATTCTTGTTGACTCTTTTAACCTTAATGCTAATACCAAAGAGCGTAGGTATTCCTGTATTCATGGTCAGGTTCAGAAGCAGACGAAATTGATTTTTTTAAATTTAATAGCGAGATAGCTGATGTTGTAAGTACAACACAAAATGTTTGATAGCGATTATATTATAAAGACGTAATATGAATTGGGTTTTTTAAATATAGGTACTACCAAAAGCTCAAAATATGCCATTTGATGATTAAACGTACTTAACAATAAAAGGATTAAAATTCAGTTCTTTTTGCATTCGTTTTCTATAATGTATTACGTCAATTTAAAAGTTAAATAAGAAAGTTACAAATATTCGGTATTCTTGAAAATTAACAGAATCATGTCTTATGTGTATCATTTCTAACTGTGTTTCTGTGTTTTTAGTGTCGATCAACGGGTTCGTGCATTAGCTGGTATTTCGTGTGTGACGGCAGAAAAGACTGCCCCGACGGATCGGATGAAACATGCGAAGGTACTGGTAAAGGTCAGTAACTAACTGTCTTTGCACAAAAACGCGAGTGCAGATTAAATAATAACTGTTTTTTTTTTAAATAACCGGTTTATTTTATAAGAATTTTGAGATTAACTATTGTAACTTAATGCCGCGTATTCATTAGGGTACATTTGTTGATACACTGTTTCTGAAACATTGCCGTCCACACTAGCCAGTTGTTGCTAGGATGTTGCCCGAGGAGTTAGTGTTGCACTGTGCTACTTACATAGTAATTCATGATAGAACTATAGAAAAAAAAAGAAAAAGTCGTTCAGTGTCGTTTATTAGACAATAATGAATACGCAGCTTAAGAGTGGTTACCTCATCATTAAATATTCCCTTGTTTTTTGCGAGTCTCCGATATTTCGGCACTGTTGCAAGCGTCAATAACGGAGAATCACAACAAAAAGGTACATGCTGACAATCTCGCTACTAAGAAAAATTACTGTAATGTTACTTTCCCTATTTAGATTTTGGAAACTTAGAAAATTTATGTTGAAATTTTGCACTCGCGTAACATTCCTTTTATCGCACATCTTTCTTCCATGTATCATGTAAACCTTCATCGTTTCATCATTAATCATCTTCATAATAATTTTATGAATAAACATCATGAACTGTAAGTAGATATTTTTTAATTATAGTGTTACAACACTCTGAGTGATATAAATAAATACACCGCACAGAGTGATGTAGCTGCACCAAGCCACCATTTTAATGCAGACACCAATGGAAAAAATAAAACACAGTGCATATATTTTACATTATTTAATTGTTATTGCTGTTATCGCATATACACGTGGTACGCCATATACTTATAGGTACGAGTTAACGCTGCAAAATTTTAGCATTACCTTCTTATAAAGGTAGGCACCGTTAAAAAGCCAATTAAATTTTATAATAAATTTATTACCAAGGCAAGATAATTGCTTTACAGGTTTTTGAACGGTATCTACCTTAACTACACTACACAACAACTACACACGTACTTACCTATAAGCATACCTTTAAGCAGGTAATGTTAAAATTTTGCAGATAGATTAAGGTTTGTTGAAACGACATTTCCATTTGTAGGAATCTAACTTTAATCTTCGACCATTGAATAGCATCAACAATAAATGCACAATATCAATAACCCTCTCTTACACCATTATAATAAAATTCCATTGATAGACTATAGGAATATTAGTTTTGATGTTAGGAAATGAAATATTATATGTATACAACGTGTATCAGAAAAAGAACACTCAGAAAGGAGTTTGTGACAAATATACAAATGATTCTAATTTCAGTTATTTTATTTAATCAGTATAGGTATTCTGTAAGATGCATTCTCACTTACGATCACCTATATTCGTATTTCTGACAAATGTCAAATATCTCATACTGGCTGCTTTTACAGACATAACGACATTTTGCCGTGTAATGGCTTAATGCATATCAAACTAATGTCTAAAATGGCAGCTACCGAAATCGGAAGTGAGAATCGCCCTAAGTTAAACCAGTGATTTGAAATTATTTCATGTTCCGTTGCATTTAATAGGCCTTATTACCTTGCGTTATTTATGTTTTGTTTAATAATAATGATTAAATCAATGTTAATTATTTTAAGGTAATTTGTTTAGACTATTTTTTATCGAAATCGATTCAGAAGCCAATTTCAACCAAACTACTATCAGGTTTTGCGTTATTTCTGTTACACGTTGTATCTTATTAATCTGATTATTCAGAAGTTCTATCTACGAAAAAATGGATACGACAAAAGTTTGGGCATTGGCACAGACCTAGACTTCGATCTATGTCTTTGGGTATTGGCATAAATCTCACAAATAGAGTATCAAATTCATAATTTATTCAAGAATACGAATGTTATATGTTACCATTCGTAACGCTTACGCCCATAGAATACTATTAACAAAAATTATAGATGAGGAACAGGACCCTTCGAATTTTATAATTGAATGTTCATTAAATGGATTTCGAATTACGCCGAATGTCAAAACTGATGATTTTTATCAAGTTACCTATAGATGTTTCATTGATGTCTCTTTAGAGTGCGATTCAAACTTGATTGCACATTGACTATGCACAACTTTCAGACATCTCCCCCACGTGCGTATGTCATGTACGCGCGATGGGTGCCGGGCGGCGCCTGCGCACAGTGGTTCCAAATTTAAAATTAGCGGAAATACGAGACGATGTCGCCGTATCGAGCTGATATTTTTTTTATGGCTGCTGATGATCCCCTTATCACCTTTTATAATGCTAGAAATCCATCAATTGTCTCATTTTTGAGAAAAAACATAGTCAAGCTATTTTTAAATGGAGAAAATTCTGTAATATTTTTTTTTCTCGAGATTGTTTTAATTGCGTCCAGATGAGTTAACATGTATAAGAGGCCAAATGACATACCTAGTACACAGAAAAATAAGCTAAATCCAGCTATACATTACGCTTCCGTCACTGAGTAGTACTTTTTTGATCAAGAAGCGTTATGAGTCAGTCAGCATTTTGCTCGACGCACCACCCGCCGCTCGCGCGTAGCGGTTGCCGCCATTTAGTTTGAATCGCACTTTACGTATATTTTGCAAAGAACCATCAACTGTAAAAAGATTCGCGTTATAACTGAATTATTTTCATCAAAGAAGTATTTCCCCAGATGGTACAGGCGAAAGATGTCCGATGCACGCGTTTAGATGCGGAGGTCCAGGGTCCCGCTGCGTGTCCCGAGCATCCAGGTGTGACGGCACACCGCAGTGCCCGGGTGGCGAAGATGAGAGGAACTGCAGGGCGACCAGACGCAAAGGGTTAACATTTGAACATTTACCTGATAGCTTATCATATAAAATTAATGAAAATTTCTTACACTCGCACCAAATAGCCTAGCCCCAAAGTAAGCACTGCAAGTTAATATCGTTGACTGCAAGGCTTGTACTATGGGATATTAGGGTAACTGTAGCATTGCTTAGAATGATACATACCTTTCAATACAGCCATGACTTAGGCACAAATGCAAACATTCATCATATAAACATTTGCTTCACCGAAATTCAAATCCGGACTTCTTAGTAGGCGAGACCTTGAAGACCTGTGTACTTATCGCTCACATTACGGAGGTCGGCATCAAATATATAGTAGAAGAAATTAAATTTGCATCAGTTGAGTACCTTCCTCTATTTCTATTGAGACAAATTCGAAACTAATAATTTATCAGACTGGAAGAACTTTTTTTTAAACGAGCTTAAGTAAGATCAGTGCCATCTCTTTCCATTAGAAAAAACTATCCCTTGTGATTTGACTTAGGCAAGTTTTCTTATTTTGTCAACATTTTGTTATTGTATTAGTGTTAAACGAAGATCTCTCGAGAGCTCTCGAAAGAAGAAAAGCATACAAAATGGAAATGGCAACCGAAAACGTCTTTTCCGTCCGTTAAATGAACATTGGTCCTAAACTTTTAAAATTATTATTAAAATACAGTGAACTCCGGATTGCACATCCTGATACAACTTATTAGCTTTTGCGTTGGTTTGTTAGACTTAACAGTAATTTTTTTGTCTAGAAAAGCTGTCTGAAGAAAAAAAAATATGTATATTTTTTTTGCAAACACACCACCATAAATTTTATTTAATATATAAAACATTATCCATTATGGCTCTAACAAGATAAGACTTGGAAGCAAGGCAATAAAATAATAAAACAAACAGAACAGGGGCTGTGAAATGGAACTACCTCACCGTTTCTGCTTAGAAAAACACTAGATTGTTATCATTGTGGTCTGGGGTTTAATTAAATTCCGAGACAATTTAATTTAACAAATTGAAAAGATACAATGAAATCACTGAAATGTAACCAAGCATAGATCTTTGTGATATTGTTTTATATTCCTAACACAATTCAATGATATTGCGTTGCTGCGTTAACTTGTGCTTGGTGTGCAATTATTTTCCGAATTTCGATTTAATTGGTTATACTAAAAAAAAGTTTGACACTGTTTTAAACCTTGTTTAGGCAAATTTTGTATGTTATTTTTTCTTAAAGTCGTGTTGTACACATGTCTTACTTTTTTGTGGTAATAAGGTCAGTATGTATTTTTCAATTATAATGGCATCAGCCCTGTAATCCCAGCTCCTCCAGGAAGCCAACCATCCACAGATGTTTGCTGCAGGCATCTAATAGTTCTAATACTGTTGTGGACCTCCCACGTGTGAAGTCAGGTGGTTACACAAAAAAATTAGGTGAATCTTCTTCATAGACCTACTTCGAAAAAACATTAAATCATGGGCCCCAGCTGTAACTGCATTTGTTAGCACACATCAATTTGACGACCTCCGTAGAGTGTTATTTGCGCCGGGTTTCAAGTTGTCCCCTATTCAGAGGTTCCGGGTTCGAGTCCCGGTGGGGCAAATGTTATATGATATTTGTACCTAAGTCATGCATGTTTACATATGTATTCGAGATAAAATATACTTATACATAATTATATGTATTCTATCCGTTACCCTAGTATAAGACAAGTCTTTCAGTGCTTACTTCGGGGCTAGGCTAATAGGTTAGAAACATTTATTTTTATTTATCAATTTGCCCTGGCCGTCTTAACATTTAATCTTGCTCGTATAGGAAAATGATTAGGTCGATTTTAAATCTTATCTCCTTTAATTACAGATGCCCACGACATACTTTCCGATGTGGGTCCGGCGAATGTCTGCCCGAGTACGAATTCTGTAATGCCATAGTATCCTGCAAGGACGGGTCTGATGAGCCTCCTCACCTATGCAACGAACAATCCAGGTAAAACACCGCATAAACATTTTACTCGTTATCAATATTATTGTTAACGAAGAAGTGCAGCTTTCTACCTCCAATTAAAACGGCAGCACAGAAATTCTTTTATTTCTGCAGATCACTTTCACGAGCGTGAAATTTATACAAACCTTTATTTTTTTTTCTCTTATTGATTTGTCGAATCTTTTACGTGACCAAATATTTATTTTTATTCATTTCTTCTAATTTGCTGTCCTACAAAAATTGCACGAATTTAAACAAAAATATTTTGCAGCTGTAGCATTCAAATATCTCAATCGAAGCGAGCCTCCGATTTTATTCGTGTAAAAGTGCTGATCACTGGTCTGCATTTGTCTGTAATGTTACGTTACAGATTGGAGCATTACATCAGGGGGAGGAGAAGCGAGCGTTACAGTGCGCAACATGTAATGATACAACCAGTCGCCGCTCCTTTAAAATCGAATCTAAAATGTTACAATATAGGCGAATGCTCGTTAGTCAGAAAGGCAGTATTGTAAAGAAATGCACAAGATCTAATCTAAAATGTCACATTACAGGCGAATGCTCCTGGGTCCTGGGGAAAGAGAACCTTTAGATAGGCTATAAAAATATGAGTGGCATACGGAACATATGTGACCCATAACATGTGAATGTGGCCAAATATTTGAACGGCGCGGTGTCTTGCAAACATTTGAAGTCGTCTAGTATTTACTCAATAGTACGCGTTCACTCGTGACAACAAGCACTTAAGTTTTTTTTTATGTATCAGTGTAGGTTTTATGCCGCAAAAAGAAAACGGGTATGGCGTAAAACAAGTACCTTAGAATAATATAATTTAGTATTGATAACAAAAAATCGTAACATTAAAATCTACAGAAAATATTACTAGAAAAAATTGCACGCGGACCCTTCGCTATCCGGGTGAATGCACTGACCAATTATGCTACCGCGGCCCTGACGGCCGTGTCGAATCCTTTCTAGCCTTCCTTTCCTTCTATGAAAACCTTTGCAAGTATTAAACATTTAAAAGAAGAAATAGCAATTATAGTTATAATTATATTAACGCGCGGGTGCGGGTTCGAGTCCCGTCTGCTGCCTGGTACGCGTGGATTTTTTTCTAGTAATATTTTCTTAAGATTTAAACATCGAGCAGTCACATGCTTAAAAATGAAAATTATAATCGTAATATTGTTAAATCAACAGACACTTCTCTACATTTATACATCTGTACATTAAGGTAATCAACAAAATACAAAATGTTGTGGTTTTGTTAAACCACGATGCAAGTGAAATATTTTAAATCATTAATAAAAAAACGTCCTATCTCGGCTGGGGCTCGACCCAGGGGGCCAATCGCCTAACGGAAATGCTTTGGAAAACGCTAACGCTTACGATTTTATTTTGTTATTTCTAGCCGCCTGAGGTATTCAAATGCCTCGCGCTCTTTCTTTTTCTTTTGCATTGGTAATAACAATATTAAAAAAAATGAGCGTGAGGTATTCGAAAACCTCAGGCGGCTAGAAATAACAATATAAAATCGTAAGCGTTAGCGTTTCCCAAAGCATTTCCGTTAGGCGATTGGCCCCCAGGACCGCCCGGATAGCAGGCAAGCTTTCTGCCACTGAAACACTTCTTGATTTTTTTATTTACAATCAAAATTGTTATGCAACATGCTAAAGATGAACAAAAAAATGTAGCGATGTAATAAAAGTTTCACTTTAATAATTATCAAAGCTTGAGCTTTAAATAAATGCTTATTTTAATAATTAATCAGTTACTGTCGTGGTTAATGTTATATTTTTATGCAGTGAATAAAATTATGAATTTTAGTAGTGTTAAAAATGTGATTAAGTTCTTTTTCATAAGCTTTTTAAGTGCCAGTTTCATGTACCTATGGTATTTAATATCGTTGTACCTATTGCGTAATCAGGTGCCTCTAATTGTGAAACTTTTGGGCTTCCCGCAATACTTTCATAGTTTATTTTATATTTGGGAAATAGAATTCATGTGTCATATTGATACTTTTCTTTAGCTTTAAAGAGGACAGCAAAAAGATTTAAAATTTTCAATGAGGATCCGTAACAATTTTAGTTGAGAATGCAGATTTATAGAGCGAAAGGTTCCATAAAATACAGTGTTTAAATTTTTGTTCTACGACTAATATTGGCAAAGTTATGACTAAATTATTAAACAAATTTTTCGACTGGCCCGCACGGTGGCTGTGACGTAATAGAGTTCTTGCGCTCGTCTCGCGCTAGGTTTTGTTTGTGTGTTACTTTGGTTGAAGGCGTTGGTCTGGTTGAACGCGCTTAAGTTACGCACATATCATGTTTACTTCAAAAGTTTTAAAAAGTCCACGACAGCATAATGTCTTTTTTAGTGTTCCGTACCCAAAGTCTAATAACGGGACCCTATTACTAAGACTCCACTGTCTGTTTGTCACCAGGTATTTCATGAACCGTAATATCTAGACAATTGAAATTTTCACAGATGGTGTATTTCTATTGACGCTATAACAACAAATACTAAAAATAGAACAAAATAAATATATAAGGGGGGCTCCCATACAACCGTTTTGCTTGATATTCATAACTTTTATAATAATTGTTAGTGAGACAACCAGCTAGTTAGGGTTCCGTATCCAAAGGGTAAAAATGGGACCCTATTGATAAGACTCCACTGTCTGTTTGTCACCAGGCTGTATCTCATGAACCGTGATAGCTAGACAATAGTAATTTTCACAGGTGATGTATTTCTGTTGCCGCTATAACAACAAATACTAAAAATAGAACAAAATTAATATTTTAGGGGGGCTCCCATACAAAATTTTGTTTTCCGTTTTTTGCTCTTGATTAATAACGGTAACAGGTAGATAGTTGAAACGTTCACAGAATATTTAGTTGTATATTTTCTTTAAAAATAAAATGAAATCATTATAACATTTGTTATGGTTACGTTATTATAAAAAAGGATATACTGGACATTGTTACATCTATGTAAAATTATTATCCTTTATCTATTTAAGAAGAATCAATAGTTAAATATGTGGCATGTAAAGACACATTGAATCTTTGCCAAATATTAGCCAGCGCTTAAATGCATAGATGACATACCTTTTTATAAGTTGGAGAAGCTATTTGAATCTCACCAAGCTGTCAGGGTGAGATAATTACACTCCGCTTGTAACGGCTGGAGTGTGCAGGCGCTGGCCAAGACTTGGTATATCCTAATGGCTGTTTCATATCCTACCAGTGGCCGACCGCGACGTCGCCTGCGTCAACTTTTTATCGCGGGAAATGTTAGGTTCCTGTGAGATTTTATGTATTCATGCAAAATTTCGTTTGTCTTTAAAGATGGCGAGCCGCGGATTTCTGTCCTCTCCGTTGTGGGAACGGTCGATGCAGGAGCACAGCGGTGGCCTGCTCCGGGAGGGACGGCTGCGGAGACAATAGCGATGAGATTGCCTGCAGCGTCTGTAGTGAGTAACAAATGTTTTCATCCATATAGAGACTTGTTTTAATACAAATCTCAGCAAATCATCCCACCCTACCACCTGAGGTCTGACCTAGATGGTAGGGTATGCTGATTTACTTAATATAAGTGAAGTCCCATTGCTAAAATAGCTGATTCTGCAGAAAAGTTGCTCGTTGCCGGTGTGAACCCAAATTCGAGCCACTTGACCTGAAGGCTTATTCGCTAAATGCTTTTGACAGATGGAAGTGATAAACGCCGAGATACTTGTTCTAAAAAAAATCGATGTATATGCAATTTTCCCTTTAGTTACACACTGTAGTTAGCGAATAGGCCGGCAGGTCTGAGTCCTCTGCTTATAACTTCTAGCCCTTCACATCACATTTTGATAGACTTTAAGCGATACAGACTGAACATGAACTTCGTTACCAAGCTAAATGACGGTGTTCCTTTCTTAGTTATTAACTTAAGAATAAATAAATAATAATTTACTGACACTTCTGTTAGTGTCAATCACTTCTATAATTGTCAGTTAAATAGAATTATGGCCCATTTACACTCGCATGCTAATGGCGAGACGAGTCGCGAGCTGAGTGACGGACGACCTACGAGAGTGTATTTTACCATAAAACCTTAGAGCAGTAGTAAATTTAGCGCAAATCATGGCGCAGTAAACAAAATTTTGATACGGGTGAGGTCTTGCTCCCTGGACATTACGTGGTTATTAGTTGAATTTCGGAAACAACTGAAAGCACCGCGAGAATCTAAATAGATTAGCTCAACGAGCTTACAGAACCTTTACTTTTTAGCTACAAATGTGATCTATCACTATTGTCATCGTTGTTCTTCCTTGACCATCGACATAGTTTTTAATGCCTTAAAAGAATATAACACAACGAATTTCATGAAATATCGGAACCATGAAACAAGTTTGAACTTAAATGAGCTATTAGAAAACACTATTGGCTATTAAGTAGCATCAATGAATTTTATGTAAGTATCATTAATTGTGTCACGTGTTGGTTTACCGTCATTTATTGACCAAGCAAGTGCTAGTAAACGATCAACTTAATTGAAACGTAAAATTTACATAGTTTTAGTAGATACAACAGTTATAGGCACTTTTTAGCCATATCTACTCTCAGTTATGAATAAACTATTGGATTTAATTGATAACTATCGATTATAAAGATACAAAAGTGTATCGGTGTCTTCAATACAATACAAAAAGAGAATCTAGTGCGGCTCGATAACAGCTTTTTTTATTTCATATATTATTGCTGAAAAGCTAGCTTGTTTGGGTAAACACGCTTGTCTCAGGCACTAAGTCGTATGAAATAAAAAAACTTTTTGTGTTGGAGTCCATTTATCGAAGAAGGGTAAATATACCTACCTGCTACGACCAGAGGAGAGCAAAATCAATGAAAAAATTTGCAAAAACGGAAAAAATATTCATATTAAGATCTTTCGTTGCGTCCGCTGCCTAATCTCATAAGGAAAATCAAATCACATCTCAAATTAACACGGGTGAAACCGCAGGGCACACACTTGATATTTTTTGTAATACCAATGGTAACAAGAAACTATTTTGACCCCACTATTTAAATAAATAACTATAATGTACCTAAATTATGGAGCGCCAGAAATTGTTCGGCGAATCGAAATACATATTCCGAATTTACTCACGCGGCATCGTAAAGAGTTGTTGCTTTGATATGGTGCATTGTTAACGGCCGCCAGCTGACCAAACATGGCAAATGCTGCGGTCGCAGTCCACAACCGATGATTTGACACGACCATAGACCGTTACTAGCGGACAATACGTGCCAAATTAACATTATTCATGCATGGTGTAAGCATGAACGATAGATACCATCTTCAAAAGAAAACTTCATAGGTACTTATCTGCTCTTATTTCAAATTCCAAAATTAAATACCTTTACAGTGAATCAGTAAAAACATTGATGTCCTTCGGTAATTTTGATTTTTTATGTATGATTAGGTTTATTAAAAAAATATAAGATTCTAAAAATAATTTTAAGAGCCACTACACTACAATTATCCTCGCTTAGTGCCAAGTTTATGGATGTAGTAACTTACATCGTTTCGCATGCAGTGTGGCCAGCTGCATTATTATACTTATGTGTATTATAATAGGTACGTCTTCTACGAGTATAAAAAGATTTAAATAAAAGTATTATCATCATGGCTTCTCACTACCGAACGAGGCCTTTGAAACTTGTCCTAATTATATTTAAAACATTCCGTGTCGGTTCATCAATTTGTATAGAAACATTTAGTCCGTCTATAATAATGAATGTTGACATCTCGTTGGTTCATTAATTTATGTTAAATCAAAACACTTAAATCGTTTTCTGTCTTTACAGGATGTCCAGCTCCGCCACATGTACCATGAAAATAGCGCATCACAGTAAAATACAAAGAATTAGTAGCAATGTGACTCATTGAAGAATCTCATCTACAACACAACGACTACACACCATAAGTCTAGCTTTTGGAAACTCGTCTATGGAATTGAAAAGAAAACGAAAGTACATAAACTAAAATTACCCTTTTTAAAATTACAACGCAAAGAATCGAAATCACACTAAATCTAATTGTAGAGATAGGATTTATTTTTGCACTGTCATGTTATTAGTAGATTAATCTTTTCATATATATGTTTAAGATATATATGAAAGATAAAACATAGACTGTAAATTTGATGGTATATTTAAGATAAGTAATTGTAATTAATTCAATTGTTTCCACAAAGGAAACATCTCATTTTGATGTTGAACTTGCCACGTCAAATATAGTTCATTTTTTTAAGTTCAGAGGCTCATTGGAGATTATATGAAAATTTCAAATTTTGATTTGATTACTCGTTAACTAAAACAGTTTTCCACAAATTTTATTTAATGTAGGATACACCGTGCTTCAATAAGACTGAGGAGAGTTATTTTTTTTTTATTTCGCGTGAGTTCCAATGCTTGTTAGAGTATCCAATGAACTACTTTAATAAAATTGTAAATATGACACTAATCATAATTATGAATGTAAATTTAATTTATTACGAATTGCGAATCGCTCTGATGCATGTATTGTAATAAAAAATAAATGTCTTATGTAAAGTAAGTCGAAGTAATATTAAGGTATGCCCGATATTCTCTTCTATTTTGTTATGGAATACTTTTCATGTTGTTCTGAAAATATCTTGTATTATAAATTTATTATATTGCTGCTTCGGCCTATCAATATATCCTATAAAAGTTTGCCATCAACATAAATAATATAATTTTCAAAAATGTCGAGTAATTAGTATCACAGCTATTTTATCAATTTAAATTATTGAGAGATTACAAACTTATATTTCAAATTATCATGTGTACGATTTGAAATTTTAAAATACTTACATAGTATAAAATTGACATCGATTTCTAACATCATAGGTAAACTACCTACCTTAATTTTGTTTTAACGTCAGCACAAAATTGTATGCGTTATTATTAACTATTTCGTAAACTTTATAAACAGTTTTAGACGTCTTGCTAAGAACCACATGAAAACATTATTCTTGACTGATATAAGTAGTAAAAAAATTTTGAATTTTTAAGAGCGAATTATCAGTATTTATGCAACTGCTAAAGGTTTGTCATATACTTATATTAATGAGTTACGTGTAGACCCGAGCTGAAAGCGTGAGTGTCAACAAGGTGAAACAAGAAAACATAAAAAAGCAAATAATAAAAGATATGCAGAAAATTAGAAACGGTATCAACATAAATGTGGTGGAAATCAACAGAAATTGAGGAAATAAATACATAGAAAATTTTAACATGATTAAAAAGTATCAGGAAACACTATCCACAGCTTAAAGTTATTACCTACTTTTTGCAGCAATGCAAAGGCCCATTTCTTATGTTTTGAAATTGAAATGTTATATATGACTAGATACTTGTTTGCAAAATAAGTCCTTTGTTGTTTTGAAACAGGTACAGTTAACCTACAATAGGGAATTTATTATTTACTACATTACCGAATCTGTTTGTGTTTTATAATTTTTATGCTATCCACCTACTCATATAGTATCCGTTATATTAATTTTTCCGATTACCTGGTTGGTAGTGAAGACATTTTACTTAGTTGTTAGTGTGAAAATGGAGGAAGTGGTTGAAACGGAGTCAATTGTAACTTATTGTAATATAGAGTGTCTATGATGTGTGTGATTGTGATAATTATTTATTAAATTAATTTTATTACTCTTGATGTTACTTTTATTTTATAATCAACGGGGATGATAATAATAATAGGGGTAAAGTAAATGGAATTATATTTAGTCCATCAGTTAGATTATCAAGAATAATAGCTTAGAATCTAAAGTAATTTCTGAGAATATTGTGGTGTCTATAAGGCCCACATTTCTATCATTAACATTCACACTGGTTTTTATCTATTTTACATGAGGTAATACCAATTTCATACATTTCGTTTTTACTTCATTAAGTAATAAATTATTTACATTGAATCAGTACTACTTTAGAGATACAACTGTTCACGTCGTCAATAACTATTTCCTTCGGTTTGAGTTTAAATAAAAGTGATGTATCACCCGTGAATAACACTATCTCATGATTATCTCTTACATAGTAAGGTAAGTCATTAATATTAATCAAAAATAAGAAAGGACCAAGGATTGAGCCCTGCGGAACACCCATCTTAACCGGAGAACCCCGGAGACTTATTGCCATAAATGTCAACTCTCCAAATCCTATCCCTTAGGTATATGATCAATAAGATCCAGATCGGTATCTTTAAATCCATAGTTGCGGAGTTTCCTGAGTAATGTTTCATGAAAAACGCAATCAAAAGCCTTGGAAAAGTCGCAAAACAAACCGAGATCGTCTTGCGAGTTCTCCCAGGCGTCAAAACTTTATGGTATAAATTCAACACCGGCTTCGGTTGTTGAGCGACTAGCTAGCGTATTTATTGCAATATAATTAAGGTTACCTACATTCTTATTGGCGGAAAACGCATTACATCCAAAAACCCCCCATTTGTTATTTTTACTGTCATTAGATGTAAGATCTATTGTTACAATTGGTTGGTTATTGGTTGCAGCAAAAACCACTTCTGGGGCTCTCATCAAAGCTCTGATTCAACGAGGCAGTTTTATTGTGTTTTGACATTTCTAAAAGTGATATTGTATTATTTGCGTTATGTAGTTGTTTTTCCAGCATGTGAATACGCTGCAATGCTTGGTCATACTCATTCTACATTGATCAAAGCCATCTACGATGAATTGGAGCCTGTGACGATCATCAATAGCATCAATACACTGTTTGTGAAGTTCTGCTATTTCGCTCTTTAACTTTTAATTTTTATCTAAAATATCTTTTACTTCCCTCAAATATTGTTATAACCGTATTCCCCTGTTAAATCTCTATCCAGGTCATAAACTATACTTATGTGTACCAAATTTCATCCAAATCCGTTCAATAGTTTTTGCGTGATTGAGTAACAAACATACAAACTTTCACATTTATTTATAATATTAGTAGTATAGAATATTCACATCGTCCTTTTCTTCCTACTTAGTTAGCCAATATCAGTTTAGCAGTAAATATTTCATGTTATCTATTACAATTTAATGCAAATTTCTAAACAAACCACCTTTCTTATTCCTCAATTACTACACACATTTACTAACGACCAGCAAACTGGTTTACATGCAAAAATTTCGCCCTTAAGATTCAAAAGGGTTTTTTTTGCCAGTTCCACATAAATGAAGCATAGGTACGTATCATCTGGAAAACTAAGGTACTCCCCACAATATAAATATGTAGAGACAGATTTGATTGAAGAACAGATTGTGCTCTCGATAAGCAGGTCAATTAAAATAATTAGATTAAGAATCATGTTGAGAACAAACGCCCGCGACTTCCTAACATTTTTTCCGGATAAAAGTATCATTTCTGTGTCTCAATCCAGTTCATAAACTCTATTATTGGTAACCTATTTCATCAAAATCAGTAATTTATGCATGATTGAGTAACATACCTACATATAAACTTTCACATATAATATTAGTAGGATTTCATTAATACACGACTCACTAATGGTCACTGACCGTTCATATATTTCATATACGAGAGGACATCATAACACTATGAATTGAAGAAAATGTAGAGTTACGAAGCTTCCGTCTATGTATTTCTCTTCTGGAAATTTCGCGCATGCGTATAATAAAGAAAACAAAGATGGTGGCACAGCATCCATCGTTTTATCTGGGCTTTTCCGCAAAGATAAGCGACACAATTTACCAAAAATCATTCATTTCTCTTACAGAATTACCTGTGAGAAGGAACTATGTTAAGAAAATTAATATAACAGTACTAAATGAAGGAAACATAATAAAAGTTACGTGTTTCACATATAGGTAAGTTGAATTAATGTTTATTTTGTTTATATTAATGCAATTTTTGTATGAATTGAATATAGGCTTAGTGTATTGTACTTTTTCACATGAAGTAATTTAGTAAGTACCTGCCAAACCTCTAAACTAATTTTTTCGATAAAATGACATTCGTAAACTAAATTGAAACTGTATGTTTACTTTTCTTACGATATTTACTTGTTTGGTAAATATAAGTGTTTATAAAGTGAATTATGTAAACAAGTCAATGATGAATTTCATTGAATATCGATACGTTTACACTGTAAAGGTGGTATTAAAAGCACTAGATCTGAATTGACGGGAAAAGTAAAATAGAACCTTAATAAAAATATGAGTGTCATGAGGATAATGAAATGTTTAGTGAAACCAATACTAAGGTCAGTAACCTAACTTAGTAATTGTTATTCGTGTATGCAAAAAAAAATATATATAATGTTTGATAACCTATGTTCATGTTTTGGGGTTAGATAAAGTTGGGGTAAGTTATACTAATTAGGAGGAAACATGATTTAACTAAAGGTAGTGGCTATTATTGAATTATGTATTTATATTTAAATATTTAGGTTTTGTCAAACCAATTACGAGAGCAGGTTATCGGTCCTACTATATTTAGTACTAATAGCATATTATTATATTCACTACACGATGAGCTAAAATAACATAATACACTTAAGAATACCTAATCTAAGAAGTCTGGCAAAGTTTTAGGTCTACCTAAATATGGAAGTAAATGGATGTGTATTTACAGTCTGAAATCCTTAATACCTAATTGAGTTATAAATAAGATATAATGCACATCATACTGAAAAGCAATAAATATAATTTATGATTTTATTTATTTTTTAAGCATTTAACTGCTAGATGTTTAAATCTAAAGAAAAGTTTACTAGAAAAAAAATCCACGCGGACTAGGCAGCGGACGGGACGTCCCGTCATTTCTTTAAATATAATTTAGATAAATGTAACGGTGATTTCAGAATAAGACATGTGAAAAGGATATTAAATATGAAACAAGTGAAAGTGACAGCGGGCATTGTGGCAGTGGTATCGTGCTTCATAACACTTCTGCTATACTATCGATACCACATATTTACGCCGAGGACCCAGCACCATCCAATAAGGGCACTCGTACGAAAAGCTACCACACGACAGTACATTAAACTCACAAACTTACCAATGCGACACGTGCCACTAAATGAGATCTACCCAGACAACTCAGAATACGACGAGTCGCATGAAGTAAATGATATGAATAGACGAGGTAATATACAATTAAATTAATACGCAAAATATTAAAAAACCAATGAACATCACACAAAATTATATCAAAGTACTCTCCCTGCTGTTACAGCCTTTGTCGAAACCGCCGGATGTGAAATTCCCGTAGCAATGATTGAGTATAAAAAGTACAAGAAAAGACAAAAAAACTGCGGGAAGCGGGCCGTATTTCTGAAAAAAGTTGACGAGGAATATGTGCAAGTAATGATAAAAACTCGTGCAATGGGAAAGTATTTGAGAAAAAGTGTTAATTTCAGTTGCTGCTACCGATTCATTAGGAGGTCTTCTCATCATGAAACAACCAAAATAGAGTAAGTACAATCTAAGAAAACCTAATCCCATTTGTTATAAGAATAAAAGGATTAACATAACGGACATTTTTACCTTCCCATAATATACTCATGATATTTTAAAGAGATCATAACTGGTTTAATTAAATACACTTGATTATAAATTTCAGATATACCACATGTAAAAGAGTGGAAAATGGAGAGAAATTTCAGTTGGAAACTGAATTCGTAAACGTGAAGTGCTTTGAATACAATCGACATAACGTGACGCATATAGTTTATAGTGATGTCTACGTGTTTATAAAAAAGATATCAATACCAAACTATCAGATCAATAAAAGAAAAAAATACAATGTCTTGATGATCGGAATGGATTCAATGTCCCTGTCTCGAACCGTGCAAGCGATGAGCCAAACTGTTAACTTTTTTAAGGAAAACTCTTGGTTAGGTTTCAGAGGATATCATAAGGTGCGTATACAATGGAGTAATTGAATTTATTTAAATTTCTAAAGTTAGTCGCCACAATTATGCCTAGGTACATCATGATAGTCTAATGCAGTTCATTTGAGAATAGTAGTTGGTTATAAATAACACATAACACTTAGTTAATGAATAAAAATTGCTTCCAGATAGCTGACAACACATTTCCCAACTTGATGGCTGTTTTTACAGGCATGAATATGTCTACAATTTCTAAAATCTGCTCCAACAGTATGGATGAATGCAATGAACTTTTGTTATGGAGCCAATTTAAAAATTCAGGATACGTAACAGCTTACGGTGAAGATTATTTGCGACTTCCCGACACGTTTAGCAAAGAATATACATTCAAGAGCGCACCAACAGATCATTATTTAAGACCTTTTTATATTCATGGGGAAAACGAACTGTTCAACCGATCTATGGTGTGTACAGGAAAGTTGCCGTCGGGACAACATCTATTGGATTACGCATTCGACTTTGCTCTCACTTACAGATACTACTCGTTTTTCGGATTTTTTTGGATGAACTCATTCAGTCATAACGTCAACAGTCACCCAGAGGAAGCGGATAAAATGTTTGAAAGTTTTTTCAATCGGCTTACATACACTGGAATTTTAGAAAACACTTTCATCATATTTTTCAGCGATCACGGAATACGTTTTGGCGACTATCGTATGCAGACAGCGTCTTATTATGAGGAACGCAGTCCCGCTTTATTTATGTGGGCTCCATTGAGGTTTCAAGGAGAATATCCGTTACTTTTTAGGGCAGCAGCTGTAAATCAATTTCGTTTAATAACTCCTTATGATTTGTATAATACGATCGTTAATATTAATAGCTTATCAGAGACCGGAAATTCTACAGAAGGGGCATCAAGTGCTTGTCCAAACTGTCACAGCCTCTTTCATACAATTTCTGGTAACCGCACTTGTGCTGACGTTGAAATTCACCCCAAATGGTGTTCTTGCCACAAATTGTATCCATTAGATTCACACGATATCGAAGGCATGAAAAGTGCTATTTACGCATCGACCGAAATAAAAGCACTAGTTAAGAAAATAAAGACTGAGCGATGCTGGGGTTGTCTAAAGCTGGCGATAAGCAATGTCATAAGAATACATTTTTACTATAATGATTCAGGTTTATATTACGTGGTTGCATTTACTATGACACCAGGAAATATAACTTTCGAAGCAGTTGTTTCAAAGAAAGGCAGTAAATTACAACTTGTAGGCGATATCAGTGTTATATCAGTGTACAGAGGATTAGGAAAATGTGCACCACACCAGCGAGACAGACTCTTTTGCGTATGCCAGAAAAAAGAAAATTGTTAAATTTTGGAGATTTTGCAATTATAAAATTGGTGTGAAGATCTATTTTAATGATACACTCGTGAAATATATTTATTAACAGGTTTCAATGCCGAGCTATAAAATAAGCATACGTGAAAATAATTATGGGTTTTATTTCAAATAATAATAAAATAATGTGTTCGTTTATACATTTTAGAAATAAATATCCACGATATTTATCATTTAACAATAAGCACACCTACTTTACATAACATGGAAAATAGATTTATTTATAGATTGTGCAAAAATAATGAATTAAAAAAACACCACGTTAACAATGAATTTTCATAGACTTTCTGCCCGCTCAGCGCGTTAACAATGGATTGCCATACACTTTTCCCGTCGCAGCGCACACCGGCAGTGGCGCGGCGACGATAGTACTACGCGCGGCGACTGCGTGTGCAGCCAAGTCATCGAGCCGCGCGACTTTGAGCACGTGTTATTTCTAGCCGCCTGAGGTATTCAAATGCCTCGCGCTCTTTCTTTTTCTTTTGCATTGGCAATAACAATATTAAAAAAAATGAGCGTGAGGTATTCGAAAACCTCAGACTGCTAGAAATAACAATATAAAATCGCAAGCGTTAGCGTTTCCCTAAGCATTTCCGTTAGGCGATTGGCCCCCAGGTATAGTACCTATAAACCTTTTATCTATTCAGCGCTCGGTGAATAAAAACATCGAACTAAAATCAGAGGATTGTTTTGATAAACACAGCTGAAAATGTTGACCATTATATACAGGGTCGGATTTAGAGGTGTGGCGGCCCTGGGGCTGCGAAGGTGTGAGGGCCCCGGGCCGCCTCGGTATTTTCAAATTTGTAACCCCGGGCCACTTACGAAATTAATTTATTATTTATTATCTTTCTGTTGTGGGAGCCCTTGGGCCACAGCCCTGCCTGCCCTGCCTTGAATCCGGTCCTGATTATTTAATATCTATATACCGTAATGCTATTGAAAAACGGACAATAGGTTTGTTTTAGCTTGATGATTCAATCGAAAGACCGTTTCATTTGGTAGGTAAAGTAGGCAGTTCCATGACGATAGTATTACACTAAGTACCTACTTATTTGTGTGACTTACTTGGTGAATTAATTATGAAAGTATATTTGTGTTATTTACTACTAATAAAAACTGTTTCAAGTGAGTATAAAGCAAAATCAACAGGACCAACAAAACCTTAAGATAAAAAATAAGCGACAATACAAGAGCTAACTTTTGCGACGCAGGAGTCAAATTTCCATTTTTAAAATCATTCGAGGTGAAATTCTACCACATAAAAGTAAAAGTTTGTTAGTTTGTGTGTTTGTATCTATGTTGCTTGTTACTCAATCACTCAAAAACTGCCGAACGGATTTGGATGAAATTTGGTGCGCATATAGTTTATTACCGGAATTGAGACATACGATACTTTTATGCCGGATTTTTTTAGGTTTAACGCGGACAAAGTCGCGGGCGGCCGCTACTTAGTAATACATCCTCAATGTTTTCAAAAGCTTTATAAATAGACTAGCGGCCGTCTGCGACGTCGTCCGCGTTAACTTAAGTTTTTTGAGAATCCCACAGGAAGGAACCTAACGTTTTTCCGTGTTTTTCCGAAATATAAAGTATGTGTGGGCTTCACTCCAGCTCATGACTTACATATGTGTAGCAAACTTAATCCAAATCATGAATTTTGGGAGATTGAGTAACAAAATATATTTACAAAAATACAAACTTTGTCATTGATAATTTTGGAGTTTTGGTTGAAGTACTGGGTGGTGTTTTTAAGATTATTTCTGTACAAATAGAACCTATTAGGTATATTTTAAATACTTAGAATCTATTTCACCACATTTATTAATCAAAAATTATTGCTTTTCTTTACAGATGCTAAAAAATATCTTATAGATACACCAGGTTGTAGAATTCCAGACTTTAACTTAACTATACCCGACCTAAATAAGAGAATTGCATGCGGGGAACGTAAGGTTTTTGTGGAAAAAATCAATGATTATGATGTCATATTTACTATTACAGAAAATTTACAAAATTGTTGTTATAAATTTATAAAGACTGAGTTTTACAATGATTTTTTTCCCAGTCATGGTGTCGAGTAAGTATCATTATCATCATCATCAGCCCATTAATGTCTCTACTGCAGGCCTTCCCTATGGATGAAATAGGGAGACTGGGCCGGGACCCATCACGCGGGCCCAGTGCGGATTGGTGGGTGCTAACGCCTGCAGATACAGCAGGCTTAACGTGGCTTCCGAAGCACGGAGCAGTTCGTGATAATAATTTTCAGGTCAACTGGGTTTTCCTTAGAGATTGTATCACACAGAATATAATTTGGTATGATTACCTAGATAGGTATAAATAATAATAGATAATGGATGCCGTGAATACTTGGTCCTTCGTCAACAATTTAGGTAGGTTATATTACCTACTGGACTTACTCGACTCTCCGAGGAGCTCGATGGTGCAGGTGAAAATTAAGCAACTTTCGCAATGGTCGATCATTGGATGGAAGTGTGACCAATAAAATATTATCTCGAGCTCCTCCGTGCTTCGGTCCGTTTAACCGTTGGTCCCGGCTGCATCTGCAGTCTTTAGCGCCCACCAATCTGCAGGTGGCCTGCGTGTGGGTTATGCGTCATTCTTGAAGATCCATCCATAGGGAAGGCCAGCGACTGCAGTGAGTACGTTAATGGGCTGGTGAAGATGATAATGATATTTAAAGTATAAAATGACAACGCAGGTACACGAAATGCGAGCCAATCTCCAGCGGAGGTAAAGTGAAGCTTAAAAGTGATTTCATATTCGTGAAATGCAATAATTATGAAGATATTTATGGTTTCACGAAGAAAATAAGAAACATTAAACACAAGCATCAGAAAAGATACCATTGGAATGTCCTTGTTTTGGGTTTGGACAGGACTTCGAGAATGAGGGCGTACAATTCCCTAGAAGGCACAATCAATTATTTACAACAAGACAATTGGCTGGACTTTAGAGGTTACAATAAGGTAGGTACTTACTTCTTTTATTTCTTTTTAATTAATTGGGTTCATTCAAAGTTTTTACAACATTAGCTTTAACATTTATCTTTTAAATACATATTATATACAATTTTTGATCCCGATTGTTGATTAAAGTACCTAATGTGGTCTTTCTGCTCACAGGTGGGTCTTAACACGTATCCAAATTTAGTACAAGTGCTCACTGGCAAAAATGAATCTTTTTTTGAGAAATCCTGTCACATGGGTATGTCGGAATGCAACCATCTAATGGTGTGGAGTGAATTCAAAAAAGCAGGTTATGTTACAGCATACGGCGAGGATTCTATCTATCTACCTGATACTTTTTACAGAAAAAAAGGATACCGTAAATCTCCTACCGATCATTTTATGAGACCGCTTTTCAAAGCTTGCGAAAAAGAAGTGATCGGAACAGTTTGCAGCGAAAAGCTTTCATCAGGCGAACAAATTTTAAATTACATCACAGATTTTGTGCAGACTTACAGAGACGAAAATTTATTTGGATTTTTTTGGATAAGTTCTTTTAGTCATAATGAAAATCATTTGATAAGAAACTTCGATTCTGCATTGGAGACATTTTTCAGAAATTTGGCTAACATAGAAAATACTTTTATCATCTTTTTTAGCGATCATGGCATGAGGTATGGTGAACAAAAAAAGCATGTAGAATCGTTTTATGAAGACAGACTTCCGATGTTATTCATTAGAGTTCCTCACAATTTGGAGATCACCTTTCCTCAACTATATTCTAATCTTAGGATAAATCAAGAGCGTCTTATTTCCCCGAAAGATCTCCATTTAACACTGGTCAATTTGATAAACAGAAAAAATAGTTACACCCAGCACCCAAAACTGGAAGGTTGTCCAAAATGCCAAAGTTTATTTCAAAGAATACCGATACGTAGAACGTGTTCAGATGCTGGCATCCCTGATTACTTCTGCGCCTGCCGTGTTCTCACGCCGACTTCAATGAAGGAATACGGAGCAATGTACAGTGTGATACAGTTAATAGTAAAAATCCATAATACATCAAGAAATGTTCGAACAACACGCTGCACTTATTGTGAAGCTCTCTCTATTAAAGAAGTTTTAAGATCTCATTATTACAAGATTAAAAACGTTACTTATTATTTGTTCGCTTTCACAATGACTCCAGGTGATATCGGATTTGAAGGTTTGGTGTCGAAGAATCAAGATTATAAATATAAAATAATGTATCCAATCAATCCTATAACCACATGGAGAGTAAGTGGAGCTTGTGCTTTGCATCCCTCTGATCGTGCATATTGCGTCTGCAAAAAGAAACACTCGTGTAACACACATAGAAGAAGATTAGTAGTCAAACATGGACCGGCGTTAAAGTTTCACCAAAAAAGTAATCCCATGTCCAACAGAAAAGTCAGTAATATTTGGCAAAGAAAAAGAACTATAATAAAAAGAATGGTAGGAGAATCCCCTTTTGGTTCTGTAGTATCTAGACAAATGTTTTAAAACCAACAAAAAAACGAGTGAGCCTTACAGTAGTCGCGTATGATGTGTAACATTTGAAACCTCACCTTATATTAGTAAAAAAAGAAATAATACCTACTACAAAAGGAGTAAATCAAATAGCGCGCGCTTTCGGGACTTCCTGTAACACACTTCCGTCCCATTTCACGAAATCACTCCCACAAATTGCAGGAAAGCGAGAGAAAAGATGTTACACATCAAAAAAAACGACGGGTTGCACTCCGGGAGTGCCGGCAGAAGTGAAAACATGAATATTAACGATGTGCAATTTTGATATTTTGGAATGATTAGGGAATAATTTTGCACGAATTGCTTTAATTATCAGTATAAAAGTACTATCATTTATGTGGTAGAATACAATATTTATTTATTGCGCTATCGTACACAAATATGATAATTTATATTAAAAAGTTTCTCTCAGAAAAATCAACTTACATGAATCACATTTAAGCGCACCTAACGACATCTATTGTAAAAAATGCATTTTCTTCGCAATATAGCTGCCACCTGGACGTCCTAGTTAGAGACTTATTATTAAAATATTACTATGCTTCGTCCAATATATTGAAAGTCGACAACCTTTACAATTTTATTGTTTTCGTCTTACGCCACGTGTCCTGACGCGAGTTTAACATATTTTACCCATACAAAAAAAGTATACAACGCCGCTAAAGAAGTTTTCACTTCAAAAATAATGGCTTTTTGTTTGTTACAAACGCCAAATATACTTAACAAAGTACCAAACGCCGATAACAATCAGGCTAAGAACTCTCGACGCGATTTTCTCCCAAATTGTAGACTGTATTTGTAGGTAAAACGCAAAAGCAAAACTGACAACGCGATTTGCGCCCGCAGAGCGCGCGGGTGTTTACGGCACCCCTCGCTGCGGGCGGCGCGCGTGAAGCGCAACCAGCCGCGGCGCACCGCAGAAAAATTCAGTCCGTGAGTTTTGAAACAAAAGTTCTGCGGCGGCGAGTGAGGAAAGAAACCACTCCGTGTGTTCTTAGCAATCAACACAAACAGGCTTGGCTTTGGCAGCTATAACTTAATGTGTTTGTTATTTATCCACTGGTGAGAAGCCGAATGCATAACAATGACATTTTGAAATACTTAAGTTTTCCAATGTATTATTTTTTAAATAATTTATAAATGGTCTTTAACGGTTTTATTTAGCTTGCTCTGATTTTATTTGTGAGGGGCCTTTGGTCCCTTTCCTATTGACCAAATAATCTGACATTTGGTAACCACTTAAATAATTTCACTGGTACGTGTATGTATTGTATTTATAAAGAAACTGAATCTATCAAAGTGTATTGTCACCAAAATTATTGCTTTATTATATTACGTAAACATAGGTACATAATTATATTTAAAACAAAAAACTTATGAATAGCACCTTCAACGTGCGTCAAAATAATATTATACTAGGCATATAAAAATGTATAACGTAATTTTAAATAGGTATGCCTAAATGATGAAATGTGGTTTGTAAATTACATAAATTATTTGTACATTTATACCTAAAGATTTAAATGTTGCATGAACCGCAATAGTTTTAGGGTCATTTTAAACTCTATTTACAAAATATTTATATTTACTTATACACATTTATAAAAAATGTCCTAATATATACGGGAATATCGAGAAGTTTTATCTGCTAAATACCACAACAATCCAAACGAATTTTCAAGTTTTTTTTATGTTACCTATATACACTTATGTAATCAGTGGTAAATAAGTATAAATTAATTAATTTATAAGTAAAAATAAAAAGTTTGTTTAAAATATTTTAAAATTGATTAAACAATATCATAGTTTTAAACATAGCACAAAAGTTTTAATAAATTCTAAATGTATTATTAGTGATATTTATTTAAAGTGTACAATCTTAAATTATTATCTATTTAAAATTGCAAGTATCACTACAATTCTAAAAATATCTTTCAATTATTTCATATAAGAATTCAATAATTTAAATTAAATTATTATTCAATAATTTATATTAATTGACCAGGCTTAAATGCAACATTTTTTCATTACTGGCACCTAAAACGTTTATATAAGTTATTTTAAATATGTTAGTAAACACATTTTCATAAATAATGTATTTATCATTTATAATTCTTTTCAAACTAGTTAATGAGACACATTTAGTTACTTCAAGCTATAATACTTTTCATTAAGCTTGACGTTTCTGATATTCTTGGGTACATCACAAATAAGGACAGTTGCAACAAAGCTAACACACTTCCTATAAAATTTGGCACCTGAAACAAAAAAAAAACAAATGTAAGTATGAACATGTTTATACTACAGTCAGAACATCAACAATCTTTTATTGTTTTTACAAACTATATACTTACAATTAAATATGAATCTTCTTCTATAAATCCATATAAAGACCATAAAGATGAGACGAAAAAAGACATCAGTATCATGGGAAACGGTAAACATTCAGTACTCTTCACTCTTAAGACATAAATCAGCTTACTCATTGGTGCTGCTATGGTCATCAAAGTCAGTGAACAGGCCAATAATCCTGAAAACAAAACGGAAGAATTGCAGTTCACTTTTCTAACAAAATAAAAAAAAATATAAACATGCGTGCGATACTAAAATTAAAATTGTAAGGATGGCAGAATAACCCTAACTTTTTTAACTCAGTATCATTATTTAGTTGCAAACTAGGCAGAGCCTGTAATAATATGTAACTTATTAACTATTCATATGAACAACAAACACGACTCGAGAATAAATATTAATTACACACAAATTCATGCTCTTTTTCTGTATTCCAGTACCCAGAACTTTTTGAATTTGAATAAAAGACAGGAGCACTACCGCTGCACCAATTGATTGTTTAATGAAATAAAGATACACTTGATAGTTCAGATATCATATAATGCGATTAATGTGAATCGCATGTGATAGGCTGGCTATGTCACCAAACCATAATAATATATACAAGCCACTGCACTATAGGACCAACCGGCGCGGCGGTTCAAATCTTTGCTAACCGATAGTTTCCATCTCAAGTTCAATAACTACTTTGTATTGCTATATTCTTTTGATTTTCAATTTGAAATTACATTTTTAAGTTAAATTTACCATTACAATGAAAAAAAGTAGATAAAATAATGTCTAATGCTTTAATCGTGTTTCAATGATTTTTAGCCTATCCGCCTTCAAAAGCCAATTACAACAAAAATAGGCTGATTAAGTACTTTTTTTTATGATTTTTGGTAGTTGAAAAGCATGCGGAGTTTTTAATTTTAGCCAGAAGCTATGGAAACCCTTTTTGTATTGAAATTGAACGTTTGAGTAAATCCTACTAAAAACTAAAGATCCAACTTTTAAGCCTTTTTTGAGTAACTTTAAGTAATTGCAGGAAGTTGAGTTATTTTTTTATTAAAACAACATTCAAGACAATTATGTCACAAAAAAAGACTGCAAAATACCTACTACGAAAAATTCAATCATTCAAAAATCGAGGCAGAAATCATTAAAAATATACAAAAAAAATATAACTCGAAAACTAAGAGAAATCGTCGTATTTTCGGATACCCCCCGGTGCAAGGAATCTAAAAAAAATTGTTGACGTCACTAGTTGGACCACCCTGTATAAACAGTTACATGATAAGAATTCTTAAAAAAATGATTTTTGTTTACCTATACTCAACAATAATTAACACCCTAGATCAGGGGTTCCCAATCTTTGGAAACTCGCGGCGCAGTTACAAGTTTAATATTTTTTTCGCGGCGCCCTGTCCTAAGTACCTACAATAATAGTAGTTAAGTCAGGTTGATCGTAACGAAAATTAAAACACCACATTAACACCACAATAAAAGCTGAATTTTATATTATAAAAGAATTTGAACGGAAAACAACAAGAAAAACTTAAGAAAAAACAAAAATTAAATACGATATTCAGGAAAATCAATGTGAAGGGTGAGCTTGGTGATCTCCGCACAGTTTTTCTTGCTCAACATTGATCTTTGAGCGATATTTGTTCTTTATCACAGCTACAGCTGAAAACCCGGCTTCACATAGATACGATGTTGCAAACGGAATGAAAATTTTTAATGCTTTGGAAGTTAAATTTGGATATTCATTTTGGATCGATAACCAAAACTCCACCAAATCGACACTCCCGAACACACACTTAACCCCTGCCCTAGATACAACACGAACAAAATTGTTACCGAAACCTGTTCAAAGGGTACATTGGACGATCCAAGGAGCTTCGATGATCGAAGGGCGGGACATATTCGTAGACAAAAATATAAATATGTGAGCAGGATTTGGCGGTGTATTGTGTAATTTTTTGTGTGAGTATGGCAATTACATTTTATTTTTTTTACGAATGTATATTACACTACATTTGTGTGCATATTCTTCCCCCACAAAGAGTGGTATAATAATTTCAATAGTATTATGTCGCTATGGGTACTCCCTACCGTGTTGCTCTATGATAAGGACTTTATGGACTGAAGACGGCATGTGGTCTTAGATTAAAACAAAAAGGGAAGATACGGCACTCGCGGCTTAAAATGTGATCCGCTTAAATTGTGGTGCATGACCACAATTCGCTTTAGTCACAACTGGACATTCAAACACGTTGCATGTGCACTCAATAAAACAAAATTGCGTATATTCTGTTATATAGATCAAATAATGACTTAATGACTTTGATGCTTTTATAAAGATCAAAAATAGTTCAAAATCAAATAATAAATGCCTCGGCAACATTCGAATAACTCTAAAAAAACGAGGAAGTTTGACGAGGTTTATCAATGTACAAAAGAAGTTCTTCTATGAAACGCTGTTGGGCATACTTTTTTATCTTCTTTAAGTTTCTTGTTATCTGGGGATGTTGCTGACCACTTCTCAAAACCTAAATTGTAAGAAATATGTAGTAACATTTCCATAAATCTTATCCATGCGTGAAATGCCGATAATCGGTATTTAATTGAATTTTCATTTTTTACTCTCGTTGACACGTTTAAAATATCATTCATTTGTCTAGGAGTTGCTCCACAAACAATGTACGTAGCATGTTAACACTTAAGCAACTTTCCCATCACTCATTATCATAAACAGTTCACTTCGATGACTTTAGCGTGTATAGTACCACATGACTTTTAATTTTGGCTTCAACTTGCCAATGGGCCCTAGTTTATTCGGGTGTTTCTTTAGCAAATTCTAATGAAATTGGTCTGCAATATATAACATCTGCTCATCTGAGCAAGTAGTATTTCGCCATATATCTGCATTACTTTCCTCGTGCACTACTTGCAATGGTACAAGCGATACTATAAACAAATTAGCACCCGAGTAGCAGTTTGTTTATACTCACTCTGTCCGGAGGATCGCAATTGTAATTTGTCGATACCGACTTTATCTTCATAATACGGCATACAGTATGATCTTAAAGATCACGCAGATTTATATTTACCGTTATGCTGGATGCACGAGGATAGCAAGCCTTTTTTGCTTCACTTAATGTTTGATACGAAGGTAGTACGGAACTTAATTTCTTTTCAACGAGGTTTTGTCTCAGTTATGCATATTGGGCTTAGGTTAGATCTGTTTCAATACACATACTCAATGCCTCCTCTTTGGTAAAAGAAAGTGCATTATCTCGATCTAGTATATTTTGTAACATTACTTTTTTATCTTCTTTTTTCTTATTTCGCATAATACTCACAATGAATGCTTCGTAGTTTTCACCCATTGATCGTACACCTTGCACATAAGCGTTCAATATTTTTGCGTTTCTTTGTATTTTCCGAACAGTCGTCGTATAATTTTGTTGATCTACCACGATCACCAGAAGTATTCGAACCAGAATTTTCAGATGTTGAGATACTGCAAGACTCCAATGGTACTAAAAACTCACCATTAAACCAATCTAAGTATAGGCCTGGCAGCCTTTCTTTGAGCTTTGGTCGATTTCTGGTTGCAAGTTGTGGTAAAATTTTGTTAAACGTATTATTTTGTTTAATATATGTGTATTCTGTATTACAGAATTAGGCGTTGAGCAGACGACGGGGCGGGGCGGGCATTTTGTCCGCGAAGCAATAAAGACCGCGTCTGCCCGTCGATGTCTGCGGCTGCCCGCGCCGCATACACAAAGCACACGACGGGCAGAGGCGGTCAGTTTAGGACGTTCGTTCTAGTGAATAGTCCATCACTAATAAGCGCGTGGCGCGGACTGTGCTGACCGCCCCGCGCCGCCGTCTGCGTTACTGCATCTAAACTGGTTTGTATGATCCACGGCGGGCAGCCGTGGACATGCCGCGCCGCCACTGCCCGCCGGGCACCTGTGGCGCGGTCTTTTTGCCCTCTGTGTGCGTTTGAAGTATAGGATTCACTTTGTACTATTATTTGCGGCGAAATTGACCGGCCCGCTCCGCCCCCTCGTCTGCAAAGTGCCTTAACGTCTGTTTCCGATAGTTGAAAGTTACCTAATACTTTTCGTGATCTGAAGCACTTTTCCTGCTTATTATTTGATCACATATATCGCATCGCACACAATTAGTGCATTGTGCAAAAACCATGGGACAATGGATTAAAACAGTTCTCACCGAAATAGTGTTATGACTACTGATTATAATGACCTCATAATATATACACATTAGATAAATAGCACTTCCACAGTGATAGTTTATCATACTTTTTTTTTAAGTTTGGAAAATCCATTACAGATTCTCCGCCCACCACCCAGTTTATCATACCAGGGGGTCATTCGCCTAACGGGATTGCTATGGCTATCCCTAACGCTTACGATTTCATTTTGTTATTTCGGGCTACCTGACGTTTTAAAATACCGCGCGCTTTTTTTTCTTTTGCATTGGTAATAACAATATCAACGAAAATGAGCATGAAATATTTGAAAACCTTCGGCGGTCAGAAATAACACAATAAAATCTTAAGCAATAGCGATAGCTATAGCAATCCGGATAGGCGATTGGATCGCTGTGGTTAAGGCGATCACCGGAAACAAAAGTACCATGGGAAGATTTTTTCAAATATAATAGTAGTTCATTCATTTGTTACTATATGCTTTTATATTAGAAATTATTAAAATAAACAATTTAACAGTCAAAATGTAATAATAAAGAGACAAGAGAATAATCATAATTTTCTCAAATTTCTTTATATTTGGCTTTTAAATAAATCAATTTGATTCAAAAAATAATTTTTGATGTGCGACATCTTTCCTCTCGCTTACCTGCAATTTATGGGAGTGATTTCGTGAAATGGGACGGAAGTGTGTAACAGGAAGTCGCGAAAGCCCGCGCTATTTGATTTGATTTTAGAACATAATGTTCAAATGGCTTATTCCTTTTGTAGTAGGTTTTATTTCTTTTTTTACTAATATAAGGTGAGGTTTCAAATGTTACACATCATACGCGACTACTGTAAGGCTCGTTTTTTTTAAGTCTGATATTACTGAATAAGCAAGGTCTCTAATAGAGTGATTAAGAAGACACTGAAAACTTTCAGCAACAAGGAAAACTCCAATTGAAATAAAAATATACAGGATTATTTAATCCTTACTCCACAAAAAAAAACATAAACTGATGTGATTGCAAAGTATACATTCTTAGCTTTCTAATGATGTATAACACTTACATAGTTCTTTAGAAACCTTCTGAATAATTTTATTTGAGGTTCATTTTATAAACGTAAAACTATGATATTTTAAATTTCTAGATTTTTATTGGAAAGCCCCATTCTGTTAAGTATAGCACCATAAGAACTGTATGGAATTACAACTTAAGTTGAAACCATTTTTGAGATCGAAAATACCGTTTGGTCCCATAGTGCACTGTTTCACTTCAATTATTTTAAAGTGTATGATATAGAGCAGGGGTGCTCAAACTTGAACTGCTGGTGATGTACCTCAAAATTTTTAGGCTACTAACGATCGACTCTGAGAGGCTGCAAGTGTGTGTGATGCAGGGTTTTTGTACATACACAATACACCCCACCTACCTACCTACCTAGGTAGGGTGTACCGTAGCATATATCGACTGGTCGATCGCGATCGACCGTTTGAGCACCCCTTTGTTTGATATAGAGTATGCCTAAAATATGGAGATGTTCTACTACTCCAAGTGAAGATATTGTTCAACTTGTATTAATGTCATCACAATAAAATTGCTATTATCCTTACCTAATCTGCTTAAAAGTTCTTCATTGTCTTCTTCTACAAACACATATCCCATAACAAATAATAAAAAACACACCATTATAATAATTTGTTTTAACAAAGATGACTTTTTAAATGTATAAATGTAGAATACTATAGTATAAGCTACCATTAGAGTTACTCCAATTATATTGACTAAAACGATTTTATCATCACTTTTCGTTAGCCCATAAAGAAGCCAAAGTCCAGACCTGAAATACAAGATTTTTAAATACAGTGGTGTTGATTCTGGCATGGTTCTCTAAACTTCAAACTAAATTTAACATCAGTCTCTCCTTTTCATTCTATATGTGGAATAACAAGAATACACTATTGCCAAATTTATGTTTGGGTTTAGAGAACCCTGCCAGAATCGACACCATTATCTGCATTAATAAATTTGAAACAGTATACAAACATAAATATGATTGTGATAATAAAAAATTGTACATACCTTTACAGGTAGGTAACAAATAATATTGTTTATAATGAAAATATACTTACGAAACGATTCCAAAAAGAAAAGGTAGTGGTGATGCTTCGGCAGTAGTTCGGTTAGATACATACTGTTTACATACTAGTCTGTAATGAAACAAACGATTGGAATACAAAGTTAAAACCGTAATTACAAAATAAAATAGGCTTTACCGAAATTACTTACGTGCCAGATAAAAATTGAAGCACTGTTGTAATTACAGCCAAACTGCTGACAAAACCCCTTAAGTCGGATAAGTTCATTGTGTATAAATTATAACTGAATAATCAACCATTCTTTTTCGAAAATAATAAATAAATAAAGTCTAATCACAACAAACACAAAGCGAACAGCCCGCCAGCTAGACAGAAACTTGCTTGTCAATGTCAGTCAATGTCATTTTTTTTTTAAATATTTTCCCTTCATGTGAAGACAAAGCATTCTAACAGACGCTAATTTTTAAACAATTTATTACATTTTAGGTAGCTTTCCAATTACAGCATTATAGCCCATTAGGCGGCATAATGCTTAACGTTGAGTGTTCCAACTACAGCAACGCTTCGCACAATCGAGCACTCTCAAAAGTAATGCTTTCGTGTGATGCGTACAATCGTACCAAATCAGAGACAGAAAATTAACAAGTGATTTTTCTTTAAGTTGACATTGATCGAAATGTTTTATTTATATGTTATCGTTAGTCATACTATTTATTGTTGAAAAATTATTAAAACTTTCGTTTCATTACAGTTTTTTAATTCAAACTGTGTTAAAAAATTAAATATAAATATGGATAAAGGTACAAACATTGACTTTTTTTTTCAACACTGAACTTAGAGCACTCTGCTGGTGCATTTGAAAACTAATTCACGTTCCAATTAAGCATCAGCATAATTGGGCATTGTGCGGCACTGAGTCGCATTATGCTCTGTAATTGGAAAGCATACAGTGTAGATTAAGCAAGGTGGCCATAGTGGCAGCAAGCAACCTGCCTAAAGGTACACTGAACGATCCACGGAACTCCGTAAGATGATCGCGTAGTCAAAATCAATATAAGGGTGCGGCCAGAGTGCACTCAGATTCAGATTCAGATTCTGAAAACAAGCGCGAGAAATAAACAGTGTAGTCGAAGGGTACGGCCAGATTGCACTCCTGATTCAGATTCAGATTCAGACTCAGAAAACAAAGCGCGAGAAAAAGCAGGCAACCTGCTTAGACTACACTGTTTATTTGGCCGTACCCTTAGGGTGCGGCCAGAGTGCACTCAGATTCAGATTCAGATTCAGATTCTGAAAACAAGCGCGAGAAATAAACAGTGTAGTCTAAGCTGGTTGCCTGCTTTTTCTCGCGTTTTGTTTTCTGAGTCTGAATCTGAATCTGAATCAGGAGTGCACTCTGGCCGTACCCTTCGACTACACTGTTTATTTCTCGCGCTTGTTTTCAGAATCTGAATCTGAATCTGAACCTGAGTGCACTCTGGCCGCACCCTAAGGCATTATTTTGATTTTGACTACGCCAGGGTGGCCATAGTGGCAGCAAGCAACCTGCTTAAACTACACTGTTTATTTCTCGAGTTTTCTGAGTCTGAATCTGATTCTGAACCTGCGTGCACTGTGACCATACCCTACGGCAGTGTGGGCATGTCTTTGTAACAATGAAGCACCGAACAGCAGCGTCTTTACATTTGCAGCCACGAAATGCTGGAACGTCCTCCTGCCGCCAGTGCGTAATTTGAAAACAATTCACACATTTAGGAAACATCTAAAAACTCATTTACTCCATCTGCAAAGCTTGTTATAGTATCTTTGACTTACTTTAGAGTTTTTCACTTCACGTACAGTTTGTCTATAAAGTCGTGACATGAATGTTTGAGGAACTAATATTATTCATGTGTCTGGCAACACCAAACTTATGTACATCAGCTGTCATCAAGTTTCAGTTGTGGAACAGTTTTCCTTTTGTATTTTTTATTGTTTGGATTAAACTGTAATAAATTAAAACGAAACTACGCAGAAAGGTATAAAAATGAATAAAGTAAATCGGAGTAGCACGCGGGAAGTGATTTTTAAAGTTTTCCAGCGATGTTTCGAAGACTACCAAGCTGGACGAATTTTGTGGGATTTGGATGATGTTTATGGGCGAACAGCATCTATGACGGGTATGTAACAACCCTTACCAAAATTTTACCCTAAGTATTTTTTAAATTCCCCTAAATAAAGATATTTATATGTACCTACTTATCTTAATACCTAAATTCTTTCGTTACTCATAAATTAATACGTTACATATTTAGTTACAGTAAATTATTTTATTGAATAAATACATTTTCCGACTGGAAAATCAAACGAAAATGAGTTGACAGGCTGTTAAATCTTATTTAGCTGTTTTGATTGGTGGAAGGCAAACAACTTTAGTCCATACAGCCTTAGGAAACAATCTGCCACACAGTCAGTTCAGTCGTTTCATATCGTGGTGCATTCCATTCTACGCAAAAACTGAAAGAAAACACACGCTTTGTTTTTCGATTAATTGCAAGTTTTGTTAAAAGCCCCTAAAAGAACCCCCAAAAAATTCCAGCCCTTAAAAAAGTCCGTTTTAACCCTTCTAGCCCCTAAATCTGGGGGCAAAACCCCTAAGTTGGGAACCATGGTATGTAATCGTGTAACTATTTGTTGTTGTTGTAATCTGCCTGAAGTTACAAATTTACTCAATTTACGATTTTGACACCAAAAAAGGCATTGTTTACATTGCACATTTTTAGGTTAGATTGACATTGTAAATAGGTAATATTGTAGTACGACCATTTTTTTTTGATACGTTGTTAAGGTTCAACTCGGTCACGTTTTCTACCAATTTTGAATTAATTGCTTCATGTCAATAAGTTATTGTATCTATTTCGTTACATATTTTTTTACCTTTTTTTCAGGAAAATCAGAGAGTCGGATAGTCAACGAAGGTTTTAAGAATGATGGAAAGTTTGAAACTCCTGGGAAAACAGGCAAGGCCGACCAAAGAAAGAAATGGTCACATAAAGAACCATGGCCAGATGCTTTTAGTGAAGATACCTATCACCAGTGGCGGTGCTAGACCACATGTGGACGTCGGCGACATCAAGTTCGCGAGGCCTATTTTACTTCGCAGTAAAAAACCGTTAAATTAAGTGAGCCAAATTATAAAATAACGTATGAGTTTAGTTGTATATGTTTAGTTATAACGTTATATGTTTAGTTATTATCAATTAATTTACCTGCTATGACTATCTAAATTGAATAATATCGAAATAACTATTGCTTTGAAATCACAAGAGCTTAAAGATGTTTTAAAAAAAAAAATTTGAACCACAAGAAATATACTAAACTGGTGTGGATATTGGCATGATTCTCTAAACCTAAAATTAAATTTGACAACAGTGTATCTTTGTTATTCTCTATACAGAATGGAAAGGAGAGACTGATGTTAAATTTAGTTTTAAGTTTAGATAATCATGCCAAAATCGACACCAACGTATATAGGTATAATCGTAAACCTAATGGTAACTCATGCACTTAAATAAAATCCTTGCCTCTCTTTCTAGATAATTGTCAACTACTGATTAATTAAAATTTAATATCATTGTAATATAACACAAAATAAAATTAAGAATCTTATACAAATTGTAAATTTTTTAAGCTCGCCAAGTCAAGAAAGTAAGATAGGTATAGTAATTTTGGAAGCTTTGGGCTTACCCTATTCTGAAGCCATGGGCACGCCCCTGATGTGTGGGAGACTAAGCAATTTGCGTATTTGATGTGCGCTAAAAAACCGACATAGCTTGGAAAAGCACGAATGTAGTGAAAACTTAGCGAAGGCATTCGCAAATGTCGTCCCACATATGCGGGTTGGCGCATTCGTGCTAACGAATGTGAGTGCTGATCAGGTCATTTTTTGATTTCCTGTCGTGGCTAAAACACAAACCGTGGGAGCCAATAAAAAAAATCCTGCTTGGCGCGATTTCATCAAGCGCTTTTTACGAAAAAGCTGGCTCAATGCATTCTGCGAGAAACTCGCCAACAAGGATATGAATGTGTCGCACTCACCCCGTATTCTAATTTCAATAAAAAATAAAAAGGAAAAAATATGGATATATCGATAATATTGAGATAAAATGGTCGATATATCGGATATCGATATTTTCCTGACTTCGATATAAATATCGATATTTCAAAAGACTGCATCCCTAGCTGTGGCATTATACTGAGGCAGGGACCTAGTTGGCCTTCTTTTTTTCTGTTATTGCTTTTGTTTTGTGTAAGCCTACTTAAGGCTTATTTATTTCTTTCTTTCTTTAATAGAATAAAAAAAGGTATTTTTTTGAATACAGAACAAAATCTATATCGGACTAAATACTGATCGAGGAAAGTAAGAACTTCAATAATTTAAAAATAAAATTTTGGTAAAATTAAAATAAATAACTTTAACAGAAAAAAAAATATTTTACTAGTACGTCATCACAGTTTTTTTAAACTACCTATTTACTGTGATACAATAAAAGTACGTAATGCAACAACTAATGTAATCAAAAAATATACCTATATTGGTAAAAAAAGGTAACTTTCTACCACACTGAAACATTAATTTGTGCAATCGTTAATGTGTGTGGCAATCAAAATCAAAAGTTAGACCCATAAATTTGCTAAAAACTAAGTATAAATTTTGTTTTTAATATACATCACAGATATTTTTCCCTAAAGCAGCGAAGTAGCATGGAGTGGACATTCACTCTGCTTAGAATATGCTCTCAGCCACTCTGTGCTCCCGCATTAGGTAGCACATGCCCTAAGACTGATTCAGACTATGCTAAATATTCTCAAGCTCTTTAGAAAATGAAAAGGATAGACTACTAGCAAAAAACAGTTTTTCATGAAACGTTCTACAGCTATGCTTTTGAGTATCTAAAATTCTAGATACTGAAAATGTTATGCACTGGTAGTTTTTAGAAAAAATGCAAATTGCTACATCTTCTTCTTATTTTAGGGCTTGTTTGTGTTATAACAATTCCTCCAATGTCACGCAGCTTTGACACGTAAGGGATCACTTTGATCCGATAATTTATAGGTAACTACATAAAAAATCAAAGGTATCTTTCTACCACACTAAAACATTAATTTGTGCAATCATTAATGTGTGTGGTAATCAAAATCAAAAGTTAAGACCACAGAACACAGAAAGAGGTTAGAATGGCCTTGTGGGCGGGGCAGGCGCGTCGCAGTTATGAGCAAATGCTCATAACTTGACCGTAACGTCCGATCGCGTCGTTTAGTTGCCCGCGACCGCTCAGTGAGAGAATATTGTGATTACCGCTTAAAATATGCCTTCGTGTGCCGTAATTACTTGCAAAGTAAGGAGTCAATCATCCAATCTACCTAAAGCAGGAATTTCTTTTCATCGGTGAGTATAAAACTTCTTAGTTACACTGATATTTTAGCAAATATTCGAGAAATTTTAATAAAATGATAAATCACACATATATTTCCACAAAAATATTCATTGCTGACAAAGTACGCTCGCTATTCTTTCTACGACATTCAAAACACGTAATGTAGTACGATCGAGCAAGAATGACGGGTGGATCACAGAGCGCTGCACGTGGCCGCACGCAGTACAAGGTCATTGCACCTACTTTAGTGGTGTCTTGCGTCGTACATTTTACATTTTCGATAGATTTTATCGACTGAATTTTAGCACCTAATAATGGAATTAAAGTAACTTTTAGAAATAAATAAAAGCTGATTGTGAATGTTCATCATACTTAATATTATAAAGGAGAAAGTTTGTGAGTGTGTATGTTTGTTACTTTTTCACGTCTAAACGGCTGGAGCGTTTTTAATAAAATTTGGTATGGAGTTAGCTGACACCCTGGATTAACACATACGCTACGTTTAACTGCGGGAAAATATCCCTAATAAACCGCAGGTAACACCGCAGGCCACAGCTAGTACAATATAATATAAAGCTGAAAAGTTTGTTTATAGTCCAGTCAAAATAGACATTTGACTTTGGAATAATTCGCATAGAGCTGAAAATTGGCAGAGACGTTAAATACATCATTATAAAAAATGTCAACAATCCCCTTCGATCCTACTATGCAAAAAAAATTCAACTAAAAACGTACAAAATTATGGTTTTTCCACTTTTCTCGAAAACGGTAAGTTTTGTCGTGAAAGTAGGTCAGACAAAAGTTGTAGACCATACAATTCTATACAAAAATGGTCAAGTCACTTTTTCTCTCACGACTCACCATTCGTGAGATATCGCGGTTTTAATAATTAGAAAATTCTTTTTTACGTAATATGCACACATTTCTGCACCACCTCTGAGGTAATGTACTTGGCGGATTCAAAGTAGGAAAAAATCCGACATGTACATGTACCTCATAGGTGGTGCAGAAATGTGGTGGAACAAAAATCCCATTCGATCCTACTTCTGCAGAAAAAAATATTCAAGGTGTATCGTACACAATTATGGTTTTTTTCCATTTTTCTCGAAAACGGTAAGTTTTGTCGTGAAAATAAGTGAGACAAAAGTTGTAGACTATTCAATTCTCTACAAAAAAGGTTCAGTCACTTTTTCTCTCACGACTCACGATTCGTGAGATATCGCGGTTTTAATAATTAGAAAATTCATTTTTTACATAATGTGCACACATTTCTGCACCACCTATGAGGTAATGTACTTGGCGGATTTTTTTTCAAAGTGGTTTCCCCAGTAGGTATACTCCACGATGTATTGTAAGAAAGAAAGTTTGATCAGATCGTATCCTATTGGTTGATAGAATGGTTATATTGCTAATGATTAAATTTGTTTTCTTAATGTTATTATATTAGATAATTGTCTCATTCTTCTCCGACAATTATTTCTTCGTCTTCATTTTCTTCTTCTTGCAGAATTTCTATTCACTGTTCTAAGAAAAGGGATGCAACAATTGTCTCTTCATTAATATCATAAATATTTTCATCTGTTGTATTTTTTCAATATTGGAGCAAGTCTGACGCTGACAATTGATGCATACTGGCGAAACAAATAATCCCACTTTATGACAGCCATAATTCTTACTACAATCCGTCTTGCATTTACAAAAAATAGGATTAAGCAGTTTTTCTGCATATATATATTATGGCCATATCCGGTCGTGATGATGTTATAAAAATATGCAAAAATGCAGAAACTGTAATACGACAACATGCAGATAATTTGAAATATGTCAAAAAGGAAATTTTAGTTACAAAAATATAAATAAAGTTTATTGGCACTTCATTATTTGATGACATATCATTTTATCAAGTCGGTGAATTCCCATTATCTAACCACGTTACAGATTCAATTAAAGTGGTAATTGAAAAATATATAGATATATTTCTTTTGAACAATAACTTTAAAAAAGAAACAAAGCGTCAACTTTTTCATAAATATATATTGTTTAAAGGTCAATAAATAACTATCTGTAGTAATGCGTTTTACATTAAATCATTTTCTTTATCTTTACTGACTTTGACAGGATACAAAAAATTCCATACAACCAAGTCAAATCCAACTCTCACTTGGCATATTTAATATCGATACTATTTCATCGACTCAGTGGCAACCACTAGAGCTAAAATCGGTGTGAACGAATGAACGCTCACAGTCACGACTGTGAGCGCTGATTCGTTCGGTTGCTTGATGTCGCGTCGTTTGATTGGCTTATTATCTATTAGGTGGAAGTGTAGTGGGGACGAGCCGGCGACATCGGTTCTCACACTGGCGATCGCTTATCGCCCTTCTAACCTCTTTCTGTGTTCTGTGGTTAAGACCCATAAATTTGCTTAAAACTAAGTATAAATTTTGTTTTTCATAAACATCACAGATATTTTTCCCTAAAGCAGCGAAGTAGCACAGAGCGGACATTCACTCTGCTTAGAATATGCTCTCAGCCACTCTGTGCTCCCGCATTAGGGTGCGGCCAGAGTGCACTCAGATTCAGATTCAGACTCGGAAAACAAGCGCGAGAAATAAACAGTGTAGTCGAAGGGTACGGCCAGAGTGCACTCCTGATTCAGATTCAGACTCAGAAAACAAGCGCGAGAAAAAGCAGGCAAGCTGCTTAGGGTGCGGCCAGAGTGCACTCAGATTCAGATTCTGAAAACAAGCGCGAGAAATAAACAGTGTAGTCTAAGCAAGCCTGCTTTTTCTCGCGCTTTGTTTTCTGAGTCTGAATATGAATCTGAATCAGGAGTGCACTCTGGCCGTACCCTTCGACTACACTGTTTATTTCTCGCGCTTGTTTTCGGAATCTGAATCTGAATCTGAGTGCACTCTGGCCGCACCCTTAGACTACACTTTTTATTTCTCGCGCTTGTTTTCGGAATCTGAATCGGAGTGCACTCTGGCCGTACCCTTAGGTAGCACATGCCCTAAGACTGATTCAGACTATACTAAACATTCTCAAGCTCTTTAGAAAATGAAAAGGAAAGACTACTAGCAAAAAACAGTTTTTCATGAAACATTCTACAGCTATGATCTTATGCTTTTGACTATCTAAAATTCTAGATACTGTAGATGTTATGCACTGGTAGTTTTTAGAAAAAATGCAAATTGCTACATCTTTTTCTTATTTTAGGGCTTGTTTGTGTTATAACAATTCCTCCAATGTCATGCAGCTTTGACACGTATCAGTTTGATCCAATTATTTATAGGTAACTACATGTACTTCTTCTAATTTTGAATTTTTGCGTTACATTAATGTTTTTTAATATTCTGGAACCAATGCAGCCTCATTTCATTTTTTTTATTTATTTTAAAGCAGATTGTACAGCCGTCGAGATTTCTTAGTGGTACACGAATTTTAGGGATTGGGAAGGGAGTGAGGAACCCCCCTAACTTCTCTTCCTACCAAAGCAAATACTGATTTTCAGAGTTATTAAAGTTTAAAATTTTGAGGTTAGAAATCAACAAATATTTAAATTAAATCTAGAGAAAAAATTTACTAGAAGAAAAAAACACGCGGACCAGGCAGCAGATGGGACGCACCCTTCGCTATCTGGGCGAATGCACTGATAGCGAAGGATGCGAGTCATTTTTAATTCCTTGCGTTTGCACAAGGCCAATTTGTAAATTACATTTAAGCTACAAGGCCCCAATTTCGAAGCTGGTAAACAAAAACAAAATATATTGTTGTCGAAACTGGACTGTATTGTCAATCATATTACAACTTAGCATTTGTTAGCAAATTAGTGTTAACAAGTTAATGGAAAACTATCAATTTACATTCGTTGTCGCTCCCCATCTCTATCATGCATGGTAGCATTTGTGTCAATTTCAGCTTAAAAATTTTTTTCGCGACTGTATTTCAATACATTTGTGCCTAGAAGTTAATACCAGGTTTGTTTTATCATTCCGCTGTGAATTCTTATAGTATTTTATATTACCAGAGGTAGAACTTCACGCAATATTTATTCATGTATCATAAGTTAAAAAAGAAGTTCGCTTTCTATTTGGGTTACGCTACCATGACGCCAGCTCCAAAGGTTATTTTTAAGTCTTGTTCTATATCTTTGTTCCCTTATGAGCTACGATTATGAAATTGTGCATAGTGTGGGCGCTATTTTCTGTGAAAATTCGGTCGCATAACAATAAGCGGTTTTCGAGAATGGCCTGGTGTACGCTACTTTGATCATCACGCCATCGATGTAACCATGAAAACAGTAATTATTTCCTAAACTAGTGCCTTTTTTTATTATTACGCTAATTAAACACTATTTATTAGCATAAGTAGGACATGACGGACACAGACCTAAGCCACAGCAGTTGGGACATTAATAGGCAGATGGTGATGGGCAGTGAATAAGAGAGGAAGACTTTATCGACTGTACCAATTTACTATTATTTCGCAATAAATAAAAATACATCAGTCTGTTTTGTTGGAATCTAAAACTTTTATGAGTATTGAATATTTCCCAAAGTGTCTATACCTGGTAGAGTATGATAAACAAATATCGATTTTTGTACTACTACTTAGGTATCGATACTTTTTGTGGCTCCCTAAATGTAGTTTTCACGCATTTTTCACGTCAGCTGCTGCCTTGCCTGTCAAAGTCAAAGATTTATCATAATGAAATAGTAGTGTTGTTTATTACTTTTGCTAAGTTTTAGATCATGGATATTTTGTTGCTTTGCTGACAAAAATTTGAAAGATAATTCGATACCAATTGTTAAAAAAATATTCAACTGATGGATGCCATTTAAATTTTTAAAACAATGAAAGCTTTTAAACTTATTGTTCATCAACCCAGTTTTAGTAGTAAGTTACTGAAGTCTACCTTCGCTTCGATTCTGTATTTTTTATTTTTCTTTTATTTTTTCTTGATTTGGTGCGCTTAAATTATTTATGAGATTTCCTCTATATTTTAGCTGCGGATCTCATAATTAACCTGAAAGACTATCCCGGACTTAAAGAAAAGGACATTGTAGAGATCTACCATCCAGAAAATGATTACCCGCGATTATTATTGCAAGTTACTAAAGTCGAAGTTCCAGCACGAGGAAGAGGTACTTTTTTGTAGCATAATCATACTAGTGGTGGTGGCATTGATTCCTAGCATGGACCTGTTTATGTATATTTGTCTTAAAGTCAAACTAGCTTGTGAAGACCATTATTAAATATCTAGGGTTGGCTAGGGTTTAAATGATTACCAGGATTTCCTTTAAATACTTGATATCTATGAACTCCATGCTGGAATGGCTAGCTTACCAGTTTAATTAGTAATGATGATGTTGGGGTTAAATTAACTTTACACAAAATTAAACAGATCTATAATGCATCTTTTTATCACTTTTACAAACTACTATATTGTCTTAGTTCTGCATGCATGGGATTCCTTTTTTTATTTCTGATTTCCATTACTAGTGGTAAGTGATGTTTATAAGTTAATATTTAAAATAACTTTGTCAATGTCATTAAGTATGAAAATTCAACTATATAGAAGAGTTTCCAACTGGAAATTTGTTTATTAGATTTGAAATGTTACAAGCACATATAGAAGTAGATAGTTGTAGATAAACAGAGTCCTAGATATCGCATTCTCTCCAGTTGAGTTTGATATGCTTTACAATAAATAATGACACCTCTAAACAGGTGCCCCCGGGCGTTGGAAACAAATGGCCCATTAATTACAAAATGCTTTTTTATGTTTTATTTTGTCTTAAATATGTAAAATCTTAGTACAGCAGTAAGGCTTAGTAAGAATATATTGCAAATTTGTTACTTATATCTTAAAGTGATTTTTCTCAAATTTTTTTTTGCCAACAATATCACTTTATTGAATTATTATATGACAACATTATCTAAGCAATATTACCTTTTGATCTCATTCATTTTTATGACCTATTCTAATCTTTGTGTATATTTATGATGCACGGTAAAACTATTGTTTTGTATCATACTAATAATATTCCAATTTTATTTTAAACTAGAGGTCGCCCGCGATTTCGTCTGCGTTAACTTAGTTTCTTGAAAATCCCTCTGGAACCTAAATTTTTTTCGTGATTAAAGTAGCCTATGTGTTAATCTAGGGTGTCAGCTAACTCCATACCAAATTTTATTAAAATCGCTCCAGCCGTTTAGACATGAAGAAGTAACAAACATACACACTCACAAACTTTCGCCTTTATAATATTAGTGTGATTAGTGTGATGTACATACAATTTTTTGTGAAGCCTTGTTAAAATGTATAAAATGAATAATTATAACTAACTTTTATGTTTTAGAAACCATCAGTGTTGAACACAGCATTGCAACAACATTTCAGCTTAGAACATTTGCTGATGTTTATGTCAATATTGTTAATGTGTCTGATGTGGCTTTGGACTCGGTGGAACTTACATTTAAAGATCAATATATGGGAAGATCTGAGATGTGGAGGCTAAAAAATCATTTGGTTAGAATTGTTTTTTGTTATAAACAATTATTTGAATTCAGTGCATATTTAATTAGATCTGTTAATGTTTTGGGATACTTCTGTATTTTAGGTCAGTACTTGTGTTTATTTAAATAAGAAAATTGAATACTGTGGAGGTGCCATTCGATGCCAGGTTTATGAGATGTGGTCACAGGGAGACAGAGTAGCATGTGGTGTTATTACTGAAGACACTAAGATTGTGTTTAGATCTTCTACATCCATGGTTTATTTATTTATACAAATGTCTTCAGAAATGTGGGATTTTGACATTCATGGAGATCTCTACTTTGAAAAAGCTGTCAATGGTTTTCTAGCTGATCTATTTGCAAAGTGGAAGGTAAAATTTTATGTCATTGAAATTAAGTTGCCCATCTGCAAGAATTCATTGTCATTTAAATTGAATACATATTATTGTATATTCACAGAAAAATGGCAGTAATCATGAAGTCACTATTGTATTGTTTTCAAGAACATTTTATAAAGCTAAATCTTTGGAAGAATTCCCACAACATATGAAGGAATGCTTACAAAAGGACTATAGAGGCAGATTTTATGAAGATTTTTACAGGTTTTTTGATATTCATTTTGATTTACTTATTTAAAAAGTAAGTTTTGCAATTATTAAATAAAGGACAATGTTAAAATTGGCCTAAGAACCAACACCAATTTGGCATTTATGATAATTCTTAGTATATTTTTTGCGATAATTATCAGTATTTAGATTGAAATATAATATAAAAAGTAAAAAAATAATCTGAGACTATAAATACCATTTTATGTGTATAATCTATGGGTACGGCCAGAGTGCACTCAGATTCAGATTCAGATTCAGACTCAGAAAACAAGCGCGAGAAATATACAGTGTAGTTTAAGCAGGTTGCCTGCGGCCACTATGGCCACCCTGCTTTAACTACACTGTTTATTTCTCGCGCTTGTTTTCGGAATCTGAATCTGAATCTGAATCTGAGTGCACTCTGGCCGTACCCTATGGCAGCGCTGCAAACAAAACACACTTTTTTCCTAATGCCGGCACTTCATTTGGCTATTCGTATTTGCTATTTGAAAACATGACATCAGTCTGTCCTTTCCATTCCTTATTAAGCATGATAAGGACAAACTGTTGTCAAGTGAAGGGCCGGCATAAAACTCGTTACTCTGTGGTTGTGGTGCATGCAGCTTGCATTCGTAGTAATCTGTGGCATTCGTGCATTCTAAAGAGAAGTATATTATACCAGAAAGTGCATTCTCGTTTCGGAGTACCTGTTATGTGTGTTTATTTGCGATTGTTTTTCCTTTAATTTAACTATTTCGGCTATCTAATATGCCATCGATGTTACCAAAGAGGAGAGCCCTTATTACCAAGTGCTAGTGAACCTGTGCCATAACATCCTGAGAGGATCATACTGCCAAATTATTCAAGAACACCTGATACATATTCACGCTGCATATTTGCACAATAAACCTACATGTGATATACAAATAAATGCAATAAACAATATGATACAATTATGTGAAAAACAGTCAATAAATAAGGAGCAAAACTACAGTTTTTATTTTATTCATGATTCCTACTTAACCAAGTTTTTCCTAATAGTTATTCTTTAAAATCGCACCGAATAAAATGAATTAGTTTTAATATTAATTCACTTCATACTGAGTTTATACTAAATTCATAGGTTGACCTATGTTTCATTGAATATTAAACATAACCTCAAAAAAAAATTAGTTTTTCTGATAATTTAAGTTCTCAGAAGTGTCCGTCAATAACCTTTGTTTTTACAGTCATTTAGTTACGATTTTGAACCTAGAAAATAATATTTCATGATTGTTGGTTCTTAGGCTAACTATGTATGGACGCTGAACAATGTCCTTTTGACAAGAGGAAATTGTATATTACACTACATTGAGTCATGGGGAACATAAGCTGGGATTATGGGATTAACCCAAGCGCGGAAGCATAATATAAAAGGGACCTTGCACCTTGTGAAGTACTCTCACCATACCTGTGCCGAACCCTATATAAACAAGGATCGAATATCTAGCAAAAAAATTCAATTATTGATGATTTGTGACTTTTGGTAACGTCCGAATCATCAGTTTTTTTAATAGGATCTACTGGAGGGTGTACACACATCCCTTCTCAATGTCTTACGCACTCAGTTTTTTTTCCCATTTGCTACCCTTTCGTACATTTACCTCGACACTGTATAAACTGACTGATATTTTTCTGTGATCTATGGTGTCTACTATAAATTCAGTTCATGATTTTATTGTCTAATAAAATTGTTCATACACCATTCTGTTTATTTGAATATTAATATTACTTGTTACTCCAAACCTATCTCAGAAACCCAGTTTTGTTTCTCATTTGATAGAAATCCAGTTGACACAAAAATGTTACCTCATTGATGGTAGATGTAAAAATTTATAGAAATTATGTTAGTATTTAAAATATTGGAATCTTATTTAATTTCAAATCACAGTTAGTGGAGTCAAAATTCTTGATTATTTTACAGAGTTGCCGTCCAAAATGAAAGGTATGAAGATTGGTCAAGCGTACTTCTTCAGTTACGACGATTGTTTACAGACTACCAAAAAATTGTCTTACAATATCACGAGAGACCAAACATCGAAATCCCAACTGCAATTAATTCTACAGCTGCTCAAGGAAATTTCCTGGAAGTTTTGAATATGAGTTTAAATGGTAGGTAAAACTGATTTCTTGAAAAGTGCTACATTAGACAGGAAATTTTTAGTTATTAATTTTATAAAAAAACATACTTTTCGTCTCCAATACCCTTACTGGTAATAAGTCCACTGTTTACTGTTTTTGGTAATAAATTTAATATTAAAAACTGGCTGTTTTCAGTATTTGAAAAGCATTACCTAGACAGATGTTTTGATCGGACTGGTCAATTGAGTGTTGTTATAACACCTGGTGTAGGAGTTTTTGAAGTCGACAGAGAATTGACTAATGTCACTAAACAAAGGATCATCGATAACGGTGTTGGTAGTGACTTAGTCTGTGTGGGAGAGCAACCTTTACACGCCGTTCCGCTACTCAAATTCCATAACAAGGATAACAATCTCAACTCAATTGATGACTACTCTATGCCTCATTGGATCAACTTATCATTTTATTCGACAAACAAGAAAGTCGCATATTCAAATTTCATACCCAGAATCAAACTACCCCCAAGGAAAAGTCAGGAACCTCTGAAGAAAATGTATGAAGATGAAAGTAAAGGGAAGTTATTGAAGGAAGACGAATATATGCATAATTCCATATTTGATTATGATTCATATGATGCGCAAGTATTTCAATTACCGCCTGCGCATAGTACTTGGTAAGTCAGGCTGTTTTCATGTAGAATAAAGTTATGCTTGCATTTTTCTAATGATGCCTTTGTTTTGCAGTGTCCAAAAAATTACTCGTACTAAAAAAACTTCAATGGCAGGCTTGGAAAGCACAAGCCGAAGAAGCCCACCTGCTTTACATCACAGAAAAATGTCAGATCCTGATATTCATCACAGTTTGGGTGATATACTCTCAAACGGAGGTAAGATTCTTTATTGCGTTTTGTCAATGTGACTTTGGTTTACTAGAATTCATAAGTTCATGTGGAAAAAAATGCCTACTGCTTTATTTATAAATAACTAACAGTCTGGGTTATCTCCAAGATAAAGTTTAAATTAAAGCTATGCCACTCGGTGAACAATTAAAACAAACATAGTTTTTGTTTTCTTATAAAATAATAAAGGGCAGCCTCATATATGTGTAAAGAATGTTTTTTTTCTGTTACTATTTCTTTCATTAATATCTTATTGGCCTGTTCATACTAAAGCAACATAACATGTTTTTATTCAGGCAAATCTAGTATTTACGACTCCAATAGCGATGTGACAGATTCACCCGTCTCCAACAATCGTTTGTCACCGAGAAGTTCAATTTCTACGCATAAACCAGTGAGGAGAACAGGAAGAGCACTCATCAACCCTTTCGACCCTTCACATGTGACTGTCAAACTGACAAGTAATAGACGGCGATGGACACACATATTTCCCAAAGGTAAATTTGTGCCAATATTGATTTGAAATTATTTAATCTCTGTGCCTAGATAACATTCTTAAATTTAAAATCACAGAATACATAAATTACTAGGACATTTAACCAACCCTTTTTCATTACTCCTTAGTTAGGCTTGGTTGGTAAGAATGATCTCTAGGCATACCTGTTTTAAGAACGGATATAGCACTTTTACCTATTCGGCCCTTATACTTTAATGTCTTACTCATGAATAGACGACGGTGGATCCACATATTTACCGATTATTTTAGCTATAACATCGTTTGTCGCTGCCACTTTTGGAATTGTTGTCTAAGATTTTAAGAAGGAGAAAGTATCTAGAATAATTTTCATTAAAACTGATCAGTTATTTAATCAAGTTTTTCACAATTTTTCAAACACATTATATTTTCAGAAGGATTCAGCGCGAAATGCTAGATAAGCTTCTCTAAAAAAGTTGGCACTGCAATAAACCTTGCTACTTATTTTGGTTGAATAATTGGTAGGGAAAAAAAAATATTTGTATTGTGCTACCAAATTGAATAAAACCGCTCATTTATCTATACATACAATAAAATGGAAGGAAATTCAAAACTGTACATTGAATAATTTTAAAAGAATACTTGGGGTGTGATCTACAATCGACACCAAAACCAAAAATATAGTTTTTAGAATTTTTTTCTGATTGTTTGTATGTATGTCCAGGATAAACTCAAAAAGTACTGCATGAATTTACTTCAAATTTATCACGAATATTATTAAGAAGTCGGGTCAACATAAAGGCTACATATTATCACGAAACTAACCACCCCTAAGAGGGGGGTTGGAAGTTTGTATGAAAGTCCTATGTTTTTGAAGTAAGAGACTTGAAATTTAACACGTATGCTCTGTAGATGTTGTAAAGGTGTACTCATGTATTTGTATTTTTAGAAATAAACTCCCTTTTACAGATAACTAACTAACTCCACAGGTACGTAGTCGCGGGCGGCCGCTAGTAAGAAATATTAAAGTTTCCTTTCTTGTTTCAGGTCCAACGGGTGTACTCATTCAGCAGCACCATTACCAAGCCCGTCCCGCCGGTGAGCCCCCGTCGCGGCCAGTGCAGCAACGTGATAACAACAAAGATAACGGCTCCATAGGGAACAATAACCATTCCATATACCAAGTGGATGGTATGTACCATTCATTATTTTGTAGTTGTTACAATTCGAGACTTTATTTTTTAATGTTAAAAGGGTTGCAAAAAAGCGTATAGCTCGCCTGATGATAAGCAACCACCATAGCCTATAGAGGCTTGCGATATCAAAAATATCACTTGCACCGTTGCCTCATCATCACCATCATCATCACCATCATCATCAGCCTATTAATGTCCCCACTGCTGGAGCACAGGCCTTCCCTATGAATGGAATAGGGAGATTGGGCCATGACCCACCACGCGGGCCCAGTGCGAATTTGCGGGTGCTAACGACTGCAGATGCAGCCGGGACGGGAAGCACGGAGGAACTTGGGATAGAAGATTTTTGGTCACCCATCCAATGACCGACCACTGCGAAAGTTCCTTAACTTCAACGATCGCAGCCGAACTCGCTAACCACCCGCGCCATCGAGCTCCTCGAGCAGATAGGGTCAGCGGTGGACCCTATCCCTGAGCCCGTAGAGCCCTGGAACCTAACCTGCCGACAAAAACAACACCAGGAGGTTACTTGCCCAGACGAGTGCACCAATCCGAACGGAAAATCTACTAGGCCTTACCTCTCTAAGGCCGTATACAGAAAGAAAGCCGAAAGCCGATCCTTCCTACATAAAGGAAGCCGATTAAAGCAGATCAAGCAAAATGTCGGACTCATCGGACGATGATTTGGTTTTGTTAGAAAATGTGTAATTAAAAATGCGAAAATAAGCTATACATCCTATAAATAGAGAAAGGAAACGTTTCGGAGAATACCATCATTTATTTGTAAAAAAAATGAAATTTGATGAACAAAGATTTTATACATATACAAGAATGACTCAAGAAACATTTTATTACATTTTGGATTTAGTGAAAAACCGTTTGATGAAAAATTGGTGCAATTGGCATAAACAACCAATCCTTCCAGAAGAAAGACTTGTTGTCACCATTCGGTAAGTACGAAACAAATAATTTTAGCGCTTAGTTAATAAAAGATAAAGTTATTAGATTTATAAAAAGATTTTAAGAAGAGATTATAACTTAGATTGATTTAATCTAAGGATAATAATTCAAATACAAATTATTTATTATTCGGACCAGCGCGTGTCGGCGCTTATCTTCACTGATCGGCGCTTATCGGCGCTGGTCCATAGAAAAAGGATCAGCGCCGATAGGCGCCGATAAGCGCTGATCGGCGCTGATCGGCGCCGATCGGCTTTCGGCTTTCTTTCTGTATACGGCCTAAGGGTGCGGCCAGAGTGCACTCAGATTCAGAGTCAGATTCAGATTCTGAAAACAAGCGCGAGAAATAAACAGTGTAGTCGAAGGGTACGGCTAGATTGCACTCCTGATTCAGATTCAGACTCAGAAAACAAAGCGCGAGAAAAAGCAAGCAACCTGCTTAGACTACACTGTTTATTTCTCGCGCTTGTTTTCGAAATCTGAATCTGAGTCTGAATCTGAGTGCACTCTGGCCGCACCCTAAGGCAACATGGTTTTGAATTTGTTTTGCCTAATACTATGAACACAAAAGTTGTGTATATTATAACAATATCTCATCAGTTTACAACAAAGTATCAACATTTCTCAATCTATTATCATATTTATATCAAGCAAGATAAATCTTAAAATCAGTGGTTATAAAGTTTGACTCGTACCCTTAACACGGACCAATATCAAAGAAGACGTTTTGTTTGGAAGGTTTTTAAAGGCCGAAACAGACTTATGAAACACGACGCAATCCGACGCCACTCCACGCGTACTTTCTATTATCAGTGTGTGCGCATCGCGTCGCATCGGATGTTCCTAATGTGATTCTAGATCATAGAAAATGGTACATTGGATTTCTCTCAACACTCGGGGCGTGGCGCATGGCGTCGCGTTTCATAAGTCTTTTTCGGTCTTAATTCCCGTTACGTCCGTTTTGCCGCCGTTCAAATTTCCATACAAAACTTCTTGGCTTTAGTGCGTTACAAGATCGAAATCAACTATTCGATATTGGTTCGTGCTGAGAATACTGCAGCCTATTTGTGTAATTTTTCCACTTTACGAAAAAGCTTTCATTTCATACTTACGACAAAAAATTTGCTTTGACATATTGATACTTTTTTAGCGTAATATAACTACGTAAGAAGGGAAGCAACAATAAAATCAAATGTTTAGCATCCCATATCACAAGCCTTAGGGTGCGGCCAGAGTGCACTCAGATTCAGAGTCAGATTCAGATTCTGAAAACAAGCGCGAGAAATAAACAGTGTAGTCTAAGCACTGTTTATTTCACTGTTTATTTCTCGCGCTTGTTTTCGAAATCTGAATCTGAATCTGAGTGCACTCTGGCCGCACCCTTACAGTGCTTACTTTGGGGCTAGGTTAATTGGTGTGTGTTGGAAATTTTTATTTATTTTTTATGTATCTTATTTCTCGCAATCAGGTAACGTAATAGGTCGTAAGCGAATGATAAGTACTTCTGGGGCGTTAGGTGCCCTAAATACAACATTAAATACTCCGTCTACCACCAACAATGCTTCGTTGGCGCTACTATGGGGAGCAACGGGAGAGCAAGAGTGGACACCGGCCCTCACAACCGGTTAGTATGAAACATTAACCTTAAAACAGTGTGCGTGTGATTGCACTGTAAGGTGATAGTTTTGACAAAATAACGATACAGTTATTACGATAAAGTAAAGCGTGGCTTAATAGCAATCAAAATCAACGGTTATCAAATATACACGTAAATTTCAGGGATCAATTTTAAATTACTCTTTATTATATCACTGGTTTTTAGTTAGGTATCTGAGAACTGAATTATAAGTTTCTGTATTGTTCTTTTATTAATTTTGCTTTTGGTTAAACTGTTAAACATTCAAATAGATTTTAACAGATAATATTATTATAGCCTTCTCAAGTACCTGTATATAAATAGGTAAGCCCTGTTTTGTAGTATAATATATAGTATAAGAAAATAATTGGTAAATCAGTCATGTGGTTATATCATCACTGTTCATGTTGTCCATGTAAATATGTCGTTAATTCACAGGGTACTTGGCAGTAACTGGAGCTAAAAACCACCATTAATATAATTGATTTGACAATTGGGGCTATTTAAAGTTGATTATTTTATTTACGTAGAAACCAGTACAATTGTTTTGGTGTTTCAATCTTTTATTGCTTAAAGATTGAGTTTTGGTGTCCTTTAAATAGTCCTCTTCGATCAACTTTATTAAACGATCACCTCATTTTTAATGTTTCATGGTACTCGCCGTTGATACCGTCTGGGGACGCGACCAAAGCGAACCGAGCCATAGGTTTGATATCTCACCTGATTTGCATCGAGTAGTTAACGCATAGCCTGCGTATAGACTAGGCATCTTCGCGATGTTGCTTTGCTATACAGTTATACCGTACTAACTCGCATACTTATGATCCAATGTTTTCAAATTGTGACTAAAATAAATGTATCGATAATAGAAATGTTTTTTAAATGTTTGAAAAATATCTCCCACCTTTAAATCGTGTTTAATTTTGCAGTATACCTAATTGCAATAACAATAATTATTTTCTGAGTGTTTCAAGTCCGATCCAAGTAAAAAAATTACCATAATGTATATTTTATCATGTCACTTGTAGTCCCTCTACTCATTTATTATCAAATTTATCATTTCCAAACGAAACGTGTTTTTGGTCCTTCGAGCTGAATGGCATTATGAATATTCAAAAACAAATACTCTACACACAGATCAGTGCATAATCATATTGAAAGGAACGCGCTAGTTCTAATTACTAGTATAAGCCTTAACCCCTTTATTAATACATGAATACAAAGCTTGGATTAGTTACTATAAGTTTTGTCTCTGTTAATTTAATGACAAATCGCACTTGAGTAATATGAACAAAACACGGCATAACTTGTCTCAGCTTTTTCCTCGTTTATTAATAAGGGAGTTAGCGTTTATTTTTTTTGGAGAGGGTTGAACTCATTGAACACTCTAATTTCATTCTAGTATTTACTTTACATAGCGTATTATCGTTAAGATGTCTAGTCTCGTCCAACGCACTGGCTTAAAGTGATTAATGACAAAGCTGGGGTCTGTAGTTACACTGAATATAGAAAGCTTCTTAAATAGTTATCAATTTATCACTCCGAATTATTATATATTTTTTAACGTGCAAATATTATATTAAATCATGCTTAATAATAATCAGTGTTACATCTCATTTGAACCATCATTTGTTTTTGCATGTAAATAAAAATAAAACTTGCTTCTTGATGTTTGTTAGTGATAACAAGAATGCTTTTTCATTAAATTAACAAGGTTTTATTTAAGCCTACCAATAGGAAAGAAACTGCCATTTTATCATATATATTATAGTTGCTCTCAGAGCGACGGTTTTAGAATGCAGCCTTGAAGTGACATGTTGCTTGTTAAGGGCCAAACAGCCAAAGCGCCATCTGTAATAAGCTTTGCGTTTCCTTCTCCATTTAATCTCATTCATAACAATGCTTATTTAACTCTACCTGGTTTTTGGGAAACACATATAAATATCGACAGTCAGATTACCTATAAATCTTCAAAGCACCATAATAGGCGTAAGTATAAAGCGAGTTATTAAATTTAAAGTTTGTGATTTAGTATCGGTAGCTCCGCGAGTCAATAAAATCCTTCGATATTATTAAAAGACTATTCAAATACGTTAATTTAAAATTAAGCTGTGCTGAAGAGCAACAAATTTTTAAAATGTTGTTAAAATAATATCTACCAAATGTTTTAACAAGTATTTTGTTTGAAATCCAGTTCTGAGTATATGTGAAGTGCCGAAAATCTCTGAATATTTTAAAATATGTACATCCATTGAACACATTTTATTAGCTTTCACTCTTTCTCGGAATATCATTTCACCGTTTTTATTGTTGCATTGTAATGATATTCACATTCAACATTACATAAAGGACAATGGCAAACTCCCTACTTATTTTTGTTGACAAAAATTTTCGCGTCTATAAATGAATTACATGTAAAATTCTAGACTTAAGATTCTCGATTTAATTCGTCTTATTTTTTTTATTGTAGGAAGTCTAGGTTTAAAGATATTCTACTTTGAAGTATTGGAGGTTATGTCATACCAAGTAATACAAAACTAATTATAAAAGTATTTTCAAGGGTATATTTAGATCAAAATAAAAAATACGCGGAGCAGAACTATAGAAGTATACTAGTCCCGTAGATTAGTGACGAAAAAAAATTTTTTTTATATGATCTGCGGGCGAATGTACTGACCGACCGCGTCAAAATACTTAAAACTTAACAGATATGGGTTATCGGGTTCAAATACAATGTCTGTGCTGTAAGAAGAACGTAATACAGTGCAACCTTAATATAACGTACCTCAATATAACGACTTCTTTGATTTAACAAATTCTTCGTAATCCCCTTGAATTTTCCATATGAGTCAATGTTAAATATACCTTTACATTGCGAACATTTTTTGCGAACAACCTCTTTATAACATATTTTCAACTACCAAAAGAAAGAGTAAATACCTCTAATTAACGAATTTTGTCAACCAAGAACCTCAATATAACGATTCCATCAACATATGGCCCTTAATCCCATATTACGTGATTCATGTCACTCCAGGAAACTATTTTTTTACCTCTTTATAACAAATTTTAGACCAACCTAACCTCAATATAACAAACCTTAGTTCGACATAACGAATATTTACATGTTCCCTTCCGGTTTGTTACATCGAGGTTGCACTGTACTTTGAAAATCCCTACAGGTGTAGGCGTCGGTAGGTATGTTACTCCTCTTTACCTACTCTTGTTAAAACCTAAAAAAGCATAAACAATATAGCTAATGTACAAATGGGGCATTAATTAAATATAAAACACTTTTTGTAACACATTTTTTATTCCACATCTTTGATCACTATATCGTAGATAATAGATACAATAAAAAAAACAAAGTATGGGACGAAATCTTGCTCCAAATCTCCAAAGCAAGAAGTCGTCCAAAATAGCAGAGATTCGAAATTCTTAGGCAAGCACTACTCAAAAGTTGCAAGGGAAGATCTCAAAAGTCCAGAAGCAGTCCAATTAACATAAGAAAACAAATCTCCAAAAGAAATGTTTAAGAATCTAATGTTTCAGGATCTTTCTAATAGATAATAAAATATAGTTTAAGCGTAAAGCGATGCAAAACAAACGAATAACATGCTTGAAGTTTATTTAATCACTAAAATGACTTAAATTAATAGGCTCAAAAGCCATGACACTAAGCCATTAAAAAATGTGATTGTTTAGTTAATTAATTAGTGAATTGTGTTTCCCTTTGTAAGTTTTTAATTCCAGACTTAGAAAACCCTCCTCAATTATTTGATAAATGCTTTGAAATTATTTTACCAACATTTCTGATAATGACATCTATAGACGCTAAAGATTTCCTCCAACAAAATTTTCGCCATTGTCCTTTTATACTTTCAAGCTCTATGTGCTTATTGTATGTCTTATGAATAGTAATAATGTTCAAATCATCAACTTAAAGGACAATGGGCAAAACACAACCAGCTCCGCCAACAATGTAATTAGTATGAATCGATAGATCTATAAAAAAATAGCCTTTTTTATTATGACACCGTAAAAAAATATCTCGGTAGTCAAAAGATATGACACCGTAAAAAATATCCTGGTAGTCAAAAGATATGGCACATGGGCATATTTAAGTAGCTAAATAAATTAATTTTATAGTACCTTCATTTTATATTATTAGTAACCATAATAATATGCTAAATCGTACTATACAACCAGATATACAACAAAGCCTGCCGACAATCCTGCGCTTGCACTTACTGAGCCACCACAAAACGGTTTACGGGGGTTGAAGGACTTGCAATTGCAAATAGTCGACTCATCTTACTTCATTGTGATTGTGCGCTCCTTGTCACTTGATTGATTTTTATCTGACATGCTTTGGACATTGGAACACAATTATCGGTTTTGTCAATTAGTATGGATGAACTGGAATCATGTTTTCTCGAAAGAGTTTGTGTTATTTGTGGTCGCTCCGTTTTACATAGAAGACAATTTACTATAAAGAACAGACTGTTTGAAAAAACCCCAACTCATGCGGAGATTTTTGGATTTATTTTAGCGCGGTAGAATAACATAAGGGGGCACCCTTGCACCTTGTGGAGTACTCCCATAATACCTGAGCCCTCTATGTACGGTCGAACTAACTAACTAAATTAATTCCCTTGTTTCATTAATGTTCGTTCTTTATAGTACTTGTACCTATTTAACTTAAAATAAATAAAGACCACCGGGATGGAATTTGATGCACTTTGGCACAGATGATCATGACTTTAATACCTTTCAAACAAATGTAGTTTAAGCCGTGGCGGTCGTGGGTGCAGCGTCCATACATTTTTGCCCAATGTCCTTTTATGATTAAGTACTTTAAATTTTACATTTGCATGTATTGTAACAACTCGCAATCTTTACTTCAAAATCATCACGTATATTACAAAGGTCTTTCGGTATAAAAAAACCCCCAAAATATAATATTTTATTTTGTCCAGCAATAAGTGAAATTATTTTATATAGGTGTCGATTGGAAGTCACTCACGATTCCGGCTTGCTTGCCCATCACTACAGACTACTTTCCCGATAAGCGCTCTCTGCAAAACGATTATCTAGTCTCCGATTATAACCTGCTACCTGACGATGTCAATGCGGACTTCGCACAAAACAGAGCTATATATAAGGACCCTCTCACTACCATGGAGGTTTTCAAAGAACTGGTCTCCCAAAGATTGGCACAGGTACGCAATTTTTATACAATGGTTAATTTCAGTAGGTTTAAACCTGAGATTTCTTGATCATACTACAGAAGTCGCAGTTTAAAATAACACAGCTGTTTACAATACCCTATCTACAGTAAGAGACATATTTATCATAGTTAAGTTACTCAGTAACATTTCTAATGTGCCAATAATCAATTGAGATATTTAACTGTAGATATAGTACAGTCAATCTGTAGGTTGAGTGGTGAAAAAAAAACCTAAAGGTAAGTCTTGTTTTTTCTGTTGCCAAATGACGTCAGTAAGCCACCTTGGCGATGGGCATGTTCAACTCGGAGGCGTTTTTTGAAAAACTCAAAAAAACCCTCAAAAATTTTTGAAACGCATTTTTCTTGTTTTTTATGCATTTTAGAAACTTTTTTTTCGACCACAATTGTAGAGGGCGTTGAGTACTACAATTTATGTCATTGTTGCAATCTCGTACAACAAAAAATGCGCATTGTAGGTGGCGCTAAAGTCTCAAAAAAAGTGTTTTTCACTTTTTCACCCTGAAAATATCATTTTAATGAAAAACTTTAAATGGAAAAGTTGTTCCGTACATAATTACCAACAACTTTCGTATATACAATTTTTTTTGTATTACTTACCGTTTTCAAGTTATAAATTGCGCAGGTATGAAAAATCCAATAGAGCGGTTTTGGGCAGTTGAAGTACACATTTGCAGTGCACATTTCAATGTACGTTTTACTATTTTTTTTTTCATGATTGTAATAATTTACTAATGTACTTTGTGAATAGAGCAGATGGCCGAATTGGCCCACTGTGTTGGCACTCACTGTGTTGTATACATAGCGCTGCATTGCACTGTAACTTGAAAACTGTAAGTAATTTAAAAAAATTGTTTATACAAAAGTTGTTGGTAATTATGTACGGAACAACTTTTCCATTAAAATGATATTTTCATATGAAAAAGTGTAAAAACACTTTTTTGAGACTATAGCGCCACCTACAATGCGCATTTTTTGTTGTACGAGATTGCAACATTGACATAAATTGTAGTACTCAACGCCCTCTACAATTATGGTCGAAAAAAAAGTTTCTAAAATGCATACAAAACAAGAAAAATGCGTTTCAAAAACTTTTTGAGGGTTTTTTTGAGTTTTTCAAAAAACGCCTACGAGTTGAACATGTCCATCGCCAAGGTGGCTTACTGACGTCATTTGGCAACAGAAAAAACAAGACTTACCCTTTAGGTTTATTTTTCACTGAAACGATTTTTTTTCGACAGATTGACTGTACTAATATGGCAAACACAGTGACACGGCTTGTATTTGGAAATGTCACTCTACAACTACAATATCAGAAAATTATTTCACCTTTATGTCTAGCATAAGAGGTTTAATACGGTCTGCGCGTCACTGTAAATCAAGAAGTGCTCGAGTTGTGTTCAAGCACTTGCGATGTGCGGCGTCGGGAGAAGTAATAACACAAGAAAAGTCGAGTCTTAACTGAATATTTATTGAGATGAAAACAGGGTTTTTATAGTAATTCGAAGTAGATCAATACGATAATGTTCTACAATTTGCTTGTTAGACATTTAGCTTGTTTAGAAAAGTATCCGATTACATGTTACACATTTACCTTAAAGAAAATAGAATATAAATTTATAATAAAAACAATAATCATTTTTATATGTCATCGACATAACGTCGTGCATCGCACTACGTACTTCTTGATTGGGACATATTTTGAGCGCACGTGGTGTATCTAGGGGTATTTAATATCGTTGGATTAATATATAAGTATTTTTTAACTGATGAAAGTATTTCTCGGTGACCTTGAAAGACGGAAAAAAGATTAGAAAATTAAATTGTTTGCAATCATATGTATTCAATAATTTTCCAGGGTTTCCAATTAATAGTTGGAGTGAATGAAAACGACGTTATCGAAGCACACTGCCCCTCCACAAATGTTCCTCCTCCATCGAAAGTGGCCCCTCAGAGCGGGAAATCGATCAATGCTGCACCAACCAAAAGATACCTCCTCTCTATCGGCAGGATATTTCATAAACTGACTCTCGTTGGCTCCACAATAACTGTGACTAGGTATAGACCGAGGTGAGCTAAGGCATAAAGCCACAACCTTTTTACATATTTAGAGTCTTTTATTCCGTATGTCAGGTTTACTTCATCATGTATATTAATTAGTATAGAATGTTTTTCAATAAAGGAGATTGCTCATCTTCCATACATGTTTGGCCTAAAGACCAATAATCATGAAAAATTGTTTCCTAGATTCGAAATTATATATAAATTATTGTGGAAACGAATATTATTGACGGACACCCCTGAGAAATCCTATAAACCATATACACTGAACATATTAAAATAATAAAAAACAAATAAGTTATATAGTAAACTAGGGAAATCAAGCCAAGTACCGAAATTATGGATTAGATTCGGGTATATAGAGCATGTAGATTAACAGATAGTTGCCTGTTTTTAAAGTTAATGCATAAGAGTAACTTTTAAAATCAGATGTCATTTCCAGTTATAATAAGGTACTCTGTGACAGAAACTGTGTGATGATTGTGAATGAGCCACAGATAAGAGAGAATTTTTAAACTCTCGTTAACCAAAGAAAGCTAAAAGATTTAGGTTCTATAGTCATATATTCAGTAGCTTCATTATTTTTGTTATGTTTTTAAGATAACCATATTTTAGATTTTTAGTGTATCACACTTTATAATTTTATTTATTTATTAATTTATAGTGAGGGAACGAAGGCCCATAGATAGATACCTTAAAGTCTAACATATATACAGATTATAATGTGTTTATGGAGGTGTTTGGCGAAAAATGTATGGCAATAGACTTTATGATGTCGCCTACCATCTATAATAATTTTATTGTCTGAACACATTTGCATCTAGTGAAAATGATAATATAGTTGTGAATATTAATACCACAGTGTAATAAAAAAAATGATTTATTTTATCGATCTTTACAAAATAGATTTGTTTTTATGTTATATAAACAACTTCGATCAGTCTTTGGCTGAATGTTACTACACCCATAGCCATTAGAAATGATTCGTATGTTTTCCAAACCGGTAAAATTAAAAGTCCTTTTTAAAGTAAATATATTATACAAAGGTGTCCGTTGAAATCTAATGACTGTAAATTAAATTATAAATTACGCCAAGAATTACCGTGTATGTCAATATTTTTTGTGCATTTGGGCCAATTTGAGCAATCTCTTTTGATAATTCTTTACCATATTTTTTTGTCGTTGTATAATACGGTGTCATCTCCACTGACAAGAAAATTGTCTGTTGGACTCGTAAAGAAATGGCGTCTTTGAAACTAGCTGTACCTATTTTATTACTTATTTACTACTCAGTATTTCGCTTGGGTTGACAACGTTCAATTAATATATACTATTCTAGGCATCCATACCCACCGTTCAACATACACTACCGTTATCGGTTCCATGCACCGAACCACGACACGTACGAAGTTTCGTGGGTTTCGTTCACAACAGAGAAACTGGAGACCTACAACTGGAACTATATGGACCACTACATATGCACCAGGGGCGACACTGACTTTGCTCTAGTCGAGGTTTGTGTTACTTTTGCTAAATGATTATCCTATTGATGTGTAACATTTTTCCTCTCGCTTTCCTGCATTTAGTGGGAGTGATTTCGTGAAATGGGACGGAAGTGTGTAACAGGAAGTCGCGAAAGCTCGCGCTATTTGATTTGATTTTATAACATAATGTTCAAATGACTTATTCCTTTTATAGTAGGTATTTCTTTTTTTACTAATATAAGGTGGGGTTTCAAATGGTACACATCATACGCGACTACTGTAAGGCTCGCTCGTTTGCTTCAGTCAGCTGGCCTAGCTTGCTTGTAGAATTCCATAAATATCTGCATTATATCCTGTTACGGTGGTAATGCTATACTGGCTGTATGGTGTTTCCAATTGTGTTATTTTTTTGTTAACCCTTTTGTAACAGTAGTATGTTGCTTTAACGTAACGATTCCTTAGACTAGCAAACAAAAAATATTGCCTAGTGATGGAAGAACGAGTGCCTCCCGGATTGTTTTGTAGACCCTGATGCAATAAACAGGTATTTCTTAAACCTGCCAGGCTCACAGATAGTGCCAATCTCGCGACTGACATATTACGAATACCATCGGCACCTTCATTTATCACCGCTCTTTAAGCTCCACACTAAGTGAAACTGAGGTTTCAAAATATATATTATCTGTGAAATCGAATGCTACTGGTTGTGATGATATTAGTAGAGACATGATTTTGTTAACCTTGCCGCGCACATTGTCGTCATTACTAAAATTATAAATAAATCTATAATTTCTTGTACTGCTCTCTGTCAGTGGAAGACTTTCCTCGTTACACCGGTACCAAAAGTCGAGTCACTATGTGAATTTATGGACCTCAGACCTATAAGTATATTGCCCTTCATGTCAAAAATTTTAGAAAAGGTCGTTTATGGTCAGCTTATTCGGTATGTGGAAGAGAACAACATTCTCCCAAAACTTCAATCGGGGTTTCGTAAGGGCCGTGGGACTGTAACAGCGTCGTTGGATGTTACGGATAACATACTTTTGGAATAGGATACGGGAAATGTCACACTTCTAGCGCTACTTGACTTTTCTCGCGCATTTGACTGTCTCAGTATACCCCTCCTGTTATCGAAACTATCATTTTATGGATGCGATGTCGAAACAGTCAGATCGTTCAATAGTTATCTCAGTGACCGACGACAAGCGGTAAGACTCCGCATAGAGGATGGGTCTTTTTGACTTCGGGTTTAGAGCTTGTTAGACGTGGTATCCCTCAGGGGTCTATACTTGGGCCTTTACTCTTTCTTATATATGTTGCTGACTTACCAACTGCTATAAGACACTGCAAGTATCATTGTTACGTTGATGATGTGCAGATATACGTGTCCAAAACGCCAAACACTATAAGCGTTGCGATTCGTGATCTCAGTATAGATTTGGATGCGGATTTTGGGTGGCTGGTCTGCAGAAAATGCCTTAGTTCTCAACCCACGAAAATCAAAATTTATGGTACTCGGCACGAGTAAACAATTAGATAAGGGCAGTGCTGTTGGTGTCAGAGTCTGTGGCGAAGTTGTGGAGAGTCAGTGAGGCCAGAAATCTTGGAGTTGTTTTTGACAACCAGTTGCGTTTTGAGTCTCACGTATTAGGCCGAGTGAAGAGTTGTTTTTATCGCTTAAAAGTTCTCTGTAAGAAACGTGGCCTACTGTCAGTAAATGCTCGCATTACCCTCTGTGAAACACTTATACTCTCAAGATTAAATTATGGTGATCTTGTGTACGGCCACCGGCTGTTAAGTGGGAGTAGGAGGTTACTGCAGCGGATTCAGAATGCCTGCTATCGTTTCTGTTTCAATGTCCCACCACGTACTCATATATCGCCTTTCATAAACAGGGCTTCGATGTTGAATATGGAATCGCGTAGGCGTTTACATCTAGCCGTTTTGATGTTTGACATTATGAAATTCAAGACTCAAAGTTATTTATATGACAAATTAGACAGGGAACCAAGACAGGCAAACCCACCTTTATCGACTCAGAATCATAAAACGCAGGCGTTTAAAGGTAGTTTCCGCTATCAGGCGACCAGGTGCTGGAACAACATTCCACCTCGACTAAGGAGGATCATATCTCGCCAAACATTTAAAAAACACTTAAAATTAATATTACTAGAAATGCAAAGGTTAGGAATAACCGCATGTGGTCGTATGGTAGCGGTTTCTTTCTAATAGGTGTGTCACAATTTGTGTCTAAATGCTGATGGGTAAAATATTAATTCAATAATTCAATCTTAATCTAAATACTAAAAAAGTAAGAATACCAGTAATAATGAATATTTTTTGGTGAAAGAAAATAATATATAAAGTTATATACAAAGTAAAAACTATCCCATGTACTTTGTCCAGGGGTTCGTTAACTATCCAGTTATTCGGTGGTTTATGCGTGAAGAGGTAACAGATAGACAGACAGACAGACACATTTACTTACTTTACTTGAAAGTATTGACTACGTAAGTAATTTCGACGGCGCGGGTCATGAACACACTCTGAGCGAGGCTAGGAAAATTAAGTACAATAATAATACCCTATATCCTCCTGGAACCTAATTAGTATTTTGCATTATCTGATTGAAAACTATTCATTCTTTACTCACAGGCATTGAAATACTGGCGGTTCCGCACCCTCCTACTGCCTTTATACAATCCGGCAACCAAACAAATATTGGAAGACGAGACCACTCATTGCGACATCTATCCGGCGCCGACACGCCAAGACCTGGACCATCTCACGGAGGGGTTCCTCAAAATGACTGAACTATACTTCAATAAGGTCAAAAGACCCAATAAGCAGAGGGTAAGTTACAAAACGTTCGCACTAGAAAGAAGAATCGAGATACTTTCGACTTATTTATGAGAGGAAACAGGAAAACTGATATATTTTAATAGACTGTTTTTTTTTCAAAATTAATGCCAAATAATTAACTTTTTTGTTACATTAAATTTTATGCAAATTATACATTATGATGTCAACTGTACATATTATTTTAAATTAATTCTAATCAATCAAATTAAATTTATTCTTACATGCACTTTCTAATACAATTACTTTATGGCATTATACTATAGAAATAATATATTATATTATGTATAATCAGATTAAGTAGAACCATTTGAAAATTTATCTAATTTAATGTATAAACTTTTATCTACAAGTTAAGTATGTATACTATTTGAATTGTATGAACTTAGAAATAGGAGCATGTATGTGTTATTCGCACAATAAATGTACAGCACGTAGATCTACTGCACTGCATGTATATTTTGCACATATATAAATAAAAAGTCTAAAAACATTGTAGATATGCCTGAGCTTTAAGTGAATGAAACAAACAATTACTAAAGAAAAAGAGTAACTCAAACATGAAATTAAGGTTCGAATTAAATGCATGGTATGACCAAGGCGTAAATGATGGAAAGTGTTAAGATGGAATACGTATGTTAGATGGGTGTACTTAGAGAAATGTGTATGTGACATGAGCATGATGGTTCATTTGTATTTAAATACTTAAGTTATATTTTCTTCATTATGTTGCACATGTTGTTGTTTCATATTTAATTTCCTGTTTGGGTCCGTACGCATGAGACTAACTGGAATTTAGTAAACATTAATGATTTAACACTTATAAGTGGTTACATATTTAGTTCTTTAAGTGTAGAGGAGTGGATCGAGGCGAAAGGTTTTTTGACTACAAAGACTTTGCGTGCGTCACCATTGACGGCAACGCTTAGCCGCGTTTGGACCAGGGCGCTAGTTGAAAATTAGCTTTCAGGCATCTGGTAACACATGAGGCCGGCAAGGTGAGGATGGCTGGAGCGGTGTTTTTTATTTTGCCGCATCTATGCTGTACTCCACTCACACTTCAGATACTGTAAAATACAATCTCACGTCCTAGTTCGTTATTTTCAATTATAGACAAAAGTTAAACATGCATTACGTTATTACACCATAGAATGTCGTAATGACTGCTAAGCAGCCTGTGTGCAGAATCGGAGCTAAGCATTCTTAAAGAAATTGGACCAATGGCATTGCTCAAATTATACTTAATTATTGTGTGTGTACTTTGAGCAATGCCATTAGTCAATTTCTTTAAAACTCTGCTCAGCTCTGCTTCTGTGGAAACACAGCCTATTAGATATTTGTCAATTGTCAATAATTCAAATTATCGAAATCCAAAGTGAGATGGCATATTCAACGATATTTAATACCCTAGATACACGTACTAGTACAGTCAATCTGTCGAAAAAAAATCGTTTCAGTGAAAAAAAAACCTAAAGGGTAAGTCTTGTTTTTTCTGTTGCCAAATGACGTCAGTAAGCCACCTTGGCGATGGGCATGTTCAACTCGTAGGCGTTTTTTGACAAACTCAAAAAAACCATCAAAAATTTTTTGAAACGCATTGTTCTTGTTTTGTATGCATTTTAGAAACTTTTTTTTCGACCATAATTGTAGAGGGCGTTGAGTACTATAATTTATGTCATTGTTGCAATCTTGTACAACAAAAAATGCGCATTTTAGGTGGCGCTAAAGTCTCAAAAAAAGTGTTTTTCACTTTTACACCCTGAAAATATCATTTTAATGGAAAACTTTAAATGGAAAAGTTGTTCCGTACATAATTAACAACAACTTTTGTATTAACAAATTTTTTATATTACTTACCGTTTTCAAGTTATAAATTGCGCAGGTATGAAAAATCCGATAGAGCGGTTTTGGGCAGTTCAAGTACACATTTGCAGTGCACATTTCAATGTACGTTTTACTATTTTTTATTTTTTTTCACGATTGTAATAATTTTGATTTGTTATTGACATGAAATATCGACAATTAGAGCTTTGGATTCATTTTCTTGCATGAATTAATTGCAGGAACAAAAGTAGTTGATAGAAAAATGATTATTTTGTCGAACATATGAGATAAAAATTCTAAAACTTATTTCCTGCTGTTTATGCGTCCGAGCAACATTTGGATAAAAAAAAATATTTCAGATGTGCAACTTGAATTAATACATGATAATCGCTTCAAAGTTTAAAAATAAAGTTTAACTCCCAAGAATATGCATTTAAATCAACATGTTTTACTTTATTAATTATTATTTAATCAAAAAATACCGTTAGTAGCACTGTGTTGTATACGTAGCGCTGTATTGCACTGTAACTTGAAGACTGTAATTTAAAAAAAATGTTTATACAAAAGTTGTTGTTAATTATGTACGGAACAACTTTTCCATTTAAAGTTTTCCATTAAAATGATATTTTCAGGGTGAAAAAGTGAAAAAAACACTTTTTGAGACTAGCGCCACCTACAATGAGCATTTTTGTTGTACGAGATTGCAACAATGACATAAATTGTAGTACTCAACGCCCTCTACAATTATGGTCGAAAAAAAGTTTCTAAAATGCACACAAAACAAGAAAAATGCGTTTCAAAAATTTTGAGGGTTTTTTGAGTTTTTCAAAAAACGCCTACGAGTTGGACCTGCCCATCGCCAAGGTGGCTTACTGACGTCATTTGGCAACAGAAAAAACAAAACTTACCCTTGAGGTTTTTTTTTCACCACTCAACCTACAGATTGACTGTACTATACACCACGTGCGCACAAAATGTGTCCCAAACAAGAAGTGCTTGAACATCACTCAAACACTTCTTCGTACACAGTCACGCGCGGACCGTTGAAAGTCAATATGCCGCCGAGCTCCGCGAAAAAATGCGAAAAAAATACTTATAGTACATTAAGTGTCGTTTACTCGACAGGTTTCTAATCATTGTTTGTTAATTTATCACGTTTGAAGCAAATTTTGTTCTAATAGCTATTATAAACTGATTTAATAGAGCATATTGTGATATTCAAATGCATGGTCGGTTACATAGCCGCCTCTTTTCCTTGCGCTCCGTACATGCTATATTGCTGACAACGCATTCAGAATTTCGTGTAGAGTCAAAGAAATAGTCTATATTCCTCCCCCTATAGCAACAGATCATAAATTTTATAAGTTTGCATTTCGAAATAATTTTGCTCTCTTAACTTTTTAACGCATGCGTTTAAATTAAGACCCTATGTACTATGCATTAAAGGTGACTATGCATTAATTGAATTTAAACATTCAATGTTTAAATAATCCCTTATAATGTTTTTGACTACTCAATCATCTTGATGCGGCCACGATTTTGTTCGTGTTGTTGTACTAGGGTATTAAATATCGTTGTGGCATGTTACAGAATCGACGTGCAAGTGGGGTGGGGTAAGTGTGTAGTGGGGGCCGGGCCTTGTTTAATAAAAAAGAAATGGATGAAAATGTGTAATCGTATTAAGTATAACAGTGGTCCAAAGCGTTAGTGTAAGGAAGCAAACAAAGCCTCAAGATGGCGGGCGCTCAGTACGTATTATTGGGTGGTCCGGTCGTGCGGAGGCGACATTTCGATGGGTCAGAAAGTAAAGGAGTGGAACGAGCAGTGGTTGGTGGAGATAGTGGTTGAATGTGGCTGATGCAGATGGTGGGCGGCGTTGGCGGCGTCGGCACGGACTCGGCGCTCACCAGGCGGCGCCACTCCACCTCTATACTGACCCGGAGCGCCCAGGTACCCGTCACACCGCCTCGCCTACCCACCCACCCGAACCCCGCTCGATAATAATAATGACATTCCAAATTCAAAAGGGCTTATTCGAATGATTTTAAAAATTTGTTATTTCTCGTTATTCACTTTTTTTGTAATTTCGGTGGGAAACAAACGGCAATTAATTCGGGTGCGCCTACAGTGCGTGTTCAGTTAGTTTGTTAAGTGAATTTAAAATTCTTCAACAATACAGGGGGTGATTTTATCAATTTATGTAAGAGGTCGTATTCATTTGAATGAACTCTACGGCTATTTATTGCACGTAGCTCTCGATGGTACTTTACGTATACTTAACCTTTTCTTATAAACAAATTAAATATTCAACGTGCTACCCGCGTAATTATTTGTTATGTCTACGTAGTTATTATTATTTAGTGTTGTTACCTTGCTACCATCACATCCCTCCTCCACACCCGCTCCCAGCTGACACTTTATTATTTTTTTTACATCGATCAAATGAGACAGACCATTAACACCACTGTGGACGTAAACGGTAACTTTAGTCACAGCAGACATATGGACTTGAAGGCATTCACGTGTAAGTACCCGCATTTGGTTAATCAGAAATATATCGAAATAACCGCGTAGTAATTGGCTATAGAGACTAACTCAGCGGTCTGCTCGTTTGTTCGCGATTCATCGAAGTAAGCAGTAAATTTATTATTTAAATTATTGTTTTTTGGCAAAAAATTATGCGCACTTATTTTATTGGCTGTTGTAAAAAAAGGTTCTAAAAGATTTACATAATTATTAACCCGAAATGGAGTGGCTGGAGTGGTACTTATTTAATCGTCAAGATTTAATTGTAACAAGTTTATTTGAGCCACAGTACTAATACAATGGTAGTCGTAATTTTATACATAACAGTGCATAATATTCCTCCCGGGCTGTAAAAGGTTGAACTCAGTGCTTCCTTCGCTCAAACAAGAATTTAATTAATATTTGTTATCTGTATAAAGAGAATCTTTTTTGTAATAATTACATTCCGACCTGAATTCCACATAAAGGTAAGTTTACAAATCAGGTCTTGGAGGCCGTGCCACAGGTATAAAACATGTAAATTTAAAATAAAGTGTCATGATATTTAAGCGATAAAATAATCAATCATTCAAAGTCTTTCGTGTAAGTGAAATACAAACACGCATTGTAACTACTTGTCTAATGCGTATATATTTGCACTGCTTATTATAAAATTATACTGCACGGAATGCACTTTCAATACTGTGACACATTATAATTGTTTGCTGGCTTATTTTCTTTAAGTTGTAGACATAGATTAATAAATCGTCCGCATATTTTCTGAGACACTGACCATACATTTAACAATAACGATCATTTACAATCAAATCATTGCTCCCTAATTCATATTTTTATTAAAACCAAAATCGGCACGCTTTTGCATTTTTGTACTCTGGTGGTTTTTTGTGGTGTCGCTCATTCTCTATTCAAAGGATAATCTTATTGCCAGCGTACCCTACGGTACTGTCTACTGTCCCTACATGAATGGGTCCGTTGATCATCGATAAAATAAAGAGTTGTGTGAAAATGCAATTGAGTGCTGAAACACAACAGATCAGCCAGACAGCGTTCTGCGTAATATAAGCTTAAGCGTATCCCGTAAGAATATACATAATATAGCATTTACCTAGTCAAAGCATGTATATCCTAGTAAGAAAATGTATAAAAGACATTTCCATAACCAGCTGAGGATTAGCTTTCCCAAGATTTTTCTAAGATATTAGAAACTTACACTCTGAAACAAATGTGATTTAAAGCCCGTTCATCAAAACACCAATATTAATGAAGTATACCTATTTAAATGCACAACATTATGTACCATGATCAAAAGCTTTATTATGCGATGGTCGGTATTTCAGAAACTTGTCAAAAGCAATCATTGTCAACGTCTCACGAACGAAACACTTATTAAATTTAACAGAAACAATGACTATATTTTTGTCGTTAATTTTTTGTTGATAATTTGATTTACCCGCACTTAGTTTTTTTTAAAGTGCTCCTACACAGTTGTCTCATAAAAATGATAAAATCTCATAACATTTGCAAAAGATTTTGAACCAAAATATGGCATTTTACAATAAGCATATCCTCGTTAACTATCATTTTACAATGCCGGCACCTCACTTGGGTATTCGTGTCTGCTATTTGTAAACTGGAGAACAGTCATTCCTTATCATATTTTAAAGAAATGATAAGGACAGGCTGATATCAAGTTTACAAATAACAAACACGAATAGCCTAGTGAAGTGCCGACATAACAGCTATATTCGAATAACTTTGACAAAAGTTCGTGGTACGTTCACGACGATTAGCTGTACGGATCGTATTGTGCGATGGTGTTAATCGTGTGCTGTGTGATGTCAGGGGGGTGTGTCGAGCTCGCCGTTCCGGGAGCGCGTGGGCAGCACCCGGCTGCCGGACCGGCCGCGACTCCGGGCCGAAGCTATGTCAGTACCTATCACTACCCCAATACCACTACGACAATGCGTTGTCCGCTGTTGATTTACAAAGACTTTATTGTTGTGTGTATCTTTAGAACTATGCCTGTACTGTGTTTCTTACGTTGCCCTTATTACTGAATGCTGAGAACGACACGCTGAGCGATGAGAACAGATATACTGAAATGTCATGACGGCATTTCACTTGGCTATTCGTTTTTGCTATTTGTGAACTTGACAACAGTCTCCTTTTCACTCCTTTTAAAGTATGATAAGGACAACCTGCTGTCAATATTACAAATAGCAAACTTGAACAGCCAAGTGAAGTGCCGGCATGCTTCTAGCATGCCACAAAGCGAAGCCCGAACGACGAAGATACCATCAATTAAAATAAAAGTACGCCAAAATTATCAGGTATCAATCAAGTGTCACACAGACAGTGAACTTCGCTCCCTTCATTACCCGAAGATTTGCGAGGACTATACAAATCTCTCAACAAATCTTATTATCTTTCCTCTCATTTTATCACGTTATCAAGTACAAGAAGTCTTTATAAATTAACAGTGGATCATAAACACGTGTCAATAAAAATCCTATGTTATAAGCAGATGTTTTCAGATGGTGATTTGCTTGCATGGTGCTCGGTGTGCGTTAGCTTAACATTCATTTGTCGTTTGTCCTTGCACGCTCCTATTTTAACAATATTTTATGATATGTATTTTCTATATTTCCCTAGGTTATCAATGTTATAATATTTAATATGTTGTTTATTTGTATTCCATATAATATAAACCGTTCGAAGAAGTTCGAGAACAATCACTTTTGGGCGTTAATCGTTTGAGCAGGTTCTTTTGTCCATCCCGCCTCATAGTGTTCGCAAGTGAAGTTCAGATGCGCAGACTTAAAGCCGCACTAACCGCTCATTCCTTGCAAACTTGCAAGATTTTCTACACTTTTATTTTGAAGACTTGTAGAAATGAGGGTGCGGGTAGAGAATCATATTCGCGGATTGAGCGACAGTAAATTGAGTTACCATTTAAATGCCGTCTTGGATGTCCATAAATAAATTAATGCCTAAAAGTAGAAGACCAGCGACTTCTCCGAATTGACCTATACACGATAAAAAGCACGATAATATTTCCAATAACGACCCTAATTTTTTTTCAACTTAAGGCCTATTGCATTATATTAAAATTTCGTTTTTTAGCATTGGCTCGACGTTACTCCAGATCACTCACATTTCTATCTATTATCTTGGCATTTTTTTTTATTGTACTGCGGAATGCTTGTTCGTACCCTTTCTGGCAGTGGCTTTGTTATTCTTATCTGTAAATCCGTTTTATTGCAGCAATCACCTACTAAGTCACTAAACACTAGTCAGTGCAACAAGTGAGTATGTCATGCGTCTAACAATTTAGTTAACCATCCAGCCATAATATTGTAACCGTAGAAACCCTAGTGCAAGTTTTCTTGTAAACAGCAACATTGTTTTCACTTAATTATTGTGTGCAGACAGCCACACATTAAGTCTCCAGAAACTATCCAATTTCCTGGGTTCTGTACCCAAAAGAAAAAAACGGAACCCTTATACGATCACTTTGTTTTCCGTCTTTTTGTATGTGTGTCAAGACCCTTTATCTCAGGAACGCGTAGGTGACGCTGTAAAGGTCATCTGCGACCAACAGCATACACACTCAAAAAAAATAGCTGCGCTACGACTGGAGAGTCAATCGGCGGAACGCACGCCCACCCGCGCACCTTGTTTCCCCCCCAGATATCTTAATTTTTACTTCTGCTCAATAACGGTCAGCGCTAGAGCTTCGTGCCGCGACTTATACTTAGGTCTGCTGTCCCTTGAAGCTATGAAGAAAATTAAACTAGAAGTTTAATTAACGTGAAAAAAGATACGAGCGTCTAACAGTCTGTTTGTCAAGACCTTTTAACTCGGAAAAGTGTGGAGGTATCGGGTTGAAATTTAAACCATATAACTACTCAAATCACGAAAAAATCAAACTTCTAAATTAATCTAAAGAAAATATAACTAGAAAAAATTCTAAATTAATGTCAAAAAAGTGATACGGCCGTTTAAGTTGCGTACCTACTTATTCCTACGGAACCCTCGGTGGGTGAGTCCGACACGCACTTGTCCGGTTTTTAATTAGATTGTGAATTTTTAATGGGCATTATAAAACTCAAAGTTAGTTGGAGTAATTTAATAATTTTTGGGTTACCTAATATGTGGCTGTCTGTGCTTTAAATACTCTGAATAAATTTAGCCAATTTTAATGATTCGCTAAAAATTCAAGTAGTTGTTTGACAGATTTACTGTAACAATTTTAGTGGTACAAAAAATCTTCACTCAGAATATACCTACTAATTTTTAATGTTCTTTTTTAATTTCTTTTTTATTTATTTATTGTTATTATATTAAATTAATCAACATGTTTTATAATTAATGCAAATATGTTTCATGTAATTTGAACAAAGTCTAAAGTATCTACCTACACAATAAGAATAGATTTTTGAGTATTAATATATTTTGTTTTAAACTTTCATGGTCACTAACATTATAGTAATATAAGTTATTTACGGGATTGTTACCATGTACCTTGTTTTTAGCGAGTTTCCGATATTTCGGTCAGTCACGGAGTTACTCCGTGATCATGGCGCTTGCAACAGTGCCGAAATATCGGAAACTCGCTAAAAACAAGGTACATGGTAACAATCCCGTAAATAACTTATATTACTATAATATTAATATATTTGCATAATTTTAGCATTATAAACATAGTTCGTTACATTCCAGCTATGGATATCTTACGAGTACGTCAAACGAAACATCTTTACATTAAAAATAAAAATTAAACACATGATTGCTATGCTTTATTGCTTGGTAGCTTTAGCACATGCACCGCTTGCTTCTTTTGTGAACCTTCACTGTTGGATATGTGACCCATATTTGTAAAGACTAGTATTTATCTATATTCTTACAGGGTAGCAGCAAAGACTGTGCTTGAGAGGACGCAGTCACAAACTGGTGAATGTGAGGATACCTACGATGATGGGTATGAAGAAACAATATCTTTATATATTATATGTTAATAGAATCAGTCTTAAAATGTCAATGAAAATATATTATCAGACAATTTGAACCCGAATATGGAGATTTGTGGTTTTTTATCCCATATTCTGGCGATCGTCAATTAAAATTAAAGGATTCTTTTCTCCATACAAATCTGCTCAATTTTTTACCTGAAGTATTATCATACATTTATGTGGAGAAAAATACGCCGAATTCACATCATTCACATAAAAATTGCGTTCCAAAATTTAAATTAATGGCAACACAGATACTGTATTATGGAGAATGTACATCTTAAAGTTAATTAAATTAGCTACGGAAAAAATCATCAAAGTAATAAAAAAAGTCTATGTAATTGTGCGTTTCTTTATACGCAAATTTCCTATTTTAATTTAGATTTTCAGCAATATTTGCTGAATTTATTGAGATCTTGATGAGTGAGTCTTTTTAAGTATAATTTTATATATTTTTTAAGATAATTTGTACCAAGGTACAAAATTGGGCAAAAATGTAAAATCCTATTCCAGTTACTCATACTTTAATCGACACTCGAATATAATCTTTATTGCAGTGTGATAGAGCCGAAGTTGAAAGCAATCGTACCATTATCAGAGATCATTGAGCGCATGCGTAGCTCAAATCTGGGCGTGGGCTTCCTGCAGCAAACCGTCAGTCTTCCATCACATACTTTTGTATCAATATACGCCATACACTGGCTACAAGCCAATATGGAAGGAGTCACTTACGAAAAGGCCACGTCCATCATGGAGGTAGTTATTTGTCAAATATTTGGCATGGCATTGATTGCATGTATAAAATTTTATATTTGTTTGAATTTAAACACTTTGTCTTTCAGAAAATGCTACAAGAGAAAATGATTTGCCACGCTTCCGGAGATACAACAAAAAGATTTGTCGTGGGTTATTACATGTATCACATTCTGCCGCAGAAGAAAGATAAAGGTAATGTTCTTTATAATTGTACGTGTTGGTTTTGGTATAAATTGCGTAAACGCCGTACCCAAGTACAGTCTGCTTTCTGAAATGCTGCTTTTTCATTTAACACTCTAAACAGTTCTGACGTCTGAGCGAGCAAAACTTTTTTCGCATTGTAAATTTTAAGAGAGGTGGTTCACAGCGGATTTTACTGTCGAAATGGAGCGCCCTTTTGGGAAAGCATCCTCCACCTTACAGAAGACCACAGTAAAATAACACTACCTTTTGATGGTGTTGTGTTTCTGCTGGTGAGTAGGGGTTCTAGGGGCTCCGCGAGGTAGGGGATTTGGTTCAGGCCGGCACACCTGCCGTATCATCTATCCGCGACTGGATTCCACTTCCACTTAACATCAGGTGGGGTAATTGGTTGTGCCTCTTATAAAAAAAATAAATATCAGAGCGAGCGAACGTGTTGGTTCAACGATGTTTGGCTGAACTCAGCGAGCGGATCCGCCAGCTCAATCATTTAAAGGAAACAACGCAACTGCGTATGAAAGATTTTTCGGAGTATCACCACGATCATCGTCCATTTTTTGTGTGAGTGGAACAACGATATTAAATACACTAGATACACCACGTCCGCTCAAAATGTGTCCCAATCAAGAAGTGCTTCAACTTCACTTAAGCACTTCTTGGTTCGCAGTCGCGCACAGACCGTTGAAAAGTCAACATGCCGCACAGCTCCGTGAAATAATGCGAAAAAAATACTTGTAGTAAGTGTGTAAGTGTTGTTTTTTCTACAGGTATCTAATCAATGTTTGTTAATTTAACGCATTTGTAACAAATTTTGTTCTAATACTTACTGTATCTTGACTGACTGCGAATCAAGCACTTCTTGGTTCGCAGTCGCGCACAGACCGTTGAAAAGTCAACATGCCGCACAGCTCCGTGAAATAATGCGAAAAAAATACTTGTATTGTTAATTTAACGCATTTGTAACAAATTTTGTTGTAATACTTTAACCTGATTTAATATAATTTTTGTGATAATCAAATGCATGGTCGGTAATATAGCCGTCTCTTTTCCTCGCGTTCCGTACCTGCTATAGTGCTAACAGCGCATTCAGAATTGCGCGTAGAGCCAAAGAAATAATGCCTGCATTTCGAACTGTCCATAACTCTTTAACGCATGCGTTTTAATTAAGACCTTATACAGTATGCATTAAAGGTGACTTTCAATGTTTAAATAGTGCCTTATTTGTTTTTGACAACCCGATCATCTTACGGAGCTCCGTGGATCGTCCAATGGACCTTTTAGACAGGTTTCGGGCATTATATTGTTCGTGTTGGTGTATCAAGGGTATTTAATGTCGTTGGAGTGGAAGCGCAACTATGTGGACGAACATTGTACCTGAGCAACCATAAAAGCTTATGTTCAGAACATTAGTCCGTTCGGCTATCATAGTTGAAACAAGTACTAGTTGTTTTCAGTGAATACCGGCAAATGATCATTGCTCTGATCATAATGTTTGCTCGATAGCTTAATGGAAATGAAACATAGCTCACACATTGGCGTTACGTTTATTGGCATTCTCATGCAGTTTCATGCAATCACTTTTTGCAAGAAAAACTATATAGCATGTTTGCTTTACATTTTTTTTAAACAGGAAAATAAGATGGAATTTTAATTTATTTTTAATGAATAACTTTTATTTAACGATATTAAATTACTTCAGCTAAACGCGCGGCTTACTCTTTTCTTCCACTGTAATTTTTAGTTTCATTAGCAATAGTTAAAAATTTATACTTTAACTAAAACCAGCTATCTATTTTATATCATTATCTGATCACATGTGTTCCGAAAGACATTACTGAAATCAAACACATTGGCTTTGCGTTTATTGGCATGCTCACGTAGTTTCAAGCAAAAATTCATAGCGGTAAGTTTAGGTGAAGCCGTTGTCCTGGTTTCATTCTATTTTGGGGTACTGGTGCTAATACGTCTAACGTCGGCACTTCACTTGAATATTCGTGTTTGCTATTTGTAACCTTGACATCAGTCTGTCCTTAACATGCTCCTATAAGGAGGAGGAGGAGAGGAAAATAACAGACGGATGTCTAGTATACAAATAGCAAAAACGAATAGCCAAGTGAAGAGCCGACATAAAAGTCTTGTAATTTCGATCTTAAATTTGATTTGATCATTTTCTTCAGAGTTGACCGATTACGTGAAGCCTTTGGGTGATCTGCAAAGTTTCGAGAACGAATGGATGGAAGTAGAGGTATTGGGACCGCGGTCTCCCCTACTCTCCGCGGAAGTGACGAGTGGCGCCATCGATATATCTGGCTCCAGCCCCCTGACTGACGATACGGGGGTGCCGGCTTTCCTGTGCCACAATATAGACCCGAATTACATGCAAGCTGACAGCGATAGTGACTGTGAGTGAAAATTTTCCTTAGGTATAATAGCCAATATACAAAGTTTCGAGAATGAATGGATTAAAGTGGAGATATTGGGGCCACGTTCTCCCCTACTCTTCGCGGAAGTAACGAGTGGTGCCATCGACATATCTGGCTCCGACCCCCTTTTGAAGATACGGGGATGCCGACGTTCTTGTGCCATAATATAAACCCGAATACATGCAAGCTGACAACAACAGTGGCTGTGAGTAAAAATGTTCCTTAGGTATATTGTAAACAATTTACATAGGTATTGGATCCCACTATACAGGGGTGCCGGCGTTCCTGGGGCACAGGAGCCTTCCCTATGGATAGAATAGGGAGAGATTAGGCCATGTCGCACCACGCGGGCCTAGTGCGGATTGGTGGGTGCTAACTACTGCAGATGCAGCCCATTTAATGACCGACCGCTGCGAAAGTTGCTTAACATCAACTATAGCAGTCGCAACGTGCTGACCACTTGCCCAATCGAGATCTTTAATTGTAATAATAAATATATATTTCCAACACTCACACCAATTAGCCTAGCCCCAAAGTAAGCACTGTAGGCTTGTGTTATGGGATATGAGGAGAACAGACTAATCATCAATATAATTATATCTATACAGATATAGGAGTAGAAATGCTCGTATTCATCACACAAACGTTTGTCCCCACCGGGATTCAAACTATCTCGAGTAGACGATACCTTGGAACCCGGCGTATATAACACTCGGCCAAGGAGGTCGTCGAACACAGTCGTTGTCTACTTAGGTATATTGTAACCAATTTACATAGGGATTGTATCCGACCATACAGGGGTGCCGGCGTTCCTGTGGCCCAATTTAGACCCGAATTACATGCAAGCTGACAGCGACAGTGACTGAGTGAAAATGGTCCTTCGGTATATTGTAAAAAAAATACATAGGTATTGGACCCCACGATACGGGGGTGCCGGCGTTCCTGTGCCACAACATTAACCCGACATGCAGGGTGAAAGCGACAGTGACTGAATGAAAATGTTCCTTAGGTATATATTTATACAATTTACATAGGCATTGGTTCCGACGATACTTGGGCACTAGGTTTCCTATAGCGATAGTGACTAGGTGAAAATCTGCCTTAAGTATATTGTTAAAAAGATTAATTATTAATATTTTTTATATATTGGACCTGACGATACTGCAGCCCATATAGACCCAAGTTATTTGCAAACTGACAACGATAGTAGCTGCGATTGTGTAAATCTAACTGAAGAATATTGTAAACATCAATATTCAACAAAATATTATAATGTAATAACTTGTCTAATATTGACCTTGGTATATAGCAGCCAAGTACATTGGTATTCACTAATACCAAAATTTTAATTTTCAACAGTGCCACTATATAAGAACACACACCTAGACATCGATGTAAACAACAAAAGCGATCGCATAGAATGGGGTCACGCGCGTTACCAGGCGACCTTCAGGCCAGACCAGGCCTACGAGATGTGTATACAGTGGGCCGTCGCCAGTGGAAACATCGTCTCTGAGCTGGTGAGTTTGCTTTATAAATAAACGAGAAAATTTAGGCTTCGACGTGAAAAAACAAGCAAAGTAACATAAAATGAGGCCAGCTTTAAACCGGACCAGGCCTATGGGATGTGTTTATAGTGGGCCGCCGTCAGTGGGAACATCGTCTTTTTTGTTTCCTCCCAGCCGGGGGAGCTTGTGTAATTGTCCTTATGGATACCATACAGGCGGCTGTAGGGTTATGTCAGACTCTTACTAACTAAAACCCACCTGTCGGGGGATGCCTATGGCCATAAGGGCCTTACAGGCTTCGTCTTATGCGATCAACCCCTGAGAAAGAGATGATGCAGAAAACATCGTCAGTGAGCTGGTTAGTTTGCTTTATTTCTTTAGGCGAAAAGTAGGACATCGACGTGAAAAATACGAAATATAGCATATAACGAGTCTATCGTTACCAGGCCAGCTTCAGGCCGGAACAGGCTTACGACATTTGTAACAATGAGCCGTCGCCAGCGGGAACATCATCTCTGAGCTGGTAAGTTTCTTCATTTCTATAGGAGAATATTTGGGCATAGACGTGAGAAACAAAAAATATCGTTTAGACGGGGGACAGGCTTGTAGCCAGGCCTGCGAGCTGGTAAGTTTTCTATATTTCTATAGGGGAGAATACTTGGGCATCTGCGTGAAAAACAAGAAAATAGGATAGAGTGAGGACATCACATCTAAGCTGGTAAGTTTGCTTTATTTCTGTACTAGTGTGACTGCCTCGCTTCACTTCGGTACAGACTATAAATGTATACATATATATATATATAAAGGTACATTTTTCGCGTCTGTCAGTATTTTCGCTAAATAATTTTGATACAGTTTTCATCATAGTTATAAATAAAACTCTTTATCATTGTCATGAATAACAAAACCGACCGCAAATAGTGGAAAAAGACGGAAAACCGATTATTCTAATTTTAAGCGAACAAGGATACGTGCATGCGCGCCCATTACTTGTTAATATTTACTTAGTATCGCACTAAAGACGATCATGGCGTCCTCGGGCTCAGTTATTTATTTCTCTAGTCGGCCTTACAGGTAGGGCTGCCATCTCTAAAATGTGGCAACCAGGACAAGACACGTGATAACCCCGGATTTTGGGGCGAAAAACCCGGACAGACCAACAAAAAGCAGTTAAAATGTCACAAATCAACTTTTTTTATGTTGATGTAGGCAAAAGAGCTAGCTGTCCACATGATAATAAGTGGTCACTGCTTGGACACTTGCAGCACCAAGGGCCAATCATGCGTTGCCGGCTCTGAACTTTTTAAGATTACCATATCATCATCCGCCTTTTTAAGATTACCATATCATAGCTATAAGAAAAAAATACTGAGGGAAGTTCGTTCCAGATCTTGCTGGTACGCAAAAGATAGGAACACATTGTACTCGAACGCCAGGCGTCCAGATGGTGGGCGTGAAACTTCTCTGCGGTGTGTGATGCTGTGAAGAAGCTTTGCCACTGGTATCCGGTTGAATAATTCCTCGGAACACTCTCCAGTGTATAGATGGTACAACAAGTACAAGGAGTTGCGTCCTTGTGCGTGTTGTACCGTCTGCGTAGTTAAGGGGTTGCATGCAACGCGTGAGTGAACTCAGGATCATCGATAAGTCAAACTGCCCGCTTTTGAATCCGGTCAAGCGGAAGGAGCTGGTATTGGGGTGCTCCAGCCCAGAGGACCAGTACTTTGTATAATAACACCCGATATTTAGGCTTGAGGTACTTACTATATCTATTGAGCACCCAAGCTTTTTCACACAAACATGTGTCTTTGCTGGGTTATTCCAATTAAATTTTGTTGGCTCCAATTTGAGACTTGATCCAGTAACATCTCAATCTCGGACACAAGTCTGTCTTTACACCCTTCTACCGAGGGATGTTTGACTGACCAGTGTAAAAAATATCGAATTCGAATAGCTGGCGAGTCCGAAATGTCATTGTCAAATTTTGTATGAAAACTTGATCAGCAGCACCATAACGGACGTAACGAGAACTAAGAATCAGTACACATTTGACAATGACATTTTGTACTCGCAAACGATACGATATTGGTTCGTGCTAGGGGTACTGATCTTTGTAGGAAGTCAGCATTTACGGTTACAGTGTTAGAATAGATTTATTTAATTTCAAAGACATATTGACGGATCAGTTGGCGATCAAAAACAGAAATTTTATAAACCCGGACTACAAATGAAACCCCGCCCGGACGCTCCCCGGACGCCCTGTAAACTAGGACAAATCCGGGGAAACCCGGACGGATGGCAGCCCTACTTATAGGTATCAGTATAACACTGATACTGTTTTATATTCTGCTCCTCCGTAAAATTGGTGAGTTCATAAAAAGTTACATAATGTCACACTTAAGTGATTTAGTTTTTTCTCCAACATTAGATTTTCGGATGGGCGCGCAAAGCGCAGAACTGTCGACTGCAAATGGTGCCAATACCAGCGGATCCGCTCGCTTTGCCCTTCACCTTAAAATCGGACCCGCTAAGAGGTCCAATCTACGTACCTCTCAACGAAGAACCATTACTGAGGAACAAGAGCTCCCTGTTTGAAGGTAGGTTTTTTCTTTTAAATAATAATAAATATTTCCAACACTCACACCAATTAGCCTAGCCCCAAAGAAAGCACTGTAGGTTTGTGTTATGGGTAACGGATAGAATACGTATACTGATACATATGTAAGTATATTTATATAGAAACACATACTTTAAATCCATGCCTGAAGTACAAATGCTCGTATTCATTACACAAACATCTTCCCCCACCGGAATTGAAACCCGAGACTACCTTCTCGAGTAGGCGACACCATGAAACCCGGCATACAAACCGCTCCACCTCGGAGGACGTCAGATCAGACTTTTATTTACTCGTATATTATTCATTAGGCTCGCGTTTGATCACGTCCCGCTTGATGGAAAGCGATGACGCGGCCTTAGATAATCCACGATAATTTGAACAGACCGAAACATTGAAAGAATCAGAGTACAGAAAAACAGCTAGCGAATTTCATGACTTAGAATTCTTTACTCGTTAATTACATCCATACTTACATTTAAATGCCAAATAAACTGTTGCCAGCAGGGATCAGTTTATTAAGTGGATTGTATTAGGTATTAAATAGGTTTGTATTCATTTCATCTTTTAATAATAAATAAATACTATTTTTTATCACTGAGTAGTTTTTTTTTGTAATTAGGTAAACAAAAGACTCCACTCAATCTGATGTTAAGTGGTGGTAGATTCCAGACGCGAAGATAGCTGATGCAGCAGTTGTGATCTACCACAACGGCATTTTCGGTTTTGCGTTGATATTCTTAGGTTTTGCTATGTTTAATATTATTAAACTGAAAAACTGTACTGTTAGGTATTCATCAATAATGTTTTATGATTTTCTTGCTGGATTGGCAATGAGACATACACCCGTTGCTAACTTTAATGCGAATAGTAAAAATCAGTTTATGAAACTTTTAATAGTAGGCGAGGATGGACTGACAATCAGTACCTAAATGTTGTTTCCTGACCAAATCCTATCAACCAATTCTGCTGATATTATGTATTACATTATACATATATGTATCGTGATCGTGGTAAGTTCTGAGAATAGAAATGATTCCTTAATATGTTCGTTCATTTCTTACCTATAAAAGTGGTATCTTATGATAATCGAAACTGCCGCATGATATGGCCAGGCAAAACTAGGTTACTTCACGTCTAGTTTTAATATTTTGACTAAGATATTGTATGTTTCTCATTTACTATAGATATAATTATATATTATGGAGTTATCATTGGTTCTGATTTATCCTCAACGCTGACACATGCGGTCATTTACCTCTAAACACGATATTTCTGTGAACCAATGTATGTACCTATTGTGGCGCAATTTCTTCTAACTATCAACGTAGGTAATCATTTATTGCTCAACCTTTTTTTTTATAAAAGCGTTTGTTTAGTATTTAATTATAACTATCAAAGTTTAAACTTACCTTTCATAAAGTGGGGTCTGCTTGTCATCAAATATGAGGTGCACCAAGCTTAAAAATACTGACATAATTAGCGAAGTGGCGAACAGTGGTGGTGGCGGAGTGGGGGGGATCCGCCCCAGCCGGCACTTTAAGGGGGGAGCAATTTCACAATTTTGGAAACAATATTTAATTTTGATAACAAAATCCCAATGCTCGTTGTTGAAGATAAGTAGTGATTTAGTAGATACTTAATATGTAAATACTCGTCTCATAGCACCAACCTCATCAGCTTTGGCATTTTTAAGGGAGCAGATTTTGATTTCGACAGGTTGCCAGCGGGTCTACCTTGTAACGCAGAACTTTTAATGTCATAATATTATTATGCATATCAGCGAAAGGCATAAACTTCATTTCGCAGAAAATCATTTGGCATTCACTCATTTAACAGACATTTACATTAAAAAGCAGAACCATAATATCGGAGAAAGTTCACAGTCAGAATCATTTATTGGCATACAATGGCGTCTATCGTTTATTTAACTATTATCTATGTTGACTGGCGCTTTGCTGGCCGCTGCCGCGGCACGCTCGCTTCGCTCGCTCGACTCAAGCTAAGATTAAGTCACAACACTAACCTAACCCACTTACCACAAATATCGATTATGCTGAGCAAAATTATGCTTAATAAAATTCTGCCATATTAAAAGTATGCTATTGTGAATTCGGACATATAAACATTCAACCAATTAATAATTAAACTTAATAAAAAAATATGCCTTACTAATATTCTTTTAAAGAAGATTATGCCAAGTGTGTTATGCCAAATGAATTTCGGAGCAACCAGATTCTGCAAGATAGAGGGAACCCGTTGCCTGCCTATTGTAATAAATACTAGGTAAAATAGTTTCTTAATTTATTTCTGTCCTGTTAGGCATTTTAATAACATTATTATAATGTTATTCATTTGCTCTCTATCCCAGCAAGGAAACTATTTATCGATTTATAATAGTATAGGTACTTACTTCAATCCCCCACCAATCCTAACTAGGCCCTCGTGGGTCATGCATGGCCCAATCTCGCTATTCCACCCACAAGTTAGGCCTGTGCCCCAGCAGTGCCGTTACATCAATAGTTTTATGATAATGACGTAGACAAGTACTTACTTTTATAATTGATGCCGGTTTTGGATGACATACTTATATCATTGACACAGGTTTTCCCGAAGACACTTGGTTGGAGCGACTATTCCTCTTCCAAGAGGCTATAGTTGGTCGTTTTGGTTTCATAAAGTGCACAGTGGAGAGCACTTCCCACGCTGCTGGTGTGGGCGACCACCTTTACGTGCACGTCACTGGAAACATGTTCATACTCATACCGACCACTGTGAAGTCAGAACAGAGGTCGTTGCGAGCAAAACCTGCGATCAAACCGCTGAATGCCAGCAGGTAAGTAAGAGAAACTCCATAAAGCCTAATCTTTAAGGTATAGTTTAAAAAATCAAATGCATATCGATAGCCCTCGCAAAATTCAATAAACTTTAAGTCGTTGTCCTAATTTTGATTTTTTTCAAATAGTCGTTATAGTAAATTGTCTTCTACATAAAACGGAGCGATCATGAATCACACAAACTTGTCCACGCCACGAAAAAATATGTTTCCAGTTCATCCATATTACTGTGTCCATATACTAATTCACAAAACCGATAATCGTGTTCCAATATCCAAAGCGTGTTAGTTAAAAAACAAATGAGTGACAGGAAGCGCACAATCACAAAACGAAGTAGGACGAAGGACTGCAAATGAGTCGACTAGTTGCAACTGCAAGTCTTTCAACTCCCGTGGTCCTACCCCGTAAACCGTTTTGAGGTGCCTCAGTAAGTGCAAGCGTAGGACGGCTGCAGGCTTTGTTACTGATAATATAAATGAAGGTACTTCTAAATGAATTTATTTAGCTACTTAAATGTGCCTATGTATCATATCTATCAATTACCAAAATATTTTTTTACGGTGTCGGTAAAAAAATGGACATGTGCTGTTCACATGCGATAGAAGTGAAAACTACAGAAATGTGAACACGTACAAGTCCTTCATGACTAGGTACTGTAAAATACTCGGACAAACTATTATTCATACTTAAATTGTTTCTATAATAAATATTAGCTTAATAAAAGAAAAAAAAAATTAAAAGAATAATCGACCCCAAGACCGTTACCGTTCGGTTATCTGTCTCTTGCAGAGAGTTACAAAATTACGGATACCTCGTGTCAAATACTGTCGCTTTTTTGTTTCATCGAGTTTCAAATCACAACGGTGCTAAAGAAGTTTTCACTTCAAAAGGCTATTTTTTCATAGATATTTCGATTCATACTAATTACATTGTTGGCGGAGCTAGGTGTTTTTTGCCCATTATGCTTTCAACTCGATACCTCCACGCGTTCCCAAGATAAAGGGTTTGACAAATAGACAGACGGAGACGAGCAACAAGGTGGTCCTATACGGGTTCCGTTTTATCCTTTTGAGGTACGGAACCCTGAATATCGTTATATCCTTTGAACCATGTTCAATAAAGTAGTTATCAGAAAGAAACGTTTCGTATTTAAGTGACCTTAATATTATTCGATCAGCTCTCAAAACAGCTGTCATCATGGTAACCGCCCACGATATCATCATCATCATCATCAGCCTATTAATGTCCCCACTGCTGGGGCACAGGCTTCCCTATGGATGGAATAGGGAGATTGGGCCATGACCCACCACGCGGGCCCAGTGCGGGTTGGTGGGTGCTAACGACTGCAGATGCAGCCGGGACCAACGGCTTAACGTGCCTTCCGAAGCACGGAGGAGCTCGAGATAGTAAATTATGGTCACCCATCCAATGACCGACCACTGCGAAAGTTGCTTAAATTCAACGATCGCTGCGGAACGCGCTAACCACTTGCGCCATCGAGCTCCTCCCACGATATATTAAAATCTATTTACAAAAAACCTCAAGATAGGTACACACTGTAACCACACGCGGAGAAGTACCGAATAGAGGCCTCAGTTTCATTAACTTCGATGACGTGAGCTGTGTGTATTACGTAGGTAAACAATGTTCTACTGTATTACCATACCTTGTGTTGTGTCCTTGCTGCGGCCGTGGCAATGGATATTTTAGGTATTGCGTCGCTGTAAATATTTACAGAATTATTCAATGTCCTTATTAAATGCTCGTTTGATTATTGTTTTTCCATAGTAAAAACTCTGCTTGGTTTCAGTTTCAAAATATTGCTGCATTTTAAGTAAACTCAAAAGATAATTGACGGTACTGTTTGCGATTTTAACTGATAATAGTTGTAACAATCTGAAAGATGTAACGGTTGTGTATAAGCACTTTCCCGTAATTTTTCCCTTTATGAAGTTAATTTTCATGCGTATTATTTCATGCTGCGCCATTATTTTCCTCTTTTAGGGCTAGAGACATATTTATGCAATGAATGATACCTAGATGCGTTACTAGCATTGCTTATTAATAAGCGTGTTAAAGATAAGACAAGGCAACCAGATCACACGTTTAAAAAAGACATATAGTCGTGGCTCGTAAATCAAGCTTCCCCTAAGCTTAAGTAAATAAGGTAATCTACTACTATAATCTGGTAATCTGCTAATTATAATACTCATTGTATATTATGTAGTTGCCATACTTAAGCTTAGCGAAAGGTTTTACTATTGTATATTTTCTTTCTAAAACAAGCTATTCTAATACTTGTCTTTTAATGCCGCCCAATGTGATTGCCAAGTTTTATTATTTCTCATACTCCGTTATGTTTAGGTATCCAGTGCATTCTGAAGCCGCTCCGAGTCCCCATGAAGGCTACATCACCCGACACGTGAGCGGAAAAAACAAGGACGACTATGATAACAGTCGCCGGGTACGTGATATATTTGCATGTTATCGTTGTTAACAACGAATAAAATCATATTATTTTTGTATATAAACACTATTTTGGTTTCCACATTATTATTGAAGTTATACTTCTTTAGGCGCGTTATGAAAAAATGATGAGAGTGAAATTTTAAGATGCGCGCGCATCACTGTAACTTTTGTGTTTACCGCACATTAAGAAAATCTACCAACAAAATAGAATCTCTATTTAGTGGGTGCTAACGACTGCATTGTGAAGGCCTATCAAAAGTATTTATTAATCTGGAACAACGGAACCAAGCGCGATTCAGGAGGCTACAGCGCCATCTCTTGACCATTGGTGTAGTAGAACCAAAAACCACATCTTTATTTTTTGTAATAAAGTAACAGTTATAGGTATTCACATTTATAATATCAAAAGTATTTATTAATCTGGAACAACGGAACCAAAGCGCGATTCAGGAGACTACAGCGCCATCTCTTGACCATTGGTGTAGTAGAACCAAAAACCACATCTTTATTTTTTGTAATAAAGTAACAGTTATATCATATTTATAATATTTATCCACATGTTTCTAGTTTGTATATTCGGAATACGTGTTTGAGTTTCATACAAGTGCAAATCACTTAAGTTCTAATAAATTATATTCAGTAGCGATTTTAATTGAATATTTTGATTATTTATTTATTTTTTCAAATTAAAACTGAACTTTATTGACTGTGTCCTTTTCCAGACTTTTTATTAATTTATAGTAATTAATTATTTGCATGCAATTAAAAACTAATTTTAAACGATGCGAAAGAAGGATAACTTCTCACGCGCCTACATAAGTACACGCACCCATTTTTTTTTTGTTATTTATACTATACGACACTTACAGACTTGTTTGTTTTTTTGGATAGCTTTGTTAAATGCTTTTTAGTTATTTAATATTGTAAGGTTCTGTTTTTAAAATACATGTTTTTTACAGATGGGTTTTTTGTGGTCTTGGAATCATATGATCTCAAAGAAATTGAAATATTCCCAAGCAACAGGCGATGAACAGTTCCAAATCAGAATGTTGCGCGACTTCAAGTTGTTTTGTGCAAACCAAGAACAAAGACTTATTCAATTTTGGGACCAGTGTTGGGAATTGCAAGAAAAGGCTAATGGTCTCCTCACGTCATGTTAAATAGTTTTAAGTCCAATAAACAATTCCTATAAATAAATAAAATTTTGTATACTAAAATAGTTTTATTATTTTGACCAATTCTCAACATATCATAGCAAAAATCCAGGTTGCAAACCTAAAGCTTATTTTCAGAATAAAGGAAACAACACAGATATTGGAAGAAACTGTTTATTGCTCACACAGATTTATAAAAATATGTTTAGTACCAAAACTTCCATCTCTCCATCCAAATCTATGAGGAAATTATTTTTTATTTGCTTTTTTCATACAATAATTTCATGTATTATTATCTAAAACATTAAAAATACTGCGTTTCAAGGCACCGTTTGTAAACATACGTATATTAATAAATTACGTATAATATGTGAATCTAATAATTCCTCACAGATATTTGGAATGCTTACTACCCTATTTAAAATCAGTCAAATTATCACTTTCATCAATCTAAGACGAACCCCTGAAATTTATAATTTAATTACTTTATTCCAAACTATAATCTATCTGCAGGTTACTACATACCTAATATGATAACAACTTTATTTATATTGAATTATTATTAAACTATCATACTCATTCCAGAGATAATTGTTCTTTTTTAAATATTTACGATTATGGCACAATTAAATTAACATGTAATTTCCTTTACCAAATACTACTGGGAGTTGTCTTATTAAAAATATGCAAATCTCACACACACTATTTATTTTCATACACCAGCGCAAAAACAAATAAATTCACTAAAATAGTAAACTTCCATGCTGGCAGGTTATACTTTCCTAAGTCACTAACCAAATGGTAAATGCCACTAAGTTTTAAGTAAAGATTTAATAAAGTTAAAAATTTACTTTATTATGCTAATTATAAAATAAAAAACTAAAAAATAAGGCTAAACAAAACAAAATTTTGTTTCATAATGTTAATTTAAAGTACCTAATTTATAACAACTACTCAATAAAATGAAGTGGTAAAGAGGTTCAATTGAGGTTTGATAATAATGTTTCAAGTAAAACATATCGAAGTTGATGCTATAAATAGGATTTACATTAATTTTGTTATACATACTTTATAATAAAGCTGGCATTTATTTTCTATATTTGTATATTTTACACAACATAATTGAGTCAAATTTATGATATATATTGAAGTACTGATATGTAATTTAATACAAAAACAGTTAAATTTGTAGTTATGTTTGTATAACAACACAAATGTTTTAACATAAATCCATGAAAAACATAGTCCATGATCAAATATTAAATAAGTATGAAATATATTATGTATGAAGTAAAAACAAAATAACCATATTCTAAGAAACTAAAACTATTTTAGAGGTTGGCAGTAAAGAAATGATGGTAGTTAATACTAACAAGAAATTATTTGAGCTCATTTTCCTACACAGACTTCTTAAAAGCTATAAAATATAAAGTACATAGAACTAGTTTTGTGCAGAACATGAAGATCAATAATCACAATTTTCATTGGTGGTACACAGCCCAATACAGACATGCACATCATTATATAAAAAACATACCAATACTAAATATATGGTAAAAAGTTCTAAGTTATGGATTTTGTTGCATATTGAATGAGATTTCCTGAATAAACTATTTTGTTTAAAACAATATTTATATGAATAGTCATGGTGATACAAATGATAATTGCTCTATATATTGAATTGATGAAGCCAGTTCATCAAACATAAACCTTAATCATAATCTCAAAGTGCATTGTGACAAAAAATAATAATTTGTATGTACTCAATGTATTAAAAAAATCTCTATCAATAAACATTTTGTATCAATAAAACTAGGGCAAACTCATTTACCAAGTAGCCATTAAAAACTATACCTAGCAGTAGGTAAACCAAAGGACATTAATTATTTTGTAAAAATTAAATTATTTTCTTCCAAAAACAAGTAAACGGGTGAGCATACTGGTAAGACAAGGAACTTGCTTCTGCTGATGCATAGTTAGTGTATCTGGAGTGTTGGACTCATAATCTAATGCTACTTTCTGACAAACAAAGGTCAGAAGAGTGAGTATGTCTCTGTCAGTGCCTGAGTAGCGTAATTCATCACAAAGAGCTTGCATAAACCAAGAACCACGAGTAGTATTTCTCCAAGAAAAGTATCCTGGCACAGTGGAGAACACTATCAAGAAATCAGCATGAATAGGAATCCTGTATTGGGTGCTAGAAGAACCATCAGTTTCAGTACGATTGATCAGTGTAATTCCTCCATCCAATTTATCACCTTGGCAAGCTTGAATGAAAAACATTTTAGGTTTGCCTGCTAAGGAAGGGCACTTGTCAGCAGTAAAGTAATACCACAAATTATCTGGTTTGTAATGTGTATCCTTAGCATACAACATACCCATTTCACCATGAGTAAGCACAGCAATCAACAGACAATCAGAATCTGAGTGATCCATATCTGCTGTCTGCTGAATGTATTTGTTTATTTCTTCAGATTTAAGATTATGGAAAACAGTAACTCGGAATCCCAAGCCTCTCAGAACCTTAGACAGATTGTCACTGTCGACATTAGTGCCTGTGCGAGATTTCAAGCTATGGATATCAAAATGTTCGTGGTTAAAAATCAACGCCATACCGCGATTCTTGTGGTTCATGTTGTAATATGGCGCATTTCTATCAACAGGCATCTTGGCATAGCGATTTTTATCCGAAGACCCTTGGCCACCCCATGCGTCGCCCTCGTCGCCTCCGCCGTTTTCCCTTTGTTCTTGTTCAGCACCATTGTTTCTTTTAAGTTCTTCGTCAGACATTTCGGAAAGATAAGTTATTATCAGTTGTAAACAAAAAAAACTCCTATTTTACTATTCACAGATTTCCTAGTAATTGAAACAATTCCCTATTTTTATTTAACCTTGTAAAACACTATTCAAAATAAAACACCATGCGATTACGGATTTACAATTTACACAACAACCGAAAATGACATGCATGACATGACTATCATAGCTTTTTTTTTTATTAGCATATCTATCATAGTTTTTTTTTTTTTTTTTATTAATATGTTTTACGGCTCTGGATTCTAGTCCTTTTTAAGCCAAACGTTGAACATGTCAAAAACAAAGTAAACAAAACAACTGTCACGTATAACAGAATGTCATTGAGTTAATCACATCACATCATAATTTTCACTTCCACAGTAAACTGTTTCTCTTCCTTGTTATATTTTGTCTACAGTATTTACGATGAATTTGAATAGTGGCTTGAAATACTTGAGATCGTTAAGTAAGTCTTGCAACGTATTAGGGACGACCTTATCGATTGCTTCAAGTTCAGCAACAAGTATTAGACGCTGTAGTCCGTACCGTCTACATTCAAAAATTATGTGCTGTAGGTCTTCATTTTCTTGGCAGTGGGGACACTTTGGATCATCTGTCATCTTCAGTCTATGCAGGTGAGTGCGAAATTGCCCATGACCAAATCTCAGCCTGTTTATTGTAGTAACGAATTTCCTAGATTGCACCATTTTGTTATTCCACCAAGGTTGGGCGGGCGGGCTTCCTTGGATCTTTTGATACCACTGTCCTTTTTCTTTGCTAATTTCATCCCAATGTTTTCTCCACAGTAATGCCAGGTTATGATGACACAGGGCTTTAAAATCTGTAAATGGAACCTTCATAGACAAAGAGTGGTCTTCACTTGGTGTACTTCGTGCAGCTTCGTCAACTCTTTCGTTACCAGTAATGCCACAATGCGCAGGTACCCACATAAATTGCACTCTCTTGCCAGATTCTTTTAGGTTATACAATAAATGCTTAATAAATAACACTAAATAATTTACATCATATCTATAACTATTTCTAAAGGATTTTAATACACTCTGAGAGTCAGAAAGAATAAGAAAATTATTGTTATGTTCTAAACCTAAGATATATAACAAGGCCTGATAGATAGCATTACATTCCGCTGTATATATACTACAATCACTGGGAATCAATATACACTTACTAAAATTTAACTGAACATCATAGTAAGCTGATGTTACTCTATCTTTAGACTTGGATCCATCAGTGTAAATTCTGTAAAAGGATTTGTTCTCTAAAAATTGCATTAATTCAGCATTGGTTCGAATTATGTCATCTTCTAAGATAAAGTTACAATTAAACAAGGCATTATAAGGAATTTGGTACAAAGGCCAAAGACTGTTTATATATAAATTTTCAAATGTCTTATGTATATGTACTGCTATTGCCACCAATTCTGGAGTATTACCAGATTTAAGTAGATCTGTGTTATGGTAAGAAACATTTTGCATATTCTTAAATCTCTCTAGGGGCAATAGTTTACCTACAATAAATGACATTTTAGATGATACATTTTTAATACAAAATCTTTCAGCTAATTTTAAACGACGTAGTATAAGAGGTGGGATGCAACTTTCAGCTTGCATTACATGAATAGGTGTAGAGCACATTGCACCTGTTATAATTCGAAGTGCCCTATTCTGAAGAATGTCTAGTTTTTTTAATAAACTTGTACCTGCATTCATGTAAGCTACAGAACTATAATCAAAGTGGCTTCTTATTAGGCTTTTATACAACATTGACAATATTTTTGGATCAGCTCCCCAATGTACACCTGCTAATGATCTAAGTATATTTAACCCATGTGTAGCAGACTTAATGATTTTGTCAAAATGGCTTTGAAAGTTTAATTTTGGATCCAAACATATACCAAGAAATTTGTGGGTTTGTACCCATGGTAGAGGACAACTATTATATATAATGTGACTATTAACAGGTATATCAATACATTTCTTAGAGAAAATCATAGCAGAACTTTTACTGCTACTTATTTCTAGTTTAAGTCTATTAAAATAATAATTATATATTTCAGATAATGCCTTATTTAGTTTATTTACAGCTATAATTACATTATTATTTACAGTATATACAACTAGGTCATCTGCAAATTGCAGAAAATGTACATTTTCCTCCTTTAAAAATTGCTTGAGTTGACAAGTATAAATATTATACAAAAGGGGAGAGATAGTGGCCCCCTGCATGGTACCTTTGTATACATATCTTGGACCATGAAGAATATTATTGTGCTTTATGTACATGAGCCTCTCATATAAGAAATTGTGTACCCATTTACAGAGTTTGCCCGGAATGCCTACATCATGCAGTACTTGTACCATAACAGCTGGGTTAACGTTATCAAATGCACCCTTGATGTCAAGAAATGCACAGACAGTCACAGAATGTTGAAGAAATGAAGTTCTTATGTCTGATATCAATGAAGTAAAACTTTCAGAGGCACTGCGACCTTTGCGAAAACCAAACTGTTCTGCAGGTAATATATTGTTTTGTTCTATATAATAATCTAATCTGAGTTTTATAATGTTTTCAAATATCTTACCTATGCAAGAAGATAATGAGATGGGTCTATAGGAATCACTATCCTCTATTGGTTTATCAGGTTTCAATATTGGGATGACACATTGGGTTTTCCAAGAAGGTGGTATTATATCATGATTCCAAAGTAAATTGAATATTAGTAGTAGTTTCTTCTGTGCATTTATATGTAATTTTTTAATAAGGGTATATCTGATATCATCAAGACCAGGAGTGGTATCTTTTCTGGATTCTAAAGATGTTATAAACTCATGCCAAGAAAAAGGTTCTATAAGGAAGTAAGCTTTAGGACTGCCATTACTGGTAAAAGACGACTTTAAAGTATTTAAATTAATTTCTTTTTCAGGTGGAGTAACAGGTGCATATTTATTGAAAAAGGAAGGAATCCATTCTGAATTTTTTGGCTTCTTAGAACAAGAAACTCTTTTGAATCGTCTAATGTAATTCCATATAGTGCTAACTGGAGTGTATCTATTAAAGGATTCACATAATTCTAACCAGCTGTTCTTTTTCTTTTCACTAAGTAGTCTTTTTTTAAGGGCATCTGTTTTTTTATATTCTATATAATTTTCCAAAGTTGGATGAGACCTATAATAATTTAATGCACGTTTACATTTGATCACAATTTCTTTACAGCTATCATCCCACCATGGAACAGGTTTCTTTATAAGATGTCGAGTGCTTTTTTTCAACTTGGGTACATGTTTGTTTTTTTAATATATTTAAAATATTACAAAAGTCATTGTATATATTCAATGGATTATTCAGGTCAATAATGATATCAGCGAATGCAGATTCACTGTCATTATAAAAACTGTCCCAATTAGCTTTGTTATAAAGAAACCGCTCAGTGGTTTCACCTATTTCATATTTTACTATTGAAATATGAATATCTATAACTGTTGGGTAATGATAGCTGCCCATAGGGTCTGAGTGTACACTCCAGTCACACAATGGAGCTAAAGAAGGACTTATACAAGAGACATCTATTGCTGAAGGATTTTGACCTATGTGGCCAACAGTGGTTGGAGAGCCAGAATTCAGAATGCAAAGATCACATTCATCAAACATATTGTAAATTTCGTTTCCTCGTCTGTTACACGAAAGGCAACCAAATGCTACGTGATGCGCATTAAAATCGCCAGAGACCAGTATTGGCTTATGAAGATCGTTAATAATCTTTTTCAATTTATTACATTGGAAGTTTGACCTCCCTTGTTTCCGAGGAGGACAATAAACACATAAAATAGACATATCACCATTACATGTATATACTGTAACAGCCACAGACTGAAGTTCTTCATAGAAAGGAATTGAAGGAACAGAGTACTTAAAAGAATCTTTGATTAAAATTGAAACTCCACCTCTGCCACCTACAGAGATTTTGTTGATTATATCATAATTCGGAATAGACAACCTACTACGTTCTGTTAACCAGGTTTCGTTCAATAAACAAATGTCGACATCATTTTCCTGCAGGAAATTGATGAGGAGTGGTTTTTTGTTAATAAATCCTTCAACATTATATTGAGATATTCGTATGTGACTTTTATCCATTATTGATCTTTTTTTAAAGTTTTAATAAGTATCTCTTGGATAACATTACTGGTTAAAGCTCTCTCATCGTTTCCTATGGCAACCAAAGCGCCAACAATAGCCTTACGAATAAAATCATTGTTAATTATTTCATCAATTATCTTTTCGTTTGATAATTTTTGCAAACTATCTTTTTCCGCTGCGCTGTTAGAAGTCAAAACGGTTGAGGGGACAGAATTGGAGTTCAGTGTTTTTTTCAATGGTAATGTTTTTTTTGTAATAGGTAATTTAGGAAATTTATTTTGATAATCAGTTGTTAAATTAGTATCATTTTTATTTTTATTAGATAATATAGCATTTGCATAATGTTTCGAACGGCGTCTGTGGCGCTCTTCCCTGTAACCGTTCGAAACGGTGCGGATGGGGTGCGGATGCCTATGGGGCTGGCAGCTTCAATGAAATCCCTTTTCTTAGCTTGAGTGCGCTTGTTGCTTGTTGCTTGTTGCATGTGCAGTGGTGTAAGATGAAAGAGAGAAAGATGAAAGAGGTCGAGGCTATTTTGGTCACTACCTATGTAGGCCACAAGTGTTCGCACTTAGCGCTATATCGCTGCGCTAGTGCGCCTATCGGAGCAATGTGAGAGGGACAGCCTATAATGCTGTCTCTCTCACGGTGCTATTTCTATTCTCGCTTTGTGCGACGTTATAGCGGCCGTGGGCCTATCCTAGCGCTGTGCGAGAGAGACTATAGTGCTGTCTCGCACAGCGTTGTGTTACTGAATGTGTGTACCTACCTATCGTGAAATGAATGTTGCGCAACTCTTTTATTAACCCTTAGTAGCCTGATTTACGCGAGTCTTCTTTTTTAAATATTACTGTATTTGCTTGAGGGTCTAGATGAAGGGAAAAATAGCTAAATAAATCACAATATTTATTTTACATATTTATTTAAAAAAAAAACAGGTATCAATTTTGATACTTCAGGCATTATGGCCATAAAGAAATCTTAAATGACCTATGCATGAAATAATGCGAAACATCGATTGTTTTTATTATCGCATAAAGAT